GGACATCGGCATTCATGGTATTCCAGGTGATGCGGATGATGGTTGCTAGACCGGTCATAATCCAGGGAAGTTCCTCGGTGAATGCGCCTGCTACTTCGACAAACGTGACGATGGGTACTATTATGGTAAAGGCGATTAGGAAGCCGACAAAGGGGACGCCGACACGCAGCCGAAGCATAAGTGGTCTGGGATCGGTGTCTTGTTCGTGGATCTTCTCTTTACTGTTGCTGATGTATTCGCCCTGCCAAAGGGAGCTCTTATGCAGAATGTACCTTCGCTGGCGGAGTTGCTTGTGGATCTTGTTCAAGGGCGCCTGGTCTAGTCCTTTAAAATCCGCAAGAATATGACTCTTGGTAGCCATGGCTGCGATCCCTGCGATGCCCTTGGAGTCTGACTGCAGGCCGCTTTTCCGCTGCATGGCATATAGCAATGCTCCACCACAGCAAGCAACAATGACAAGACACGATGATAGGGCCCGAGACCATGCGGGCCGCACCCGAATAGATTTCCAACCGTCGTTCTCGCGATTGTCCTCTGGTGGCCACATGGTGATCGAGGCGGATTGAAGAACAGGTACGAGGCTGCTAGCAATCAACGTGCCTAGAGAACTGTAAATTACAGCAAATTGTTTGTGACGGAGTGCCCTGAGTGGCACCAACCAACTCATGAACGTCAGATAATCCATGTTGAGCGACTCCCCTGCAGTTGCTCCGGTCTTCTTGGATAGCTGGTAAAACGGTTCTAGGCGTTTCACTTCGAAATCTGACATCTGCCAGAGTACACCGTAAAACACGAAGATCATAATCGGTGCGTATTGCCAGGCAAAGTATAATGTGATGGGCAATTGGCCTACTCTTTGGAAATTGCTGAGCCCGCCTTTTATGGGATCTTTCTCAACGCTTCTCAAAGATATCTGACAGAGATATTCCTGAACACCGGCAAGGGCAAGGGCGATTACTATCAGCATGGATATCCACCACCAGCTCATAGTAGTGGGTCGCCATGCGGGCATTTGGGGATCTGCGTCGATGTTAGATAGCGCATATGGAATGACATCGGAAGTGGCACCTTTTGGGAAGAAATAACTGGTTTCTGCGTCCTTCTTGACAAGACCAGCTGAAAGGCTGCTCATTGAGTCGAAGTCACGAGTGACTGCTGTAAAGTCGCTGATGTCGACGGGGATCTCTGTCGCAACGGCAACAACTTGGCCAGTCTTTTCAGCTTCGACCTGTGCTTTCTTTGCCTCAGCATTCGCAACATCCGATGCCGACAATATTCTGCGATGGCCCGGAAAGAAGCCTGGCACTGGTCCTGAAGGCGTGTGCGTGAACGGTTTGTGGAGTATCGATGTCATACCAGCCCCCAATTGTGATTCGAAGTTTTCAAATTCGGCGGCATGGCTAGCTTCGTTCATATCTCTAATTCGTTCTCTGGATTTGTCCCTATCCTCTGTCACCGATTGCGCCTCGAATCCCTTCAAATCCAGTCCGCTGAGCAAACTCAGATCATACCCAACCGCCTCATCGTCCTCTTCCACACCCTTCAATCCAGCTCTGCGGGTCCCCCACTCTTCATCATCGAGCCGATAATAGCTTCCTCCCCTGGATGCTCCTCCATGCAGAGATGCGATTCGATGAAGGACGCGCTTAGTCCTGCTATTCTTCTTGTCCAATAATGGTGAAGCACGAGGTTGAGCAAATACGCTTGCAACTGGATTGTACGATGTTTCCTCGGCGAATGAAGGTGGCGGTGGTGCGCGAGGTATGCGATACGAGGTGTCAGAATTTGTGTCGATAGGTGGAGGGAACGACTGTCTTCTTGACGCAGGGGTACTAGTGGGGGGCACGATTGAAGCTACTGAAGATGGACGGGACGGAAAGAGTTGTGAGAGTCTGTCTGAGGTGCCAGACGTGCTTTTGCGCTTGAGTGGTGGTCGAACGTCAAACGGCGGGGTATCGCCTATTGTTGGGGTGCCAATGCGGAGAGCGGAGGGGACAGCGTGCTCAGAGGGTCTTCTGTTCGGATTAGGAGAGTCTGTCAGGAGAGGTGGCGTCACTCCTTTCATGTGCCGCGTTCGCGAATCCGAATACATGACCGTGGCTCGTAGTTTGCGTCGACGGTTGGATGTTGCCAGCTAGGCTTGAAAGCGACCGCGATTCAGAGCAAACCATACGCAAACAAAGAATAAGGACTGTAAGGGATGGAGTAAGACAGAAAATCGCACGAATTACACAGATGAGGGCGGCTGAGGGTGACTTGCAGCCGCGGTACAGCCCCGTCCCGTCATAACAGACAGGGCTTCCACATGCTGTAATAGGTCTTTAGGCAAGCAGGAACCGCTCACAATCTACTTTATCAAGCAGCTCGGGCTAAGATTATTATCCATCTATTCTTCATTCGTCTGGCAGAAGATTCAATACTCATTCAACCTCGTGTTGTTGAGCGCATGTGACTCGTGATGCTTGTTGTGAGGCGGCAGCTAGACGGTCGCGTTGGAAAGACTCATAGCTCGAATAATGCGCTAGCAGCGCATAGTCAAACTATCGAGAGGGCTGAAAGCGAATTTTGTGGTTCGATAGGGCTAGCGAGCGCTCCTGATCTCCTCTCGTTTACGCATCGCGGGCAGACTAAGCTAAAAATACGGGCGCTGCGGCGGCAGGGCTTTCGATATTCGGTTGCTATTTCCGTGTTGGGCATGGTGATGGCTTGCAAATTTGGGGGCCAACACATGGCATCGACACCGGTGAGCGATTTCGGCCATGCTGGTGCTGTTGATGAAGAGGAAGTGAGAAGAGGTGGGAGGAGGTTGAGAGATGATCTAAGTTAATCGCTGACCCGCTAACGTAATGGCGATTGATGCAAGGGCCTTTGTGCTGACAGCCCACCAGTCCTCCAGCACCACCATAGGCTACCTCAGTGTCGGACATTTTTTAGTGGCTCGCGCACGTGGCATTTACCTGCAACGGTATGTACATACTGGTGCTTCCAAGATTACAATGCATTGGTATACAGACTATGCCCCTCTCCCTGTGGATACCCCAGCTAGCTCAACTCAGTGCTGCCTCTTCCTCATTTGCACGATCGGACCCTTCCTGTTAGCTACAAACATATCGTAGATCTGATATTGATCCTCGACCTGCCGCCCAGGCTTGCCATTACGGTCACCACCACCGAGATTCACACCTGCAACACACTGGATTTCATACATCCACAATGTCTTGGCCATAACGAGTCGCATCTCGAGCCAGGCGAGGTTCTTTCCAACACATCCCCGCGTTCCAAATGAGAAGGCGCAGAAACCACTCTCGGCCAGGGCGACACTTTCGGCCGAAGAGCCCTCCTTTCCAGATTCGTCAACAATCCAGCGCTCAGGTCGGAACTTGAAGGGTTCAGGGTAGACATTCGAGTTGTAGCTGAGGCAGTACAAGCCTGTGCTCAGATGAACACCAGCAGGGAAGTAGCGGTCCTCGACGCTTGTGCCTCCTGGAAGCACCTCACGGCTTGGCTCTGCGGCAACTGGTGGCGTCATCCTCATGGCTTCCATGAGGAAGGCAGTAAGGTACTTGCAGGACATGAGTTTGCTGCCCGACTTGATCTCGTCGTAGCTAGAAAAGGTTGAGCGAATTTCTTGCGCAATCTTTGCCTGAATTTCCGAGTTCTTTACTAGGTAGAAGAAGGCAGCAGACATGACGACAGAAGTTGTGTCCGAGCCGGCAATGATGAGCAGCTCGCACTCAGCATACAGCTCGTCCAAGTCGTAGCCGCGCTCGCCCGTCTCGGGGTCGACAGCCTTGAAGAGCCAATGGAAGAAGTCTCTGCGGATCTCGCCTTCAGGCTTAGGGTTTGCCTCCAACTCCTTTTCGATCTTGGATCGGTTCTCGAGAGATGAGGCCACGAAGTTTTGCCACTCCACCACTGCCGGCGGCGATGCTACTGACAAGAGCCAGTCGAGACCGCGGGGTTTCAGCCACATCCAAATGTTAGCCACGGGGCTGAATCCAACCTTTCAAACATTAGTACGCTTCCTAAAGAGACATAGAGCAGACATACTGGGTGCAGGAGTTCCAAGAAAGTGGCCATGACCTCAGGAATGTGGCGCAACTTGCTGGTAGACTCCTTCATGTTGAAGTTTGTGCCAAAGCACAAGTCACCAAGAATATCGAACACGAGCCAGTTGACCCAGTCACTCATGTTGACAGGAGTGGTCCATCCGCCATCCTTCGAGACCTGTCCGCCGAGCAGCTCCAGCCATCGGTCAATGTTTGAGTGCAAGAACGTCTCAGCATCTCGTAGTGCAGCTTCCGAGAAGGCGTAGTTCAACACACGACGCTTGCGAGCGTGAACACTGACGGCAGTGCTGTTCCACGTGTTGATGGTATTGACATTACGGGGCCATATCTGGTAATAGTCGCCCTTCCTGACATTTCCCTTTGGTCCAAAAATCTTCTTAAATGCGGAGGGTGTGTTGAGGACAACGCTGTCAGGGCGATACCGAAATTCAGGGCCTGCTAGTCATCAGCACGCAAGCCTGGACCGGGAAGGGCGCTCCCATACCGTATTGCTCCTGCAGGTTATGCAGCCAGATGTGTCTGTCACCTGTACGAGTGTGCCACCACGAGGGAATCACTGTCAGCCGGGCCCAGAACGGACCCGGGTACGAGGCCAGTGGATGGAAATAGAGCCGATAGACTGCGGTGACAAATACGTAGGCCAATGACAGTGAGGAGCATAGTATGAAGAGACTCGGGTAAGACGACGCCGCGCCTAGGGCATCTTGAGAGGACATCATGCACGATGTAATCAATCAGAGGCAGAAGCAAAGCAGTTGAGGATGCGAAAGCGAAACTCTGAGCGTGGGGACTCTTGTACGCCCCTCATGCTCGCCGACAATCAATTACGGACCTGTCTTGCGTGCCCCTATCCAGCTCGCACAGCAGCTATTAGCGGCCGTTTGATTGGACTCTGGCGACCTTGGTTGGACTAATATCGGGGTTGATTGTCTAAGACGACTTGGTATGTGGAGTTTTGCTTCTCAGTTGGGCTAGAGGTAGGCCCGAACGAGCCGCTCCCGGTAACACCACCTCCCGCACCAAACATCCTCGCATCAAGTCCACAGAGCGACTCCCCACTCCGCACCTCAGCAACTCACTAGGACTAACCAGTGATTCAGAATTTACTTTTTCGACCTGTGCAGGCATCAAGGCGATACATTTCCATGACAAACACAGGCGAGTCGCTTGCGTGTGCGGGTGGGGCGATCGGTGAGTCCATTGGGAATTTCTTGCATTTTCCCTGGTCTTTTTCGAAACAGTAAGTTCACGACTATTTTCCGAGAAGGAGTGGTGGGATTCCGGAACCTAAGAATACCAAGACTATGGCGTGTGTGGCTTCCAATCCCACCGGCTGTCAGTATGCAGCACATCTGCCGCTTCCGCGACCCTAGTCATGGCGTCTCTCGCCGGCCTGTGGTTCGCCTCGGATTCAGCGTCCGCGGAGAGAAACGTTTGGCTCTTACACCACTGCAACTGGCACACATGAGCACTTGCTTTTCTTCCACACAATACCCCCCAAACATGCCGGCTATGTTCCAAAAGCCCATCATGGAAAATATGCTAATTAGCACTTCGCCGTCTCGACTGCAATAGACTCCTGAGAGGGGGTGTTGTGGCACTGACCACGATTGGTCCGCCTTCCTTGCCAGACTTGTCCACTTTCTGACTCGTCACCCGGTAGGCGAAATTCGCAAGCAAAAGCCGAACAAACGGCATGCCATCTCGAGAATACCGAAATAGGAACTGATTCACTTTTGCCTGCCAGAAGAGGCGAAGGATTCGGAAATTTGTGGGCAACGCTCTTCACCGGAGTCAGGCACATGGTTTTTAGTCAACGCTTGCCCATAGACCTGCTTTGTAAGGCTTAGGCGTCGCTTCTGTGCTCAACTCCACCCAGGACGGCAAGACCATCAAGCTGGGAAGATGACCCTCGATGTTGCATTGCTCAGACACACAATCCCATCACTACGATTCACCCTGTGCAGCTCATCAATGACATGTGCTTTTTCCCCCACATGCAAATGCACTACGACAGTTGTCAGACTTCAGCCCAAGCCACTCAGATGACTGAGATGGTGTCAAAGAGGTATGATCGGTGTGTGAAGTAGCTCATTTCGCTCGCAGAGACATAGAGAAGACACTTCGCCATCTAAGGGACTAGCTCCGACAAGTGCCCGTCAGCCGATACCCGACTCATGCGGCCATCCACTCACATATAAAAGACACGGCTATATCCTTCGCACGAGCCGGTCCCTCAAACGTGATCCACATCCCAGGTGGCCTCCGTGTGTCAAGGCCCGGCCTGCAGGGATTTGACTTTGTTTTACTGCTCAGCAGGTTCGGATAGGCCGCCGGATTGCTCCCCTTCCCTGCCGCTTTCTGTGTTCGCATTGGTCGATCATGGGTCCAACAAGCAAAAGTCTTTGGGGCGGGATTGCGCCCAAGGGGTCCGCGTAGGGAGTGGCTGTAGCGGCACGAAATGCGAATATCTGGGGATGGTTTAGGGCAAGTTTTCTTCTCGGTGCTTGCAAGGAGTATTTGATGATGAAAGGGCCCGCTTTCGTGAATGAGATCTCGGGAGGGTTCATTTGTATCATTGTTACGACAAAAGACGACTTGCTTCTGTTTCGGCCTATTGTTCAGTCCACAACGGAAAGACTGGGGCGTACGACTGTGTGAACGATGGCGCCTATCATCAATCCCCAGGAAAGCATGTAAGTTGTACCTGAAGATCTGGTTCTCTATCCTCTCCACTCACATCACGGCTCTGTGATGTCGGGCACGCTACTACCCTCTATGGCAATCCCTTGCAATACATCGACCAGAAACCATAACCTTGGGACATTGCACTGACGATGCATACAGCCAGGCTTACCGCCATCGTCTGGATGGAGTCGCAATATCAACCTACGTCCTCATCATGCTGCTCGTCCCCCTAAAGATCTTCTGCCGACAACGCCATGGGGGATGGCACAACGTGCGAATGGATGATTACATGTCCATGTTTGCACTGGCATGTGCGAACGGCTTCTTTTATGTTTGTATTATTGGTACGCCTACACTCTTCTGCTATCTCGATGGAACCTGAGCTAATTTTCCAAAGGCATGCGGCCATCGCTAGGGTTACATATCACCGACATTACCGATATACATCAAATCATGGACTTTTTACAGAACATCTATATTGGGCAGATTTTGTATACATTGAGCATAACGTCGATTAAGCTGTCCGTTCTGGCATTCTACTGGCGGTTATTCGAGATCAAGGCTCGTTTCACTATAATTGTAGTCACTGCTTGCTCGATCGCATGGTGCATCGCTATCGTAAGTCAAAGCCCGCAGGCCGCAAACTTTTCTGTACTAACAGCTCTGTGTTATCAGTTGCTTTGCGTCATCTTCAACTGCATCCCTGTTCACGCCGCGTGGGACATCACCGTCACTGGCGCAAAATGCATACCTATCCGCTCCATCTACCTCGGTGGCTCCGTCCCCAACGTGGTTCTCGACCTCTTCATCGTCATGCTACCTATCCCGCACGTCTGGCGTCTGCACGCACCGCTGGCCCAGCGCATCGTCCTAGCAGGCATGTTCGCTCTAGGCACCTTCATCGCCGTCGTCTCCCTCGTGCGCCTGATCATCTTCCTGCAAATCCCCATTGCCACCCAGGGCGACGTCACCTACAACTTCCGCGAGATCATTGTATGGTCCATTGTTGAGATCAACATCGGCCTCACGTGTGCCTGCTTGCCTAGCCTGAAGCCAGCTTTCCAGATGATTGGACTTAACAGGTTATTTTCCTTTTCTTCTTCGAGGCCCTCGGAGATGCGTACACCAGGCGCCAGCGGTGTGTCAGGTGGATTGGACGACTTTTCAAATCCCAAAATGGGATCTGGACGGCCTCGCAAGAAGGGCGCTACAGGGGGTCTGTTTTCGACCCTGGCGGGTATGAGTCGTATGGAGGACGAGGAAGAGTGCAAGTTTGTTGACGACAACATGGGGAAGAACAATGTCGAAATTGAGATGGGCCGGGTTAGTGGTGATAGCGGGCAGAGGACGCAGAGTGGTGGTATCAGTGTTCAAAAGAACTGGAGCGTGTTGGTAGACGAGAGAAAGACTGGACACTCGTAACATGGAATGACGAGTAATGGCTCGAACAACAAAAATGGCCAAAAAGGCGCACAGTGACGAACATATTCACGATCACGAAAAAATAAACCATATAATTTAGTATAGTATTAATTCTCCTGTTCTGTTCAAAACAATTCGCTAAATGCTACCTCAGTACGCCTGGTCTAGTATCGCGTTTCGTTGACTCGATTTTCGAAAATATGGATTGATGTACGCAAGGAATAACCATGTTCAAGCATGAATGAACGGACTAGGTGGGCGATCCTCCTCAGCAGGTTCACGATTCTGATCGGCATCATAGCCAATCTCGACTTCGACAGATCGATGTGGGGGACCTCCGGGGAACCTCCTTGCTCTCTGAAGGATACCGCGAACGTGCTGAAAGGCCGTCTCAGACACGCTAGATCCCCGGTCGATGCGCATTGGGTCCTGCATGGACATGTCTTCGGGGAGCTGGAAGACCATGAAGTTATACTCGGTCTGGGCTTCTTCGCAGATACGATTGAAGCAGGCTTCGCAAGTACTGATATCCTCTGTGAGCATTAAGGATCCGCGAAACCAAGTGGGGCCCGGGGTAGTTGTTGTTAGTTGCCCCTTCCTGCAGTATAGTCGTAGCTCTGTTCCAAAATGAGTCTTTGGGGAATGTGCGTGTTCCTTGCGAGCCTGGCGGCGTGTCTTTGTTCCCAGGACAGAGTCTTCGGATTCTGAAGGTTCGTTAAAGGTACCTTCGACCGGGCTGACAGTCGTGTCGCATGTTTTTCTCTTTCGCGATGGAAGTTTCGTCGTGTCTGATTCACTTGTCTCGTCATATGCTGCCCCTCTTCTTGTAGTGACGCCTTCCGCACTCATGTCCTCTGGATTCCAAAATTTCCCATATACACCATTTTTGTTGATGTAGTGTTCAGCGCCAAAAGTAGGTCGTTTGCCCAGGATAATCTTCCGCAGATACTCTTTTATACTTGACATATTAGTACATATTCATCATCTTATTCATGTCAATCTTACTAAGTCTTGTCTCTTGGGTACTCTACGTCAAAAGAGTATCTGGTGCCTTCTTTTGCTTCACGGAGATGCTCTCTGCTCCCATGACCAGGCTTAGGCCAGACCTGAGGGCCATACCCAAGCAATAACTCATCCAATTCATTGTCAAAGAGATTAGGGTCTTTCCGGCTAAGAGTGACTCCGTCGTCGCGTAGTAATAGACCGAAGAGGACGGGTAGTTCAGTTTTGTACAGTTTGACGAGAGCCTCATGTTTGAAGACCGGGCGTCTGACTTGTGCAGTTGGGTCTGTCCTTTCCTTGCCAAAGGTTTGGAGGCCGAGGCTTTCGATGTGGTGAATAATTGTCGACTGGTTGTTAGATATCTGCTGACCATTCATGTTTGCTGGTGAAGACAAGGTAAATGGTAGTATTGAAGGCTTGCAGGCAAACGCCGACTCCCGATGCCGCTCCTTCTGGTTACCTGCTCGTGCAATCAATGTTTTCTTGGGTCAAGTTCTGGCGTCATGCATAATCACCCTGCAGCTATGCGCGTGTTCCCACTATTCTTTAAACGCCACAAACGTGTCCTTCGGGCTCTCACATACAAGACAATTGACGAGTGGTCGCGATGTCAGTTGTGATGTGAGTTGCAGGACGCGGCTGGGTGTGATGGTGTTTCAGACAATCAAGGGTCCAGGCAACAGACCCAAAAGCGCTAGCGCAGGTAACTAACGTGTCCGTGCACCTCATGCCCGGATTCATCTCATGCCCCGCCGAACACCGACGCGTGTCTCAATACTACAACTTTGACGCGCAATAACTCCACAACTATGGCTCCGATTGATGAAGCGATTGCAGATTTAGAATCGCGCGATCCAGGAGAGAAATTCACATTAAAAGAAGTTGCTGAAAAATGGGGGGTTAACCGCTCAACGCTAGGGCGAAGATGGAGGCGCGTGACAGGGCCTAGGAGCGATGGATACGCTCAGCAGCAAGCTATCGGCCCACAACAAGAGTTAGAGCTTGTACGATATATCACTAAGCTCACTAAGCAAGGCCTACCTCCTACAAGAGAGATGATCAGGAATTTCTCATCAGAAGTAGCCCATCAGCAGCTCAGCGAGAGCTGGGTTACTCGCTTCATTAACCGACACGAGATCTATCTTATCTCAAAGTGGACCACCGCCATGGATCGTACGCGCCACCTGGCTGATTCTGAGTCAAAGTATAGACTCTACTTCGAGCTGCTGCACCAGAAGATCACCGAATACCACCTAGAGGCTCGAGATATATACAATATGGATGAAAAGGGCTTCCTTATTGGTATGATAGGCAGGAGTAAGAGGATATTTAGCAGGCGTCAATGGGATAAGAAAGAGGTTCGAGCATCTCTCCAGGATGGATCACGCGAGTTTCTGACACTCCTGGCCTGCTGCTGCGCCGATGGGAGCTCGCTGCCTCCAGCCCTTATCTACGCAGCTAAAAATGGAGCCATACGATCGAGTTGGGTGGAGGATATTAAGGCAGGAGAACATGAGGTCTTTGTCTCATCATCTCTAACAGGCTGGTCAAACAATGACGTAGGCCTAGCTTGGCTAGAGCAGGTGTTTGATCGCTATACAAAGCAGCGATCAGGGAGATGGCGATTGCTCATCCTTGATGGCCATGGATCTCACCTCACGATGGAGTTTATCAAGTACTGCGATCGCCATAGGATCCTCCTCATGATCCTTCCTCCCCATTCGACTCATACGCTCCAGCCGCTCGATGTAGTGCTGTTCAAGCCACTCTCTCAAGCCTACTCCAACGAGCTCACTAACCATCTCTACAAGGCTCAAGGCCTCATTCCAATTAAGAAAGGAGACTTCTTCCCACTCTTCTGGAGAGCTTGGCAGGCCTCGTTTAAGCAATCAACTATATTAAAAGCGTTTGAAGCTACTGGTATATGGCCAATAGATCCCAACGTTATCCTTCGTAGATTTGCCAGCACGCCAGAAGCTGAGAGAAGCTCATCTTCAGGGCTCTCTGATCATGACTGGAGAAAGCTCGATCGGTTAGTACGAGCTGCTGTCAATGATAGCCATCAGTATGAGGCAAGAAAGCTGCGCTCAAGCGTTCACCATCTCTCTGTGCAGTATAAGCTTTTACAGCATGAGAACGAGGGCTTAAAGGAGGCTCTTCAACATAAAAAGAAGCATAAGAAGAAGGGCAAAGCTCTTGACCTTCAACAGCGCCAGGAGTATCACGGTGGCTCTGTCTTCTGGTCTCCTCGCAAGATACGCGAGGCTCGAGCTAGAGAAGTAGTACGGGAGCGAGATAAGATAGAGGAGAAACTCCAAAAAGCACAGGCCAAGAAGCAGCGTGAGGAGGTTCAACTGCAGCGTCAAGTTAAGCTCGAGGAGAAGCGTGTAGAGAGGCAGAGGCTCAAGGAGATAAGGGAGCTTGAGCGAGCTGAGAAAGCAGCTGAACGCGCGCGCAAAGTTGAAGCTCAACACCAGAAAAAAGCCACCCAACAAGCTCAACAACGCAAGCGTAAAGCCTCAAGAGCGCCCTCTTCTAAGAACAAGCGTCAAAAACGAGCGATGGAGGATAGAGCTCGCGATAGAGTTGCATCTCCTCCATCGCCTCCACCACCAAAGACCACATCACGTGGCCGCAACGTCAACCTCCCACAAAAATTCAGATAGTACAAGTTAATCGCAAGTATCTAATTACTGCAATGCTATGTTTTTATTAATATTAAGCTATTGTGTGGTGTTGTACAGCTTCAAATTTGAGATCGCTAAGATGGTGTTCGCGGGGCATGAGATGAATCCGGGCACAAGGTGCACGGACACGTTAACTATCAACCCGTTCCGTGGGTAGCTGCGCCGTGCTGGGACACCACTGCCCACCATCCTCCAATTGAACCAGACGGTCGCCACACTGTGAATAGACGGTATGGCGCAAGGAGGTTCCCCAGACCGGCCAATCAGGGCCCGAAAGAGCGTACGCACATACAATCTCAAAATCCTTTCGGGCATCACTAGACGCTCCCGCCAACCCTCTCGCAACGTCGATCCCCAATCGGCCCGCCGTCCTGAATCACGCAGGGCGTCGTCAGGAGGGGAGGATAGCCTAAAAGCCACAGAGAATCCAGGAGACCATCGTCAACAATACCACGACGATAACTCCAGCGAGCTAACTTCACCAATGTTGTCACCTAATCTGCTTGCACTAGAGACATCGCTGAGCGAAGAGGGCATGACTGTCGCATCCACCCGCTCAAGCGGCTCTGGGAAGAGTACCGGTCGATACGATTGTTTCAATGCCATGCTCCATCCGAAAGGTCACTACTACTCTGCCAAGGAGCTCTTTGCACGAGGCGTCTGGATTGGATACTTATCGCCAGATAGACACAACGAATCCTTTCGTGGGCTACCGTCCTTTGGCACCCTGAAGTCGAATTTCAACAAATTCAGTCAGCCATATCCTACAAGCATGCACGGCTCTGTAAGAGAGAATCGCAATGCTGTTTGCCGGGGTTGCGCTAAGAGCAACTCGGCTCTTATAGCACTCAGCGAGATACAATTTGTTCGGACGTCTGTAAGTCACGCTCATAATAGCCACTCAGCTGTAGTGGTTCCATTCAGTAAAATGTCCTTGAGTACTGATTTCGAGCAGAAACTGGTCATCATGCCACTTGACGGCGACGATAACGCTGGTGTGTTTGCCATCATGTTACCCCAAAAAGTTGACAGATCTTTGCGTGGTCTCCAGATCTATCGACCATACGAGCTCACCAATGATGGCAAAGGAGATACTTTTGTCAACAACTATATGCTCCTTACCCTCCGTAACCCAATTAGTGAAGCTGGCACATTGGAGACAGTTCTTGAGGTCCTGTCGACCCAAGAGCATGCTGCCACTATACAGAAAGATGTGAGCCTACCGAATTATGTTCTGGACGACCTTCCTACTAGCTCATATTCTTCTACTATCCCTGAGATAAATTCTGGCCTTCGGCTCCCTATAGCCCGTGTCGCCGAGACGATTGTCGACGATGAAACGTCAGTCGCGTCCAAACGGCGAAAGACCGGTAGCACACCAGGAGAAAGCTACAACACAACAGGGTACAACCGACTAGATGGGACCGGTATGGACACTCCAGCGGAGGTCGCATTGACGCCTGAATCTTCAGAGCCAGAGCGAGAGGTCGCCAAATCCCCATGTCTTGACGAGAGTGTCACAAAGGGCAACAGCCCTGCCCAACAGCAGAGCATGATGACACCTGAACCATCAATATTGGAAGCTCCAGCAGACAAAGCTCCAAATTCTGTGCAGAGTATTCCCAGAGATGATAGTCCTGTCCAACGCCTAAGCACAATGATGCCTGAACTGCCTCAACCAGCACTGCACGCAACTAACGCTCCAATTTCAGTACAGAGCATCCCTAGGGACGAAATTCCTGTTCAGCAACCAAAAACGATGAAACCTGAAGCCCCTAAACGAACTATTCAGACCACTGAGGCTTCAATTCCCGTACAGAGCAAACCACTCGGTATCACCGACGAACAAGCCGAGTGCGTTCATCTGGTCTGGACTGTCAACGACTCGGAAATAGAATACGATTTCGTACACACGCTGGGCGAGTGTAAGACGTTTGCGGGATTGCTTTCGCTCTTGGAAGAAGACGCAGAAGCCATTCCAGCCATCGCTGGCATTCTGGCCAGGACAAAGACATGGCGGATGACTTTTCGTCTCAGCGATGGTACCAAAAAAGCCATTGTCGCTCGCAAAGGTGCAGAAGCTGCCTTCAACCGACTTAAACTCACACTTGCTCAAGCTCCTATTTGGAGTAGCAACCCAAACTCCACAGTGGATGTCGAACTCAAGTTGCTTAGTTGATCCGATTCGATTCGACGAGTGCTGCATTTCATTGAAAACATCTGCTAGTGCAGCAAAAGATGACACAATCTCATGCGGCAGTCAGCTCGTCACGACACATACGACTGTCAAAATTTCGTTGTTGTCTGTACAAGTCCTACCGAGCTCGATGGCATTATCGGACATTGAACCTTATATACCCCCTGTTTCATTATTTCTTTTTAGCTGGATGCGATGGATTCGATATATCTACGGTAGGCACGCAACTGGGGGTTGTAAGCATTGCTCAAGGTCCATGTATATATATTATGGTCACAATATCAGAGTTGTATTGTACACTCGAGTACGCTGTCGCGGTCATGGAACGTTCTAGCCACATGTGACGCTACACATGATCGATGCGCTATTCCTGGCTCGTATGCATGAAACCAAAAAGGGTCGTGACCGTAGTTGTTGCTTCTGCAAGCTGCTTATTCTCCCGAGAGGACGCTGGGCATCATCGGGTTGGCGGCTTCAGTGGTTGGGAGCGTCATAACCTGCCAGCGGTGGAATAATGCATCGTCATAAACTAATTGAAAATAGCAATCTGCACAATGTCTTTGTCTTGTGTAAGTTTGTCATGGATCGTCGTACTAATACTGAGGTGCAGCCAATCGGATGATACTGCCATCAAGTTCCGCCTGCTATTCTAGGCTGGCGCTATTGACCCTGTCAATGATCCTGCCGTATGCAACGCTACAGTTTCTTCACCTGTAAAGTATCATCTCTTCGTGCCATTTGACCGCCTACGGACTCTTCACTTGTCTGACCCACGCAAAAGTTCGTATCCATATAATCACTCAGCGGCGCCGCTGAGTGTCTGTCACGGGTATCGCCCATTGGCACTGCACGTTAGAGAAATAGTACCGAAGAAAATCAGCACTACCAATCACGCTTTGGTTGCATATACGCAACCCCGCAACATCTAGCATCCGAACGCCCGGTTCGAGAACGCATAGGATTCTATACTCGATTGACCTGGCGACACTTCGGCAATACATGCGCCAGCATAGACGCCATGGACGGGTCTTCAATCAACTATGCGACATCCAAGGATTGGGTCGATATCATGAAGAATCGGTCAAAAGTGCGCATGCATGAGCTTATAGAACGCCTGGGGCTTCGCGCCAAATGGTCATCTAACAAACGTGGCAAAACCAACTTTGAATCCGCCCTGGTGCGCGAGCTGGTTGCGGATATGGGTGATGTGGTCTCTACGCTACCGAAAGAGCCGGACGAGCTTATGAAGTTCCTGAGTGCTGAGGGAAGTCTGAAAGAAGAGGTAGACGGTTTGCTTGAGAAACATGGTACCAAGGTCTGGGGAAGAGTAGGGGATCGCGAGCATCTTATCACAGCGAATGAGCCCGGGGTGGAAGAGGGCGTGTATCCCAGGGATCTGTATTTTGAGAATGATGAGGACAGATCATTGTAAGTGCGCCTGTAGTTTGGACTTGACGGAATATCACAAGTTGCGATTTTATTTGATGGCTACTGATGCACTCGTAGAATCCATAAGCTCCTCCACTGGTGGATAGGACTGAAAGCCTGCAACGTGATCCTTGCACGCGAACGTCTTGATCGCGAGAGAAGAAAGAAAGCAGAGAATCGACAAGCACGAGCAGAGGCTGAGTTCTCTGGTCAACCAGAAGGCGGCACACCAGGGTCCTTTGTTGCACTTGCGCCCAACTCAGTCTTACATGATGGCGATACGGGTTCACGTGGTAGTCCCATGTCATCAAGCGCAATGCTCACACCTCCGGAATCTGGTGAAAGTCCTACGATACCACCACGAGATGGGGGTGGCTTCATGTCGGTCAATGGTGGTGGGCATGCGACAAACGGCAATGCGGCTTTTTCCAATGCAAACACAACTCAACCACAAGCTTCACGACAGCCACAAAATCTTGTCGAGGGTATCTGGAGCAAATTCATTCCTGAAGCCAGCAGGTCACCTAATCAACCTTCGGCTTCAATTTACCCTACTGATAGCAAAGCAGCAGCACAACAGCAGATTGCAAGCGCGAACCAAGCCGCTGTCGATCGGCAAATTAGTGTTGATGTCGCGAAGCTGGTTGCAAGCATCCGGACGGACGACGCAGCACCAGAAGAGAGACCGCAGCCGAGCAACAGCGTGCCTTATCGTGGGCTCGACCATGAAGGATTATGCGCGCTACGGCAATACATCTACGGAGAGGATCGTGGAATGTCTATGGAAGAGGAGACTCTGCTGAACCTACTGGAGAGAACATGGCGAGAAGGGGTGCGTGCAGACTACCATAAAATGGTTGAAAACATTCCTGTGTTTATCGCACGCGAACGAGCCTTCCTGACGTGGGTGGAGCTAAAGCGACATATGGCAGCTCTTCAACGGGCAAACGAGCGTAGGTGCAATTTGGCCATCTATTTCTGTATCTACACACTAACCTCCATCTGTAGGCTGGTCGGCAGAAGGCGGGTCGCGCGCCGAAATTGAACGTCGCATCCAACAACACAAGACGCTTATGGGTTGCACTCAGACCATTATCGCGAACTTTGAAGACGTTGGCCAAGGTTTCGGCCTCGGCCCTAATGTGGCGGTTGATCGCGACGAATTGTTGCGACAAGCTTTGGTGGTATTAGCCGGGGAAAAGTATGCGGTCGAGATGCAGTGGAAGGCGGTCGAGTTTACTGCGACCATGGCATGGCTGCATGAACACCTGGAGTTATTCCGCAAGGACGAGGATGAGGAGGGTAAGAGTATGCTATGGTACGCTGGGTAGTTTGCGGCATTAGTAACGAGGCAAATCCTAGCGCGCATATTAAATGCGTCTGGGTTGTTCTAGTCATGAGGGTGGTATACGCTCATCTTTACAGGCGTTCCGGTCGCCAGGGGGTTGACCCCATGGCCAGGGTTTGGGGGCCCACACACGATCCAATTCGGGAAAATACTCTATTCGGGTAGGTCAGCCGTAGAGTCAGTTTCAGCTACTCCATCATGTTACAGGACGGTGTAGGATTAGACTAGCTCAGCTGTCCCACAGCTCATGTATTGCATCGAGTGCCATCAGTGTCGAGAGAAGACGTAATACGATAGGAATATGCTGGGAAGTCATGACAAAAGGCTGATTACGATCGTCTCGACGACAGCTGATGGTGAGCGTATTGACAATAGCTCGGCACCTAGTATCCGAACGAATACGGGGCGTGGTCGGCAGCACTTCGCACTTTGCATACCCTCTCTCGCTTAATGTAACCTGCAGCCAAGGGGCGTTGTTCAGGCTCCGCACTGGGCCGTAAATCCAATGCCACGTTCCTATTATAGTAGAGTGATGGCGCCGCATGCTCGTCACAGCGCCTCACATTTGCCCCAGGGCGTATGGCGCCACATTGCCGTTGCCCGTCTAGGGCATCGTCTATCGAAAGGAAAAAAAAGAAGATGCCGTCGCTGATGAGAGCAGACGCCGTCATGCAGATAAGAGCAATGCCACGGGGCGGTAGTACAAATGTATGGACAAAGCCAGATGAGAGGGACGAGCGCGTCATAGACGCATTACCGTTCTGGTATCTGCTCAATGCTCAGTGCTCAGTGCTCACGATACCAATGGGTCTACCCCCCCCTGCTATACGAAACCGTAATAGTGTCGCTTACTTTGCTGATTGCATGTGGCGGCTAATGATGGATGAGTGAGTAAGAGGGAGTCTCGAGTCTCGCATGTCGAGCATGTCGAGACCCAGGACACACGGGATGTTTTGGCCTATGCGAGTTAAGAGTTGTGCTGCTAGCCGATGTACTTTTCATTTGTACCCCCGTGTATTCACATGCCCAACGGAAGATATGATTAGCATAACCCAGCTACTCATAGTGCAAGCGTCGTACTATGAACAAGCAAGGGCGAACGGACCCGCCGTGCTTGAACGAATGAGGGTCGGGCGGTACTATGATTACACCCAACGGGGAATTATTAGCGTTGCGAGTCATTAACTTCGGGATTGGGACGCGTATTACCTATGCACATGTTGTGTTGGGGCCCCTGCCGGATCATTGTCTCGCTACTGGATCACGCACATCTTTCTGGGTATCTTTTGGACGCGGCCTACCGTCTGTCGCATGCTTCTTACACGTCACCGGCATCATTCATCGTCAAGTCATCCTTTTGGTACTGCCTCTATCGCTACCCCGCCTACGTCGCCGCTTCGACTCCGATCCGTTCGTGCTGCTGCTGCGGCGCTGCCCAAGTCTGCACTTAGTTGTGTGTTTGTGTGTGTGCAGGGGCTTGTCTTCTTTGTTTGGTAAGGTAGCACGATCGGCGTCTGAGACTTGGACAAAGTTTTTGGAAGCAGCTGGCAATAAGAAAAACTTTGTTCCAAGTCGGCCTAGTGGAACGTACTCCTTTTACCTTGCCAAGCTACCATCACCCCAACCCATCGGTTCCATCACATTTTGGCGCGCGCGCCATTGATTGTCATCTCCATCCGCTTACATTCCATCATCGTTCCTACTTTCCTCCATTCTGCATTGCACCTGTTACCGTCACCCATGCAGCCGCCATGAGCTCAAAAGACAACCTGGCCCTGGATCTGGAGCACGGCGTGCGACGCTGGGACCGCGCGCGATGGATTTCCGTCTTCAGTTCGCATAACCCGACTATACGCGAGGGGACGGAATGTCTGGGTCTCGGCCTGTCTGCCTCTTCCTCGACTACGAACCGTGGAATCCCCAAATTCGACAATCCCGATTACCGGAAGCTGTCCAGTGAAGTCACCAAGCTGTCTAAGGAACTACCAAAAGAAAGAGACGCATTGTTGGATTTTGCAGCGGATCCGCAATCCCTGGACCAAGAACTGGAAGAGCTGCTAGCGAGTTATGGACCCGCTATTTGGGGCAGGGATGCGGATCGGAGCTGCTTACTGACGCCTGATCCAACCAAGAAGACGTACAACAAGAATTTGTTTTACGAGGAGCCCGACCACAAGGAAACGTAAGTTTAGTCCATGCGGAATGGTGGGGGCGCACGCTAAGCTTGTTGCAGATTAAAGATACATCTGCACCGCTGGATCATCATCAAGGCATGCTACTATATCCGCAATATGAAGCTTAAGAGGCCATCCGGCGCGAATGAATACGATCAGCTTGCCGATATCGACGGTGACGGTGTGGTAGGTTTCACAGAGTTCCATCAAGAACTGATACCATGTCTCACAGTGTGCTGATGAAACCACAGTCACCCCGTGGCACTCCACAGTCGCTTACTCCACCGGATCCAGACACTGCTACCAGCGCTGACCTTGAAGTAAAGCCCATCAATCTGAAGAAGCGGAAAAGTAATGTACACTTGACCATATCTGATGACGACGAGATGGACGTCACCCCTGTCAAGCGGCCGTACAGCACCATGCCCATCAGCCGAAAGGGTAGCCCTAGGAAGTCTCTAAAGTCACTCTACTCCGCCGGTCCAGGTAGTATGGAGAATGCACCGCCACTACCGACTCACGTCCATCGCTTTTCACCCGCACCAGGAGCAGGGCCTGAAACTGCGAGAATACAGCTGAGTGCTCTATCAAGCAGCGAACTGAATGGGGGCAACAGGCTCCCCAGTATCACACAAAGCCCAGCACCCAGTGGCTTTACCGCAGTAAATACTGGAAGCTTTACTCCGGTCAACACGACGCCTCCTTTGAAGGAGCCATCACGAGATGCAGTAGTACGGGATGCTACACGGGAAGCTTCGAAAGAGGTACAGCGGCATTCCCCTGCATTGGGACACCGTCACAGCAGCAGCTATACTAGCCCGTACGAACCATCTGCGCATGGTGCTGCGACGGCTCGACCTGCTACTGACCCCCCTCGCTCTGCACCTTCTGCCGCATCCACGCCTGCTCTCGGTCATGGACTGCAGCCGACGACTACACCTGCAGCGACCAATGGAGCTAATGGGCAGCCCCAGGACTCCCCTGCTGCCCAGCATGCTCACATTGCACCACAACCCCAACAGCCTCAAGGCCTGCAACGGTCACCACCTCAACCAACGCACCAGCCTCAACACACCCAACACTCTCATCTTCCTTCTCATCCACATGTCCAGGCTCAACAGCAGCCTCCTCGACCGCCCAGTCGGGGTAATACACCAGGCATTTTAACGCGTTCCCTTGCACCTCATCCTCCTCGCAGTAGATCTAGTACACCACATGCGCCGGTCGCATCTCTTCAGCCCACTACGGCTCCTAATAAGCAAGTCACATCCGCACCTGCATTGCAAAGCGCGCCTGCATATGGAATGCACATAGTTCCAATGACGGACGCTCCTCCTGTAAGCAATCATCGAGTGCCTTCCAGTCATGCACCACCCACTGCTCCCCAGCAGGCTTCACACCAAACTGTGCTGAAAAGCCAGCATCCTGACACTGCACATGTCACTCATTCACATTCTCACGTCCATGGTCATGGTCATGCCCAGCCTCAACCCCACCCTCGCATCGCTCATGCCCCTCAGGCGGTGGGCAGGCCGGCAGTGCCAACGACAGACCTTCGCCTCCTTCAATGCGAAGTGACGGCCGGGCTCTTTACCTTCTTTTTTCCGCGGGCGACAATGCCCCCAGATGAAGCGGCGCTCCTTCAACGGTTGCACACGCTTTGGTTTCATGGGGAGGCTCTCTTCCGGGCTGAACTTCCCACTCATTACGATCTCGTTTCCAAAATCTTGACGGTATGGCTTCACGAACGTCAAGCCATTGCTGCGCTGCGTCACTCGATGGCCTCCAGTCCGGGGGCGACGCATGCGGGGCTTGTCGACCGGTTGCTAGCAATGAATGACCTCAGGGCCATGCGACTCAAATGGAAGAATATGAGTCCAATCGATGGGCTCAGCCCGGAAGACCTACTTTGTATGGCTTTCAGGGCGATGACGAATACCGAGGGTAGCGAGTATCTGTTCAAGGATGGGTTAGCACGACTAGAGCTTGGGGTGTTTGAGTTTCTCCGCAATGAGGACTCAAGGATCGTTCTGCAAAGACGGGATACCAAGGCGGTGTGAAGCGGCACGGTAGGCACTTTGTGCCAGTCATTCTTTATGTCAATGTTTCCTTGTCATCTTCTGTAATAACTTACAGCCCTAAAGCGTGGGCGGTTTCGTTCGGCCTGCGAGCGGCATCGGGCTATCTGCTTAGCGACGGAGTTGTTGGAGTATCTTTGATTTAGAGGGAAGCTCAGGCTTGCCGTGGGGCGTGCGTGAGCTGTATGTTTTCGGACAGCGTGTGTTACTACTAGACTGGTACTACTCTTGTAATGATGGGGGGGCATGAGACAGTGGTAATAGTACTGTAGCAATAAGATACAGCAATCAAAGCTAAAGTGAAATGTCACCAATGGCAAGGCAGAGAAGAGGTCTGGGCAATTTTGTATCCTTGTTGAGGGTGTGGCTACTCAGTCGTCGTCTGACCATGTATACGTTCTCACGTGCACAGGGTAGACTTGTTCAGAGCTGGACGATTGCGCATGGCGATGATCGGCGGTTGAAGTGTGAATCTTCACACCATCTCCGCCCGTCGGTGGCTTGCTCTATCCATTCCCCCCCCCTTTCGCTTAGGGCCATGCATGCAGGATCAACGATGGCTGCGACGCGTCTTCCCGAAGGCGAGCGCCCGTGGTGGCTGCCGGTGTAACAAGGACCCCAGGCCAGCCTCATGACTCTGCCTAAGCCTCGCCCATCCACCAGCAACGCCCGCGCACCCTCGCCGCCATGGACGGCCTCGTGAATACCTCACGCGCGCGCCCCGGCCGCACACCCTCCTGTGCTGGTTATCGCCATCGCGGCATATGAGGCCTTGAACTATCGCTAGCCGTTTGCGCAGCGCAATCGTCCGCTTGGAAACAATGGTCTTGAGGCTTTTTGCACCGCCTGGTAGGAAGCCACATGTGGAGGAGAGATGATTGGGAGCATCAGCTGACACGGACATGTAGGAGAAGGCCAGCACAGGCTCGTCCCAAGACGCCCGGATCCCATCGGTGCAAATGCGACGCTCCAGTATGCCGTAATCTCCTCGACCGTCCTCGCCGCCGCATACACGTCACTCGCTTCAAGATTCAGCCAAAGAGTCGCCCCCGCGCACGCGCTATCGCGAACCGCTCTATTCATACGCTCTTCGGCACGCTTTGGTGCTGTCGTTGGCGCGGCAGGAGCCGTCGCGAACTGGTATTACTACTCGGCATTTGCAAACGTAGTCGTGTCGCAGAAGCTACCAAAGGCCAAGACATGGACGCTCTACAAGTGGACTAAGAAACCCACGGTCGAAGATGGCGCTTTGGTCGGTGCCGCGCTCGGACTGGCTGTTTCGATACCTACGCTGTTTGCGCGTCGGCTCCCCATACCACGCTGGTCACAATGTTTCGGCTTGGTGAACACTGGCGCATGCACGGGCATCTTGGGCGCCCATGCTTACTTTCAGTATACCGGAGACCGACAGAAAGCTTATAAGCGCCTTGATCGGCGATTGCGGAAAAGGTCACTCGAGTTCTGGGCCATTTTCTGGGACAAGGAGCTCATGGCAAGGCTGGATCCGCTCATGCAACACTATGTACGCCACCAGGGCGTTTGGTATACCCAGCTTCTACCAGATGACGTCTTTCAAGAAGCTGGGGAGCTGGACAGAGGTAGAATGAAGAGCAAGAAGCCGAGTGAAATCGGACAAACGCTTGCCACACAGCAGCCTGAGCCACCGTTTTATACCCAGCCCTTTGACTATGCCGAGGATCTCAAACGGATTACTGTGGACAGTACCCTTGAGGGAATAAAGGAAATGGAAGTCCAGAAGAAGGAGCTGCTTGACGAAGCGGAATACCTCTTGTTCTTCAATGCACAGCAGAAATATGACTATTGTCACCATGTCGGTTCCATGGATCAAGATGAACGGCGGAGACGTTTAAATGAAATCCTGCTTGTTGACATTGCATGGAACCGTCTACGGCACGCCGCAGATACGATTACCTTGCGTCTCACACAGTGGCGTCTATCTCTTCAGCACAAAGCTGCCTGGGAAGCATCCAATTCTGGTGGTGATCATGTCGATGAGTGGCTGCCAATGCCCGACAGGATCGACTTTGTCTCACATAAGCCTACGCTCTCGGTGCAAGAGGTGGCAAAAATGCAAGGTGAAATCGACCTTGAAGTGAGGACGTTCGAGCGATTGTATACAGATCAGAGGCTACCAAAGGAGAGGAGAGAACAGCGGAGACAGGATGCTGAGGATGGCAGAGTAATACTAACAGCAGCGGATCACATTCTGTTCAGGCTCGAAGAGGCAAGAAATGCTGTTGAGCGTTTCGAGAAGAATACGGGAGGAAAAGAGTCTGACGTTGCTGCCAGTCAGAGCGCAATTGAGCCAACCCCAATCGGCACAACAGGATCAAGGGCTAAAGCTGCCATCCCAGTCATGAAGAAATTTGAAAAGTCACAGGTCAATGGAGGGAAGGTCATGGATCCGCCTGATGGCAGATTAGAGCCGAAACAACCATGATCAAGCGTCTGGAACCATGATCACTCTTCTCCAGCGGTTTTCACGGGCGTTTCGTTGGATGGGAAAGCTAAGTTTTTTTGGGTTTCTTCAGTCTGGATACTGGATATCCAATACACATTCTTCTCTCTGTCATTCTCTTCTGGCAACCATTACCAGCTATTTACTTGTTTGGTGAAGCACTCGATAGCCTTGGTTACGCGGAAATACAGGGATGTCTTTAATTTTCTTGATCTACCTCAATCCCAATGTAGATTCCATGCTAAGTAGTTCAGATACAATGTCCTTCACCAATTCAGTCATAAGCCATACAAGGCATACTAATGTGATTATTTTCATAGACCGTCGCTCCGACTGCCCTTCTTTCTCACGCTTCTACAGTCAGCAACATCAATTCATTTAATCTACCCCCGACTAACTCATCTCCACACCTCCACCAAATTCAAAACAACGACACTATCAAAAATTTCTTCATCAGATCGCCCCGTCCGCAATACACGCACAAAAATGGATCACTGATGTTCTGTACGAACAAGGAAAGCGAAGGGGTGCCAAGGCGAAGGTGGCGATACAGGTGCGAGAAGGGTAGCAGAAGCAGGAGCAAGGGGAAGGTGGCCATCAGTTATGAGCTTGACAGGAATAACAGGCAGTGGCTTGTCATGGGTTCGGCAGAGTGAGCAATTAGGTAGTGCTTCAAACTTATCAAGACACTTATTAGGAGACTTAGTAATAGAAGCCTATCGTGTACACCATAAGCGTCTCATCATAAGATCTAGCCATTTTTACCTATCGCTTACAACAACATCCCAGTCTCGTAATGAATACATACACGACAACATCAAGCATTGGATAGAGCAGTGTCATTGTAATTTTCATTCCAAGTGCATGCTAGCTACGTAAGACGCCTTCCTTCCCAATTCTGAAGGAATAAAGAAACCCGGAGCCCTCCGAAAGCCTAGTGGGAGGTCGCAGAGGGGATATCGTATCATGCTATTATTACAGAGGTCCATTTTTAGCCTGTTCATTTTCCGCCTATCCATACGTAGATCGTAAGGTCGTGAAATAATACGTGGAGCAGTCATGTCAGGAAACAATGTGACTGGACGTAGCTTGTCGGGTGATTAAGGTGAGAGGTGCTTACAACTCCTGCTTGGCAGAGCTGGCACTGGAGGCAGCCGCATCGTATCCGCTCTTCGCAGACTTGGAAGCAACTGAAGAAGCACTGGAAGCAGACTTGGAGGCAGCAGAGTTGGCGCTAGCGGCAGCCTTGGAGATGGAAGACGAGGATGCGGAGGCAGACTTGGCGGCAGCACCGCTGAGAGAGCTCGCGCTGGCTCCAGCAGCAGAAGTAGCGGAGGTGGCGCTGGCTTGAGCAAGACCAATCTGCTGCTTGACCAAGTCGGTGTAGTAGGCAAAGCCACCGGTAGCGGCAGCGTACTGGCTTCCAACGTTGGAGGTGGCAGCGCCATAAGCGGAAGCACCAGAGGCGGAGAGAGATCCAGCAGAGGCAGAGGCGCTGTCACCATAGAGACGAGCACGGTGCTTGCGGGCAAGGGCAAGAAGCTCGTTACGCTTGGAACCCTGGGGAACCTTGATGCCGTTCTTGTCAGCCCACTCCTTGATCTGGCTATCAGACCAAGAGTCGAGGAGAGCATCGCTGAGGCTCTGCTGAGCGTTGGCGGCAGCAGAAGAGACGGAAGCGTAAGCACCCTGTGCCTGCTGGCCAGCAAGACGAGACTGACGGCGAAGAGCAGCAATCATCGAGTCGCGGGTGTTGGGCTGGGGGACATTGTAGCCACGCTCGTCGAACCATGTCTTGAGGTCAGAGTCAGACCAAGAATCGTAAAGCCAGTCGCCGGGGTAGTTGGCGGTTTCCTTGGCCTTCTCAGCAGCGGACTGGTAGTTGTCACGGACAGCGGCAAGAAGGGAGTCACGCTGGCGGGGCTGGGGAACGGGAATGCCGTGCTTGTCGGCAAAGGCCTTGAGCTGAGAGTCGGACCAGCTGCGAGTTGTCAGTTGACATGTTCATCATGGATTGAATAATACGGTGCGTACCTGTCGAAGATCCAGTCCTTAACACTACCATAGGCCTGGTTCGCAGAGTCCTCAGTCTCGGTCCAGTACACCTTGACCTGTTCGGCGAGGCTCTTAGCATCCTTCTCGGTGCCCTTCTTCGCCTGTTGGCCCTTGAGGCTCAGGTAGTTGGTGAGCGTGGGAACATCCCAGCTGGTGTAGGGAGAGACGACCTTGTCGTTCCAGTTGGCCTTGACGGTCGATTGGAGGTTCTTGCGGTCAGAGGGGCTGGGGTGAGGGATGCCATGGTCGCTGAGCCAGCGCTCCAGCTCAGTCTCATGCCATTTGTCGTAGACTGTTTGCTTGCGTCAGTATACCGCTGCATGACGCCATGTTTCAAAAGCAATATTTGAGAGGGGTCATGTACTATACGCACCAGCGCCTCCAAACCAGCTGTTAGCCGTCGCCGAAGCAGCAAGCGTCACCACAAGGGTGGAGGTAAGGGAGAACCTCATGATGCGTTGATGCCGATGTGATTTTTGTGCGTAATATGTGGATGAATCAGAGAGAAAGGTTTGGGTATTAGGCAAACTCGACAAAGGGTGTGAAGTTTAGGGGATAACAGGTGTAAAGGCAGCTTATGAGGGGGAGGGACTTGACAATGGCGACTAGAATGTGTGCGTGGAAGTGACGTAGGAGTACACGTTGGGAGCTTGGACAAACAAGATGCACATCGCGCCTGCCTGCCCTCGGTAGCCAATGGGAAGCCCTACCCACATGCGACCGCGCTTTTTGTTGTACGCAATTGTGAGGGATCGCCTTCACAAACGCGGTCTGGGCCCTGTGCATGTTTGGCAGGATTTAGACCCGAACAGCCCATGGTTTGTCAACATGTTTTCACAACTGCGCAAATCATCGGCATGACGACAATGACAAAGATATTTTCATTGCCTTGACTTCACCGGGTAAGACGTGGGTCGCTATGGCATTTCGAAATTTCCCATGACAATATTGCGGGGTGTACTAGCGCGCCCAGCCCCTTACGTCATATCCAAACAAGCACAAAACTTGTGAAGCTCTTTGACATGGAAACTTGTGTGCTGAATGGTTGAAACCTGTGATATCTTGTAGAGTTTATACCGTTCGATAATTACCAAGGCTCATTTTCATTGCTGGTTGTACATCTAGTCCTTCACGCTCGCTATACCCGTGCTTATGACTTGACGCCCTCGGAACCACCTCGCCCGCCTTCGCCTATGAGCATATTAGTATGTATGTAATTTTATCTTGAGGGAGCAGTATACCTTTCCAGAAGCCACTCGGTACTTTGTCCTTTTCAGCATCCTCGTTGCTAACCCGCTCATGCGCCTGTTCCGCCCTGTTACTCATGTCCTTGTTGTGCTCCTTTACATCCTGGCTCTCTTCTTCGGCGGAAGGAGGGTTCTCGTTCAGTATCTTGGGTTGCGCACCTTTGACTTGGTTGGGGCTAGGCTCGTTGTGTTTACCCTGGGCGACGGTTGGCTCTTTGTTGTCTTTCATCTGGCGTGCAAATGTGGAGAATTCGCGCTTGCCTGAAGAGCCCTTGTTCGTGGAAGGGGCCGGAGACTCTGAGGTCAGCTTAGGAGACTCGTTTTGCTTGGAGTTGCTGTCCTTGTTCGGGGATGAAGAAGACTGGCCCTGAGCAACCTTGGGGGGTGGAGGACCGGGGTGCTCGAGGTTCTCGCTGGGGTTCTCGCCCTGCTTCTGTGGTGACTCTCCAGCTGGGTTGCCCTGACCGGAACCGTAACCTTGAGTCGCGAAACGAACTTGTACGCGGGCTCGAGGAGCAGCTGAGAGCACAGCAGGACGCATTGCTGCTAAGCGCAACATCGACATGGGGCGGAGGAAGCTCATCATGTGTATTTTGGTATGAGATTGTGCAATTGAACAAAAAGATCGATCGAACTGTAGGTGTCAGTTCTGTAGGATTGAGGCGACCAAAGGTGTTGCAGTTCGTCTAAGCTCTTTGACGTCATGGTTTCCTAACGCACGTCACTCGCGTTTCGCGTCCTTAGACTGCAGCGACAATCACACGAAATGCGCATCGGTCCAGCAGTTTATGTCTGCATGTGAAATTTTTTTTAAAGAGAGCGGAATGATGGCTTTATCGATGCGTAGTGTGAGTCGTTATTGTATGTAAGAAGAGTAAAGAAGCGGGAAGTATGATGTATCTCGATACACGTCAACCAGCTGTTAGAACTTGGTTCAGGGATTGATCAAATATTGATTCAAAATGTATTTTACAGGGTGTTCGTAGGCTAGATCAAGTAATTGAGCTACTGCTCAACAACTTGTGGGATGAGTACCTAGGTAGCTCTCAACAGGCATCGAGTCAGGAAAGAATTTCGACAGGATAAGAAAAACAGAAGCTATTGAGATGAGACATAGATAGCATTTACTACCCAAAGCTACCTCAGTCTGTAACACAACAACCAAGGCCAAGACAGCTCGAGCTATGTGCTCAACTCTAAAACCACACCATACCTCTGCCCAGATAACCGGTTCTATCCCAAGATGCCAGTTCCTCATACCTCCCATCGATACCTACTCTCAATCTATCTCATCCTCACGATCTTAGGGCAACTCACGCTTCGCGCCAGCCACCTCCTCAGGCGCAACCCCAATCTCACAATCCGGCCCCTTCCCCCAAGCCTCCTCAAACCGCCACGCAGCATGGTTTTCCAATAGCTGCTCATCATACTCCTTTCTCTCAATCTCCGGCCACCCGTCCTTCTCCTCCTGCTCTGTAGTCACCAAACACCCCTCCATCAGCTTTGCCACACCACACTCCCACTTGCCAACTGTGGGCGGACAAGCCTGCGTGCCACGCGCCTCCATATCATCGATGATTTTTTGGTAGGCGGCGACATCGGTTTCTATGCGACCGAGCCAGGGGTCGTCGTATTCGCACCAGTAGCTAACGAATTCTTTGTCAGTGGGACGAAGGAGGGGGCATGTAGGGTCGCAGTGACCTGTCACACCGCGGGGAGTGCAGTGGAGACAGTAGGAACCGTTGTTTAGGACGATTTGTTGAAGTTGGAAGCGCGTTTCGAGAGTGATTTTGATGTAGGGTAGTGTTGAGCGGATGGTTTGGATGCGGGCTACCGTACGGGGGGTTGCTTGTGGGACAGGGCGTCCGTAGCGTGCGCGGGCTGGGCGGCGTGAAGAAGGCTTTTGGTTAGGTGGGAGCATGTCTGTCCATGATACGTTGGGTCCGGATGGAAGGTTGATATCGTTGCATACCATGATTATGGGTTCAGTTGAAATCAGGACTTGCACTTGGATCTATATCGAATGAATGGAGGTCTGGATGGGATCTTGTATTCATTGGCACGATTTGCAACGCAAAGAAGGGCCGAAGTGCTGTGTGAATGGGGTCCTGTGAGCACAATGCGTTGTTTACAGTGAAGATTGTCTTAGTCAAGAGGAGCGGTCTTACAGCTGGTGCAACTTCAACAGTGACGGCATAAAGAGAGTGAATGATGTGCGAGAGGCGCTACTCTATGAAATTGTAGCTGTTTTAGATTAGCATTGACAGAAGACATGGATTCCATGAAGGTAAAACATAGGAAATCTGTAGAGGAACCGATATCTGCTGAGCTATGTCATACAATCTCATTTCACACTAATAAACATCTACCCATTCTTTTACCGCCCGTTATAACAGAGCAGTAGGTAATTTCTGCTCTCCCAGTATTTCGTCAAAAGTCCTAGGAATACGCTTTCGCTTCACTTCCACGTCTTGAACCATAGTCTGCAACCCGGCCTTCTTAGCTACGTCCTGCGACAACTCCCACGAACATAAGTCAATGTTCACAAACTCGTGGTAGTGTGAATCCAAACTTGAAAGTGATATATCATGTGGCTCTTTGCCCGGTGGAAGTGGCAAGGTCAATAAGCGCGCTATCGAAGCTGACTCCTTATAAGGTTGAACAGTAGAGGTATGAATCGAAGTCCGTATGGGGAAGCGCCCGCGGGTATTCGGTAACCCTAGTGTTTCTCTTCGATCAACAGTGCTGAAGGCAAGCTCAGAATCCTCATCGAAGCTGAAACGGCGAGAGACCAACGGTAATTCCTTAATGGGCCTAGTAGTCGTGTTTTTGGAGGAGTCTCTGGCGAGGGAGCATTTACTTGACATTCTTGTGCTGCGTTTCTCTGTCATGGTATTGTTTCCTCGAGTACTTATCCGCTTGACAGCTGTTTTGCGGCTTAGTCGTACCGGATCGCTTCTACTACCTACCACGTCACTCGCGGTAGGGTGTGAATCGGTCATAGTATGTGTGCTTGTAATGGTCCCAGACCCATAATTTTCTGTCAACTGTAAAGATGCTAGTTCTGGATCGTTAAAGCGCGTACATGAGAATTCATTCGCGGAGGTGTGTGAATGAACGACAGTATCGGGCGTAGTGTCATGAATATCACCTCCATACTTGCGAACAAGCTGCAGAGGTGCCGGTTGCAGCCCTCCAAACCGAGTACGTGAAGACTGCGCCTCTTTGACGAGCACATCAGGCTGTACGATACGAGCTATGCGCCGTCCATACTGGTCCTTCACGAAACACGCGTCCCGAATTTCCATATCACGATCGGTAGCTTGTGTCCTCGTTCTAGCGTGCCAGGCCTCAACTTCTGACATAGAAACTTCTCCTGGCTCTCTATGCTTCTCGTGCATATTCTTTGGGGAATTTGAAGAAAGATTGAAGATCCTATGCATAGCTACGTAGCTTCGGTATCTTTAGTACAGGCGAGAACTTCTGCATCGTGCAGAAGCGAAGGTTTTGGAGCCATGCGTGATTGCTTTGTAAAAACATTGTGAAGATGTGGAAGGTCCAGGAATGACCGTATGCTACCATGGACATTGTTTGCCCATCAACGTCTATCACGTAGGATTGTCATGATTGGGCATGGTCCTATCGATGTGAGACATACCCAGAGTGACTCTTGATATACCAATAGACGGTTTAGATTGGGACACTTCCGAGACAAGGCGATATGAGCACGGTGCCACAGCTAGTACCTTCGACAACCTTGTCGAGATCAGCCATCCACCTCCTCTTTCCTCCTCTTCATCTCTCTTTCGACAGCGTCGACACTCAGTGGTACCTTTCTACCCTTCCATCTCTTCTTCTCCTCCGCTGCGAATCCCTCCAAACTCAACATGCCCACACACAAGAATCCCAACACCTCTCTGTCTGTATCAAAGACCTCCCACCACTCGCACTCTGGCATTTTGATGCCTGTTTCTCTCGCCGCAAGGTATATGCTTGCCGTCGCCAGTACGGGTAGTTGATGTGTCAGGTAAAGACATTGTGGGCTTAGAAGCGCAGTGTTCAAGTAAGCGATTGCACGTTTGGCGAGCTCTGAGGCGCGGGGGTGCGTGAAGACGTCGAGAGCTTGCAGATATGTTATACAGAGCGTGTATGGGAGTTGGACTTGTACGTTGAAGCCAAGGGTACGGAGGATGCGTTGTTCGGTGGTGAAGAGGGATGCGCGGCGGCGCTCGTATGTGCCTTCTGTCACAAAGTACTCCAGTGGATCTTGCTTTTGCTGAAGCTGCTCCTGGTCGAAGAAGGTTGTAGGAAGTGAATCAAGGTACGCGTATACGTTGACGAGACTCCGTGCCGACTTGGGATAGGCCGAGAGCTTGGTTGTGAGGTAGAGCGACGCTGCTGAGACCTGCTCTGCGCCAAACTCGGCGAGACTTCCACCCTCGGGTCCAAGCCAGAATCGCATGAATACAACAATCGCCTGCGCAATGACTTCTTGTGGCAGCCTCAGCAAAATGCCCGCAGCTTGTGTGAGCCTGGCGCCGGCAAAGCGTATCGAGTCTTCGAGATCAGGTGGAATGCCATCGAGCTGGGAGCCGGACGTCTCTAGCTGGCCGACGGTGGCCAATGGGTTCGTAAGAGGTGAAGGCTGCATTTTGGAAGAGCCTTGTCTGACTCAAAGCTCTCGCTGGTTGGTGTGGTAGCTTTGCGAGCTTGAAGAAGAAGTTGGGTATGGAAGAGCTGTGGAGCTACCTAGGTACCACCCCCGGCGTGTCTCGGTACACTAACCTCCATCCATCCTAGTCAACCGCATCTACTCCACACTTTGACAGTGCTGGTCAAATTACAAAATCGCGGCTTATAGTGACTTTCCTGCTCGGCAAGACTATTGAAAATACAATTTTCGTGAGGATATAAAGCTGGATATTCGTCCAGTAACCAATAAGAAACCGTCTCCTTAGCTCAATTGGGAGAGCGCCAGACTGAAGTCTCAGTCACTAAATCTGGAGGTATCGTGTTCGATCCACGAAGGGGACATCACCGTGCTTGAGCTTGCTCAAGACAATTCGAACCACTTTTTTTGCTCTTCTCCTGTCAGTGTCATAAGGAGCAACAGGCCCTTTTTTTGTACACATAACCTGTCCGCGTAGATCCACAGCTATATTTCTTGACTGCAGTAATATCACAAGGTAATTCTACGAACTACTTCACAAGCATACGTGAGAATGTGGTTGAAGAGAAGAAAACCTTTCTATAAAATTATTATGCAAAACTACTAAAGACGAAGTGGGTATCTTGCCGGCTAAATGCTATCCAAAACCGCTACGACTGTACAAGTACATGCATACAACAGATGAGCATAAAAATCAAAACCAAAACGCCGAATTTCATCCGTTATCCTTTAGTCAATGCCAATCATGGTGCCATCGCACCTCCAGTCATCGACTTCGACATCCCTAGCCGCAGTAGTGGTGGCTTCGGGGTCGATCTGGACATGGCTCAGCCATGTCCCAACTCGGTTTGCACCGACTTTTCTTCCATCTTTTGAGAGTCCGGCCATGGTCGAAGAGGTGACCACTGGCGAAGGGGCAGAACGCATAGGAACAGGGGCAGCAACAGGGGCAGAACGCATGGGAACAGGGGCGGCAACGGGTGCGGTAACGCGGCGGCTACTGCTGCTGCTAAAAAACGAAGCTCTAGGGGTCGAGGTACGGGGGGTTGATGTACGGGGAGTGGATATACGGGCGGCGGTGCGGGCGGCCGAGGTAGGCATAGAGCGGATAGCGTACGAATCATTCATGTGGTGGCCACCGGCATTGCCTAGGGCGTAGAGGCGGATATCGGGCTCTGTCCGGCGCGATTCGGAAATTGCTGGAGTAGGGTTGCGAACGTGGAGAGAATCACGAAGGTGTGCAGACATGACTCGTTCACCGCGATCGAATTCGCGGTCCCGCTCGACACGTTCGCGGGCTCGGGTGCTTGGGCGGCGAGCCAGAGGGGGTTCCTCGGCAATTTCGATGACTTCAATATCGGGGTATCGGGGTTGGGGTACGCGCATATCGTTCAATCGATCGTCGTCGGGAATATGTTCGTAGTTGAACCAGGGGCAGCTGCATGTCTTCCAGGGCGCTGCGCAGACCATGCAAAATTGAGCAGTACAGCGGCTGAAGCTAGTTAGCTGATTGTTGGATACATTCAGAGATATCGCACTTACCAGGTCATGTGATTGCAACCCTCCTTGAGCTCAACCACAGCCTTGCAGCTGTAGCATCGCTGCCAACCCTGTTCCTTGGCCATCTCGACGACGCGGTTGGTCTCCTCATCCTTTGGACATTCCCGCTTGGTGTGGAATTTACTGTTGCACAGTACACAGATCTTGGTGCTGCATGCACTGCATCGTGCGTACTTTCGGCCGTAGGTGGGATCCATTTTGATCTTTGATGGCTTGACCCATTGGCCGCATCCTTTAGAGGGACAGTATAGGCGGTTGGCCGTGGTGTACTCTTGGAACTTTTTGTTCCAAAGTGTCTTGAACTTGTCATCGAAGAGGCGGTCCGCGTACTTGAGGGGGATGTGTTCTGAAGTGCAGCATCGTGGTGGCATGTGAGCCGGGTCCTTGACTGAGAGGGAGAATTGACGCTTAAGACATGAGTAGCACATGCGGTGTCCACATGCAAGCTTGACCGTTTTGTTGAGAGGGAGGTCATCATTCATGCATACTAGACAGTCAACTCTGCAACAAGGGTTAGTAAGATTGGCGACAGACAGGTCATGGGTTGGTACTAACCTCCTCTCCTCCTTGTGAGTTCCAGCAGACGGTGCGCGTGATATCGACGGCTTGAAGAAACTTGACAGTATGCCCCCGGTACTACGACGGGCAGCTTCCTTGACAGACTGAGTCCTGGTAAGAGGTGGTGGTGGTTGAGCAGGCGACTTGATAGTGCCTGTGCGTCGCACAGACGGTCTGGCCGACGCATGTGCTTTTGATGATTCTCTTGGTTCTCTGGTCTCACGTGCCTCGCGTGTCTCGCGTATCGATGTAGTCCTTGGCCTAATTAGTCCAGCTACGTGTACAAGTGGAGACCAAACCAACCTGGTCACTGGCGGAATTTCGACCCTGCGGACAGAAGCCGATCCAGAACCTGACAGCGGAGTATAAGCAGTCCTGCTCGATGACCCGCCCTCCTCACTGCGCTTGCGGGTTGACGGCCGTCTCACAGGGACCTCCTCAGCAACGCGGCCTCTAGACTTTGATTTCCCGTAGACAAAATCATCCCGGTCATCAGCAACAATGTCCCTCTTCTTTGTGCGTTTCGAGCTGTCCCGTCGCACCTCCTTCTCCTTGCTACTCCGCGACTTCTCCTTGACGGGCTCTCGCTTGCTCGACTCTCGCTCTCGCTCTCGCTCCCGCCGCGACTCTGGCCGTGAAGTGTAGTACGACTCTCTACGCGCACGCAGCTCATTAATGTCCATGTCTGCCTCCCGCCGTGCCTCTTCTGCCCGTCTGCGCTCCCGTCGTTCTCGTGTGGCGGCCGAGGGCTCATCGTCGTATCCGCGTTCCTTGTGTCGGCTGCTGGTGTGGCGATGTCGCCGCTCCCGGTCGTCCATATAGTCGCCGCCGTCGCGGTATCGTGTGCTGCTGCCTCGCTCATCGCGAGGCCTCGCCATGCCCGGAGACGTCCAGGCAATATACTGGTTCCCGACTACCAGCCTCGGAGGTCACATAGGGTCTCGCACGCTCTCGCAAGCAACTCAAGCAGCTGTGCAGGCGGCGCACAAAAGCTAAACAGGTGTGTGGAGAGTTGCGGTGGGCGTGACGAGCGAACAGCGAGCACCTGCAGGCAGCCCAACCCTGATCAGACTAAGCCTGACCACTCGCACGGGGCAAGCCCGTCGGCGGTGAGCGCGCACAGAGTACAAGCTGATCCAACCTTTCACAGGGCTTTTCGCTAACGTTCTTGGACGTTGCAGGGGGTGGCGTCAGGCAGAGATGGACTGGGTGCCAGCTGTTCGCGCATGCGGATGATGTAGTTTCTGCCTGTCGCCGTAGGCAAACGGATGGCCCGGCTGTGTGCCGGCGCTTCCTACTTTTCCGCCAGACTACTTGTGTCGATTACCTACGTCGACTACTGTACTTGGATACGTATGTAGATGCGATAACGGCAAAACAAATTTTCTGCCAACGCTGAGACAAGAGGACAGGAGATGGTGATGGTTCGCGAAACGGCCGTTGCACTGCCCGTCGGGGCCACCTTCGGGCTGCCATCCGCCAACACGCGGGATTTGCGCTGATTTGCACTCCTATCCTGAGAGATGACTCGCCACACGGCCGGGAGAAAAGCTTTATTGCACAACCTGGAACCTACCTAAGCGCACATGCACTGCCGCCCACTTCAATCCCTCTCCAGCGTAATTTGGGTCGACACTTCCCATTTCTGCCCTCCGCTGCCGTATCCGCCGCCCAAGCGATTGCGCACCATGCTGCCGACGCGGTCCCGCAGGCGCCCAATCTCGTCCAGATTCCGTACTCGTAGCTTTAGGTTTGCCTGGCACAGTCCATAGTGCACCTGCCAAAATTTCGCCTCCTCTACCGTTCGCACTGCTGGGTCCGTCTCCAGGTCGTACATGACATCCGCCACGCCCGGTCCCGAATAAGACATGAGCAGCATCTTGCCCAATGTCCATCCCTGAATCCACCCTAGTGCAACCATTGCAAATGCAACCGAAAAAGAAAGTGTCCGGTCTAGCCACACGTACATCTGAATGCTCAACAATGGCAAGACAAGGAGAACTGCTGAGCAAGACAGCGTAAGAAAGTGCGACGGGTTGCTCAGCACCGACGGCAGGTTGGCGATGGCACTCAACCTCATCACCTTTCCTATGCGCGCGTGGTTCTTGAGCAAAAAAGCAGAGACCAGCGTCGAGATAATTCCACTCAGCGCAGCCACGTCAATGCTTCCGGGCGAGACCCTTTCGTGGGCCGTCCCGTGATGTGCCTGGTGTCCGCCTGTGTTTTCGAGTGCATGCGTCAAGCCGTGAGATATGAGATCCAGCCCCATGAACAACAGTCCAACAGACATGCCCAGTCCGGCAATGACCTCTAGACGCTCGAAGCCAAAGGGATGACGTATGCTCGACCGCTTCCACACTTCAAAGTTGGCCCCGACGTCTACCGCGACGCACAGAAAAGCCCCGAGAGCGTCGTAGAAGATGAGCCGGGACAGCACGGTAAGAGCCAATGACTCGTGCGCGCCCCATTGCACAAGCCCCGCTACTACCAAGTGGCAGAAGCACCATGCTAAGCGTAGCTTTTGGTCCTTTGACATGGACGAGCGGTACTCTTTGAATGTGGGGATGGGCAGCGAGGCGGGGAGCTGCAACGGCGCGCGCGGTGCGGGTTCTAGGAAGATCTGATGTGACACACTACTGTGCTTGTACTTGTGTCCCCGTCGTCGTCCGATATCCTGGTAGTATATGTTAATAAGAGGCCATTGTCAACAGAGCTTGGACGGGAGGAGCGCGCACGTTGGTTTTGGCCTGTAGTCCCCCGGGCTGGTAGGCGACCGTCTGGAAGTTGAAAGGGTTGGGGTTCTGTGAGGCGCTCATCGAGGTGGCTTCGCTGTCCATGGTGCCGCTGGTTGCGCTCGCTGGAGTATAGGGAAAGGTGGCGCTCGCCGGTGTATATAGCGAGGCCGGCGAGGCTCTCTGGGAGACGGAGTCGCTAGGACCCAGTGTCGCATACTGCTTCGAGGGAAACGTCGCAGACATAGGCGAGAGAAGTGCGTTGGAGCTGAAGGCCATGGGTCGTCCAGGCAGACCGCCCTCGAACCCCAGTCCAGCCGACTGGGGCGCGGGCGCGGGCGCGGGCGCGGACGCGTGCTCGTCAGGAGGCGGCGTAGGGGTGCGCGGTGGAGCAGGCAGAGGCATTTGTGAAGCCATGACTGCGCGCAAATGAGAGACGGCAATAAGAGACAGTTAGCGGAAGGCGCATAGCACGGCAAGATGAGATAAGAAGCCAGAATGGGCGCGCTTGGCAAGACGTGGAGGGCGTGGAGGGGAAATTGAGGGAGGCCTTCCCTATGCAGCATGGCCTGCCTATGGCCCTGTTCAACAGGCACCATGCAGGGGCCACCTGTGAGCGCGACCGTGACCGCCGTGACCGACGACGTACGTAGGTGCGAAAGACAGCTTGGCCTAACTTAGCTCCGACACATGACATGCCATGCCATGGACGCACGCAAAAAGAATGAAAGACGGCCTTGACGCGGATGCACGCAGTAGTGAGGCCAGCCCCGAAACACTCGACGCTGCCGGCCATCAACGCAGCAGGTCCGGCGGCATTCTAGCCAGTTTCCTCAGGAGTTCCAAGGATGACGGTACAGGGAAGGCGCCAACGGTCCTCCACGGCAGCGACGACGTACACCATGTTCAGGAGGCCGAAGGCGCAAGGAAGGCCTCGTCCATGGCAACTGCCCTGCGCCAGAGTCAAGGACAGGCTGTAGGAAGGCAGCGGAAGGGCTCTCTGAGAAAGGCAGCCATGGCGAAGATGCGAGAACGAAGCAGCTCTCTGCGCAAACCCAAAACGCCAACCATCATCACCACCACCACCACCACCACCACTGCGAGCCCGGGCCCGACGGACAAAGCCGCACCCCCAGCCCGCTTTGGTTACGAGAACGCGCCCCTCAACTCCTCCTCGGACAGTGGGTGGTTGCCTGCCGTCAGTTTGCTTGCGTCTCCTCCTACCCTGGCCACCCACCCCACACGTGACCATGGTCGAAACTCTCCTCCGCCCTTGCTCGCCTCACCCATGACCATGGCGGCAGCTTACGCTTCGACTACCGACGACGACGACGACGTCACGTCCTTTTTCCGTCCGTCGGTTACAAGCAATGACTTCTCCTTCACGGGCCCTTCTCCTGGCCTTGGCACATCGCTCGCTCACCGCCGCTCGACTCGCAGCAGCCGGCGCACCTCAGTTCCGACAATCGCGACACCTGCCGAGATTGACCCCGCCGAGGAGTGGGATTACAGTGAGACCGAATGGTGGGGCTGGGTCGTGCTTATAGCCACTTGGATTGTCTTTGTCGTGGGAATGGGGTCCTGCCTCGGGGTATGGAGCTGGGCATGGGACGTGGGCGAGACACCATACGCACCACCCGACCTCGAGGACGACGCAACCCTTCCCATCACCGGATACTATCCCGCCTTGGTCGTCTGCACTGCAGTCACGAGCTGGGTATGGGTCGTGGTTGCCTGGGTGGGCATGAAATACTTCCGACACGCCAAAGTAGGTGTCGACAGTTGACCGCAATACGGCCACCAAAACGACACATTGATTACCCGTCACGATTGCATGAATGAAACCAAGGTACCGGGAACGAACCTCTTCCTTAGTGCATTCGCTTAGCAGTTCTACATGCGCAATATGTTCTTGGGCTGAAACACTAAGCTATAATACGTCTATTAAGACCACCTTGGGGCCTCGCTATCCCATGTTCACCACCGTAATACTGTAGTTGCTTCTGCTAACCTTTTCTCACCTATTCTTACTCGCCCTCAAACCTTGAGCTGAGCTCATCTGTCCCCACTGCAGATCATCTCGGCCGAATACAATAGATGTACAGATGCTCACAATCTCCTCAGCCATCCGCTTTGATCCAGAGCCTTTGATTTCAATTTCCGCGCTTGGCTCTTCCCCACTTCGATCCTCTGACCCTGCCACTCGGGACATAGGCCCTACTGAACATGGTGCGAACACCTCCAGGACATCGCGTCACCCTGCAACCTCCGATCCCACTGCGGTACGGGAACCAGGGTATCACGACGTGTCCTAATCCAGACAATGTAAGATGAAGGCAATTTCCCCATTCCCGCAACTTCATAAAGAAAATGGTCGCCAACATGCGGCTGATAGAGGGTAGATTGTATCAAACAATTGCATCGTTATGGCAATGCGTCGAGGTCAACGAAGGAGCTCTAAACTCGAAGAGCTACTACCAATACTTCTAACCATCAAAGGCCTAGACCCCAATACTAGCAACACGCGGGCCCCTGGAAAGCCGGGACATGCCGACCCCGTACGGTGCGAACGACGGACGAAGATTCCATCGGCACGGAGACAACAACCCCTTTCGACCACGCACCACGTGGGCCATCGGAGGAGTACCAACACACCATTTCAGTTTTTCGAGCTACCCCAAGAGATCCGTGACGAGGTATACTCGTACCTAGTCGTCCATCAAAGCAGCCCACGCTCGCCGCCCATCCTCGACGCCACGGCAATCTTGAAGAACCGAAAAAAGCGCTTGGCTGCCCGCAAAACACGGGACCGAATGAACCTCCAACGCCTCTCGGATGGAAAGCGGCCCATATGTCCCCGCGCCACAAACACGGAACCAATCCTACACATGGACCTCGTGCGCACTTCGCAAAGATTAGCACACGAAGCGACTGATTGCATGTACACGAAGAATTGGTTCGCAATCTCGCTCAGCAAACTCCCTCAACCCACATTCGAGATACCGCAGGGTTGGGATGTTTCGCGCATCAAACGACTGCAAGTCGAAGTCCAACTAAAAGATGCGATACGCATGAATCGCTACATCGACTGGGCGTCCTTCTTTGTTGCTTTTCCCTCGCTCCAGTTTCTGCGCATAGTGCCTACATTGCACCCGCGGTATTACGAATGGGCGCGTTCGGAGTTTTGCGATTGGGCGTCTATCCCGTTTGTTCACAAGGCATTCTTTAGAGAGTTGCTTGCGGCTATTCCGAGACATGTTGATCTCACTATTGGGGTGCCGGTTGATACAAATGTGCAGCTTCAGGGAAAGGTGGCGCTTGAAGGAAAGTTGCTGTGGGATATGTATATTGAGTTGGGGAATAGGGTTGATGGCGCTGGCAAGTTGATTCCTGTTAATCGGGTGCTTGTCTGAAACGATCGAATGAATAGACGAACGACTGGTCGGAAAGGAAGCATTGTGGTGCTGGTGCTGGTGCTGGTGGGTGGGTTAGTTGTTTACGTTTTACTCTCGTCACGCATTGTTGTTTGTTTTGTTTCTCTTTGCTAAACAAACGACACATCCTGCTGCGGTCTCTACCTCACGAATGACGTCTTCTCTTGTCAAATATTGGATGGGCTCTCTGGTTACATGGTGGTTCTTTCCTTTTTCCTTTTGATCAAGCGCAACAATATTTCTATACTTGTCTATCTGTTTCGTATGCATAACAGCCAAATGTTTCCATTTGCCGTATTCGCATGCGTTCATCCACAGTCATCCAGTTATCCTTCTGTTTGGTCGAGTTTAGTTTTCTTTCAACTACCCGCATATTCAATGCGTTGGAAGCAACGAAGCCACTAGGTGCTTACCCATGGGTGGCCAAGGCATAAAAACTCCGATTCCATTTGGCATGGGAATGAAACTCCGCCACGGCAACAGCCAAGACGGACAATACAGGCTCGAAAAAGAAGCAAACATGAGAACACGTGGTTCAATTAATGCCACACGGCACGGAAGATTTCTATTTTTGCTGCTGCGGGAGGCAAAGGAGGAGGGGTCTGGGATGAAGGAGGGAGGGGTCATTGGGAAAAAGGAACTCCTCCTTCCGATGATGAATCTTTGAGCGGATACTTAAATATCCCAAGCTGATAATGGCAGGTAGATGATTGAGGAAAACGATGATGGCGAAATCATGTAATATAATGTAATAGGGTGAATTGATTCTTTTAAACACCTTTCCTCGATCCCATAGTCCAGTCTAAAGACATGCAAGCAAAGCACGCCATTGAAAAATTTCAATAAAATATACAGATAAAATCGAAGTAAAAAAAACGTCACGCCAAATGCGTGTAATAGACATCTCGTCTCAAGGACAGAAGACACATTTCACCCGTAAAAACGATACCATGCCATGCCATGCTACATTAACTCCACACCATATAAATCAAACACATGGCATCAAAGACTCTAACACACAAAATACCCCCAGTCTGTTGGAAATATGATAGAGGAAAAAGTCGTGTTGCGTCGTTGCATCACTCCATCTCACTTTCTTTCATTCGCTCTTACTTCTACTCTCGCTTGTAGGGGTTGTTGTTCGGTTGACCCCAATGTCTCTCGCCCTCGTCCTCTTCTGCCTCTGTTGCTCGGGGGCGGCTGCGTGATCGAGGAGGTGGGACCATGGTCTGGTACGAGTACTCTTCGACTTGACCGGTGGATATGGAATTGGGAGATCCGGGTGCGGTGCTGCGGGGTGGTTGCAGAGGCGGTGAAGCGTATGAATTGCTACTGGACGGTACTACGTGAAGTGGGAGAGGTGGCGGCGGGTTCTGGCGAGGAGTATCGACCGAAATGCGGGAGCCAAAAGGCGATAACGTGGAGCCACCCTTTCGCTTTCCGACAGAACTGGCCTTGCGCAACAAACCACGCACTTCGTCGAGGTCTGGCCTTTGATCTGTGCTGGGTCTGCCAATGGTGCTGCGATCATCGCCACGCGCATCCCACGTGTCGTCACGAATCGTGTCCAAGCCTGGCTTGCGGTTGTTGAGTGCGCTAATAGCGTTGTCTTCGCCAATACCGAGGTAGTCGGTGCCGGTAGACTTGCCGGTATTATCTTGGTTAGACTTGTTGAGCGGGTTCAGACGACTGGCGTCAGTCTTCTCCTGGTAGCTCTGGTACGCAGCAAGGGCATCAGCCGGCGGGACCGCAACCGACCAAGTAGGCTTATCTTGCGAACCCAGAATAGCATCTCCACCGGCGGGACCGTTGATCGGGACCTTGCGCAATGCAAGAACGAGCGCACACATGAACTTGGATCGTCGAGACGCGCGGAGAGATTCGTTGGACCAGTTGCTCTTGTGTCTAATCTCAACGTGGAGTTCCAGCTTGTTCATCTCTGCAATACTGAACACCTCGATGTCGATGTCAGGATGGAATTCACGGCTGTTGATAGGATCGCGGACGAAGGCGAGCATCTCCTGCTTGAGCAGGTTGACGTCCTCGAAGGACGTTCCAAAATCGCAGAAGACGGATACTTGCTCACGCATAGCTTTGCTTCGTGTGACGTTCTCTACCCAGAGAGAGTTGAGTACAATGTTGGGAATCTGTACTGTTTTGCCGTTGGTAACACGCTTGAAAAACAGTGTACAGAAGAGCAATGTGTTCGACAGTAAGCGAATCCGAGGCGATGTCGATGCGATCGCCGATATCGTATGGATGCTTGACGAAAAGGAAAATGCAAGAACCGAGGACTTCTTGTGCGGTCGTCGCGAACACAAAAGGAGAGCGATAGGGAGAGCGGTAGCGGACGTAGCCAAGGTGGCGCGGAACTCGGGAGCAAGGAAAGCAACGAAGACGAAGATGCAGACGATGACAGCAATGGTCATGATAAGGCCGTCCAGAGCGTTGATAGCTTGGTCCACATCATGCATACTAGAGTTGATCGACTTGCGCTGTCTGGCGTAATCAGTCACAGTGATAATCATCTCCTCCAGACTGATGTCGCCGTTTCCGTCTCGATCAATGGCAGCAAAGCATTCTTCGGCTTCTTCTTGGCGGCCGGGACCCATGACTTCAACAAGATCTTCTAGGTAAAGCTCATTCCGGCCTTCTACAACGAAGGACATCCAGATACGCTTGGCAAGAGCCTCAGCACTCTTGTTCCTCTCCAAGGCAGTGATGACGACGGAATGGGCGGAGTTGGGGTCGAAGACTTTCTTGCCGGTGATTTCGGAAGCAATGGTGCCAAAAACGGACGTGATCTTATCACCGATACGACCAGCATCTCGACCAACCTCCTGGATGAGACGCATAGGGGTACGGCTGCCTGAGCGACCATGCTTTGCCGTTCCCTTTTTGCTACCAAAACCGAGATCGAGAATTGTATCCTGGATGATGTAGTCTTCTTCGGAGAATTCGTTGCAGTAGGCGGGGAATAGGGCTCGTGAAGTGTCGTAAAGGACACCCAGTAGGTAGATGTTGCGCTTTGACTCTTTAATCTTGTCGTCAAACTGCTTGCGGTGATAGCTGATACTGATGAGCTGGATCAGGACGCGTTCGGCGAGGATGATGATTGTGCAGACGAGGAGAGCGAGCAGGACAGACTGCATTGTGTTGAGCCATGTTGGGGTTTTCGGACCAGTTCTTTCGGGGATAGGTCTGACAAGCTGCAGGGTGTTAGTGGTTTTCTGATGGTATTGGCGAGGGCAGTACATACAGCAGGGAAGGTAGCTTGGTTGACAATCATCCAGAGCACAAAAGAAAGCGGCTTCTCTACGGCTTGCAGCAGAAGAGCGTACTTTTTGACACCAGGGCTGACGACACCAATGAGAAACTCGAAAATCCTGGGGAGGAAGTGTGCCACAATCTTCATGGTCCAGAAACTAAGCCAGATGATCTCGATCCAGATCCAGAACATCTTCTGGTTTGTATCGCCAATCGAGCCAGTGATGGTGCCAGTCTGGGAGAGAATGATGGGAATAGCCAGCAGAAGCGCAACAGGAGCAACGTAGATCATGTAGCGCGTGACAATGCTCCAGTTCAGGATCTTGTTGTAGATCCTGCCCATGCGGTTGAGGGCCGTCTTTTCTTCGTTGTCGCGGGGAGGTAGCGGCGCGCCCGTCCTGGAGTCTACAACAGCCAGCTTCCTGCGGCCCCTCGAGAACATGTGTGACTTTTCCATCTTCTCATTCTGGTCTATGGGTGAGCCCTGCGTGGGCGTGTGACTGACGACAGTCTGGAGGGGTATGTTGTTCGTCTGGTTGTCCATGTTGCCACCAGCGAGAGGCTGAAAGCCTTGGTTAGAGAGTCGAAAGGACCTCTGGGAGGAGGCTCGTTTGTTGGACATGTGGGGATGTGTCTAGTAGGTATGCGTCGGCGCCTTGGTGGTTAGTTTAAACGCACCCGGCGGAAAGTTGCAAGTGGAATGGAGCGGTTGAGGGCGTGTGAGAGAAAGAATGGACAAGAAAGCTTTGGAAAGAAAGTGCGTCGAGCACTTTTTAGTTGTTGGCCGTGGCGTGGTACTAAGAGAAAGCGTGAAATGACAGCAATTGAACGAAGGCCTGCCGTCGGTTTTCTATGTGGGTCAAGGAAACAAGGAGACAGAGGAACGAGCGAAGAAGGCCCTCAGGGACTCAATGCAGAGAAGTAGGGGTGAGGACTCTTGTGAATGCAAAAGTAGTTTCTGCAAGGAGGCACATTTGACGACGGAGCCCCAGACCATGCGGCCAGGGATCTGCTAGTGCAGAAGCCACTGCGAGTGTTGCCGGGATGTGAAACTCCGCTAGCTACCGCCACAACGAATCACCGAAACCATCTCTGAACCCGCCTGGCCGTACATACAAAACTGCCCGGTCGGCTCGAGAAGTTGCCATGATTCTGAGCACTTGAATGCAATCTATACAAACCGAGTCCTGGAGTAACAAGAAACTTGCGCATCACGTGGCCGTATATCGGTGTTTGCCTTTTCCATCGCACATAGACACATGCCATGGTTCAACCGATCCACCATCCCTGGCGTGGATCAGATCTAGCCAGAGGTGCCGGCACTTGTCGACACGCGTATCGATAGGCCTTAATATGGCCAAAAGATTGGACAGTCGACGTGGTAAAAAAAAAAGTCGATCAGAGATGATTTGCATTGCTATGATATCACAGCTCCAGTCTGTCAGTCCACATGGCAGATCGCATCGTCACCTTGACTGTGTGGACGCTTCTCTTCATAGCGCCCCACTCTGTGGCATGGCGGGCTGAAACATTGAGCCTGCGCAATATGAGGCCGCGGACCCCTTCAGTATAAACTCACTATTTGCTACAGCTTCTAGCAGGGCAATTGCGCCGGCACTCGGGGCCTCATGCCTGTCCTGTGTGCAATTCGTGGATCCACAGCCTCGCGCATCCCGTTCACGGTCCCAATCGAGACCTGTCCACGTAATCGCTGCCCCTGTGTTGAGCCGCCTCTGTGCCTGTTTCAGCCACACTTGCATTTTAGTTGCTCAGCTCCCCCGTTGCAGCGCTGCGAACCCTATGGCTTTTTTCAACTGTCAAATTTCTTTCGTTTTCAACCGTTGCTGGTCGTTTCTGCTTCTCGCCGTTAAAGCACGCGCGATGTTTTGAGGATAAATAGGGAGCCCGGAGCGAACTACTTCTTCTATTCTTAGCATCGCGCATCCCGACCACTCGGCGCCGGCGATCAACCGCTAGATGTATCCACCAGCCAAGCACCATTATTGCGCCAAACTTCGTATTTACGCATCAATATGTACTTGAAGTTAATACATTGGTAGGCTATTTCGGTAGGCGGCACCCGGCACGACAATGACGCACTTGAACACTGCGCGTCATTGCTGTAAACAGTCCCGAAACTCGACATATCAGAACTGTAAAAACCGAGTCGGCGGGTCCGGAATACAACCGTTTTAGTGCGATGGAGTCATAGTGATAGCTCATAAATTCGTAATATAATACAACCTTCAACTGTTCCCGCATAGCGCGATACCAGCAACGACACACCAGCCCCAATTCCACCTCGATGCACTGACAAGGTCGTCGACATTCAGCATTCCAACCCCAGCATCTATCAACTTCTTCCACACCTCATCTCGCCTGCCAATCGGCCAGCCGGGGGTGTCCCAATATCTGCTGCTCAGTCCCTTGTCCTGGGCTGCTTTTACTTGTACTTTGATCTGATCATTTTGGGACGACGATAGAGTCTTGAACCATAGGCTGCCTACTGCGGCCTTGAGGGAGCTAGACGCGTAGTAGGAGTTTGTAGTGTTGTATTTGGCGTCGGAGATGGTGACGAGAGGAGCATCGAAGAAGACGTAACGGTTGGTTGAGTTGGCTTGGACAAGGTCGAAGGGCGTGTTCCCTGTGCCGACAATGGTAAGGGGCCCTTTGTGAAGGGTTTCGCCGTCGTAGTACGTCAACCAGTTCTTCTCGCGAAAGGGTGCGAGTTGAGAAAGCAGTACTGGCCACGTTGCTGCACCGTCGGATTTGAAGTCTATCAGCAATACAGTGGACGCGCCTGGGTCCATGTCAAAGACTCCCGTATCCTTAATAGGTTCGCTTGCTGCTGTTACATTTCTGTTTTCAAAAATGTTCATCAGTGGGTCCAGGTAAAGGCTCCTCAGGGTCCGAGTCTTCTTGGTAGACTTCCAGTTATGGCTGACTAGCAGCTCGGCGTCATCAGTCAACCAGATATCCGCCTCGAAGCTAACGCAGCCTGCTGTGAGGGCTGCGTACAAGGGAACGTGACGCCAGTAGTCATTGTGGGAGTGGCAGTTCTTGGGCTCAATGTCGCGGCTAAAGTCGTCTTTCCACCCATACTTGAAGGCGCCATTGGAGTCCGGTTCTTGCCAAGTGTCCATGATGTAGTGCAGACCACTATGGTCTGGTCGAGGAGCGAGACGCCGTAGTAGTATTGCTACAAAGGTCATGTATACCCTGTCGTTTATTAGCCTAGGGCTCCTCAGGGTGGGAGCTGAGTAGGTCTTACCCCCCAGCAATAACACCAAGCATCGTCAGAATGATAGCCACGATTCCAAACCATCGCCAACCCTCTCTTCTTCTTGCTCTTCTTTGGCTTTCTGACTCTCCATTCCGCCGTGACCCACGTCCACTCAGACTGAACCTGCTTCGCCAGCATCTCTGTGCTGTGGGCTGAGACCAATCTTTTCGAGCCCCATCCTCCAGGCCCATAGCGCTGGACGAATGGCTCGAAAGCTCATCGTCTTCGTCCCGTCGTGGATCCTTGATGTCGCCGAGCATGTTTGTGTAGAGTGGTTGATACTCAATGGAAGAGTCTGACCTCGTGAAGCCTAATAGATGGGCCATGGTTAGTACTTTAGCTAAAAGGCGTGATTTGTGATTTGGACAGCAACAAGTCTGCGCCACAACGTGGCGGGAGATGAGCTGAAGATGTCTTTCTCCGGGGATAGAAGGTGGGCGCGTCTGGACCACTATGTGTGACGGGGCTAGCCAAACTAGGCAGGACACGATAGACCTGGAAACTATGCGTCCTAGAACAGTGAAACAAATGCTGATACGTACCTATCAATCCCGCTTCTCCGCTGCACAACTTGTTTCACAGAACACCTGACTGACCTTATATCCATCGTCTTTTCCCTTTTTTTTGTGTCTATCTGCCTTGTACGCAGTCCCGACATTTACGCCCTGTCTGATGTTCGAGATAGGTACCCACGCCGCAGTATGCCGCCCAACACGACTATTGGAGCCGAGTAATACCCCATCCAGTCAGGATTCGGCACTGAGTTGCAAAAGACGTCTGACGGCCCCGGACTCTGACTCTGTCCCACTCTGGTTCGTGAGGTGAACCGGCGAATTGCTTGGTCATTGTGGCTAGCCGTGGACCTCCGATGCCTATCAGCGTCGTGACAGAGATGAGGCGTCGTCACTTGTGGCTGTGATCCAGCCATTGCGTGATCAAGCACATGCTGACACCTGTCGACAGGCTTGTCAAAGCTTGTCATCGACGGTAGAGCTTGCGAGAGAATGTGGAGTACGCATCGTATATTCGTTCGCGTTCGGTTGGCCGAATGTCCGCAAGACCGCAGCTTTCCATGCCCAGATTTCCGCTTCCGTGACCGTTGACATACACCCCGTCTGACAGCTGGCAGCGCACCTACGTAAGTGCAGGGTAAAATGCGTGGTATTAATATCTCTTGTCTTTATGTACTGTAGGTACGCCTGACTTTTGTGTTACTGTGATGTTGCGGCACAGTGCTCGGCTACTATAGATGCGGGAATGCCCCACGTGTGTGCGCCTCGCGCCAAATACCCTTTTCGCACCCAGGACGCCGATCCTTTAAAGTGCATCAGGTGTCCAACCACAGTCTTGCGGGTAACGTGGGTCGATGCACATGTCAACGCAAGCAGCTACGCCCAAGGTGGCTTTGAAGGAAGCAGGCTACGCACACCCGAGCACATCTAGACACACCGACATTCACGCACAATTTTGGCCTTCCCGCACTGCCTGAATCATGAAGATTTGGGGATACGCCGCTGTCACTTTGGCGCAATATATCTGACTATGCGCTTCTTCATGTATCCAACACGAGGTGATCATGGCGCTATGGTAAGATGTCGCACAAAGGCCACTTTGTCCTCTTTCTTTTTTTGATTCTTATCGCACATGCTTCATGTATGCTCTAAGACAACAATAGGCATAGTTAACGCTCATGTGCCAACAAGGCGCCTCACCGACTCTTCACCTACATATTGACAGAAAGCATAATAGCCACTCGCGTCCCCAATTTCCCCGCACTTAAAACACACCGTGGATATCGCATTTACTCGTCGTCCATAGAAATATCCATAACACATCGTCCTCCTCCCGTTTTCTCGTCTCTTCGAAACAGCAAACAGAGCTCCATCGGAACGCTAGCCACCGCTACTCAGACATCGACATATCGGTTCCCCACACGACCCCGCACCGCCAAACATTCAGCGAAAAATGGCCAAAGAAACCTCATTCCGCGTCTGCATTGCCTTCCTGCTCATTGTGCAAATCGCCTGCTGGTCTCTTACTCTTCTCGATCTGCTACACCCGGGAAAGCCACACGCCGTCATGCGCACTACCATGGACCTCGTCTCGATATACTTCTCAAGGCAGTCCAGCGCTTTGCTGTCATACCGCGACATGAAGAGCTTGGTGTACTGAATGAGCAGATGGTGAACGAATGCGACTACAGACTTGAGAATGCGAAATACGGCATGGATGACACGAACGCAATCACGAGACAATACATATCACGAAGCAACCAAACGACACCGTCCAGGACGGTAGAGGCCGCTATACGATAGATCAGACGACGAGGTGTGCCAAGAATGAAGCAGGTGACGGAGGAGCGGTGTACGAAGACACCAAGCGCAGGAGCCGAGCCGAGCAGCTGGATAGCGGTATTGGTAAAATTGGAGGAGAGAACTAGCGGGGTTGCCGCATATGCAGGAGCCGAAGCGGTTCAGGTCGATCATTGTTAGGCGTGTTGAAGCTTTGTGCTAATTGAGGGCCATATCAATCTACAACCACATTTATCTTTCTGTATATGCTGCATGTGATGCCTAAGGCCCCAACATCCAATACCATTGGATGTGTTACGCTTAGATGAGTTGTCTCAGCATCGACCACAATTTCATCGTCCCACGATGTTCGACCTCCGTGCGCGGACCCATACCCTTGAACGAAATTGACCGAAACCAAAGAAACCATAGCGATTGTTTAAAAGTGAATAATGAGACACCAGTCCGTGAGATGCACCACGGCTCCCTTGCGCCGTGTGAACACCGAATGAATGCAATTGATAGGAGTGAGGTGGAATGATAAATAGAGGAAATGTGTTCCGTGTTCGTGGAAACACTATTGCGTGGCCTCATGGTTTAGGCCATGGACCATGCTCACTTCTCCGACGTGCTTTTGATCGAGATGTGAGTGGCCGTCAGAAACGTATTGGACAGGTGGCGCCGGGCTGATATCGTCTGCTTGGTATGCATCAGACTCCTTCGGCGCGTCTTCGCTTGGCTTGAGTGTCATTGTGCTATCAGCCAACGTCTCCGATGGCTTAGTCTCTACATCGGCTGGAGCCTCGGGCGCTTTGCCGTTCACATAACTTGTTTTCGACTCTGTAGCCGCCTCTCCGACATCCTCAATATACTGAGGCTTGTTTTCATTTTTATGTTCTCCCTCTGGATTCAGAGCCTTTGTAAGACTCTGGAAATTAAACATTGACTCCGTGCCGGTCGTGTCCTGGGGTGGAGTCTCGCCTTGGCTTAAATTCACGCCCGAAGCATTCGGACTAGGCGCGTAAGATGACCCAGGTGCAAGGCTATTCTGGCCCTCTTGTCGTGATGAGTTTTGACAGGAATCTGCAAACGATGACTCGGACGAGGAGGCGTTGGAGAGGTTGCGCAAGACTGAGCGATGCTGCGACTGCTCATTGAATGGATCAAAAGGTGACGTATCGCCTGGGTCGGATGTTTCTCGTTGGATCTGCGCGCGGCTGACCTCAAGATGCTTTTGCGAATCATCCTTGGAAGTGCTGCTATTAATCGTTGACGTCGGCTCCGACATTGGGTTGAATCCCCCGGCGCCACCAGAACGGTCAACACCTTTGCCTTTGCCGGCCGCTGCTGAACTGCCTGCTTCCGCGTCTTCTGTGTCGCCAATCTCGATAGGGTGGAAGCCACTTCCAATGTTGCGTTGGGCCTTTGCAACTTTCTTAATTTCCTTGGCCTTCTTCTTCCCTTCCTTCTTGGCCTCTTTAGCGGCATCTTTTTCTTCCTTCTTCTTCCGCTCCTCTTCAGCTGCCAGACTAAGTCGGATAGCCTCCATCATCATAAGATCTTCGAGATCGTCAAGTCTGTTACCCCTCCGTGAGCTGAGACGAGCGGGAAACAGGTCGTTCGAGCCTCCTGGCTGACCTGAAGAGCTTTCGCCTTCACGCCGTGGAGTTCCGTGTCCACTGCTACCGGGACTGTCGCTCGCAAACATTCGTCTTCGTCTGCCAAGACCGAAACGGCTTTCTCCCTGTGGGAGATTACCCATCATGTAAGCGGCATTGTGCAGTGCAGTGGCAGCAGCGGCCCTCCGTAGAGCGTGAGATTTCGCGTCGGCAAGCTTCTTGGCCCAATCTGGCCGCACCATGTCGGTTGTAATCACAGTCTTATCAGTGACTGCAAGTAGCGTAGCCCTTCTTCGCCCCGGCCCGCCTGAGGTTGGTGAGTTCAACGAGGATGTGGATGACATTGCCGATGTTGCGTTAGTCATAGTAGTTTGGCCAGCGTAGGCAAGTCCCCGTCTGAACGGTGGAGGTTCATAGGTCACTCCAAACTCGGTTTGTGTGCAATAGGGACATGCAGCTGGCTCCGAGACCAATTGGATCTCTTCATCTGGCTCAGTATTTGCGGAAGCATCGGCGCCAGCGTCTCCATGGTGCTCTGGGGGATGTGGGTCCGGTCGCTTAATCTGAACGAAGCACTCGGAGCAAATGGGCTGGTCGCAGCACCGTGTCCTGTTTAGATGTGGCGGGTAGTACATGAAACAAATGGGGCACTCGCTGGCATTTTTGTATAGGAAAGCCTCGACTCGCTGGCCATTAACATACGGGTCTTTGGGAAGTTGTATCTCTTGCGGGGCCATCTCGGTTTGCGAAGCATTACGAGAGCCGGTGGCGAGAGATGCGAGAGTCTTTGCGCGTCCACGGAAAAATGGGGTTGAGGAGGAACTTTGTTCCATTGGTGACGTAGACGACGAGAAAGTGGATTGCGACGGCGAAAGGCCCCCCGTACGCTGCGGCTCTTGAGACATGGATCGGGAGCCCATGGGGACCGTGAGCTTGTTCAAGTTGGGCTCGGAGCCACGGGGGTTCCATGATGTGCTGAGGCTGGCGTTCACGCGAGGCGGCTCTTCGGGAGGAATGGCATCTGCGGCGGGCAACGGGCGGCCGTTGACAACTTCGACTAGTTGGTGTTCGGTCCATGTGTCTTCATGGTCATCGAGGCCTCTCCAGAAGGGAGCAAGTCGACGTTCAATCTAGCACAAGTCAGTAATTGTGTCGTTTCATCGGGGCTGGTTGGTCGTCCATACCTGTAATTGGCGGACTGTTGGTTTGCTGAAGTCTTCGGGACCTGTGTATACGCCGAGGGTGACTAAATATCCGCCATCGACGCCCTCCTCTTTCAAGCTTCTCTCCCGCTCCTGGGCCCGGAGTATTCGCTCTCGTTCCAGCTTACGGGCCTCCCGTTCGGCCTTGGTCTCTCGCCGTGGCTCCAGAGCGGGATCGCGTTCGGCAGTGTCGCCGGTGCGAATTCCCAGGAAAGACAGGTCCGGTCTGCTGCCTCTGTCCCTTCTCGAGTTGCCGTAAGGATTGTTCCCCGACCGGTCGTGTGTCGAGGAGCCAGGGCCGGCTGTAGTCGGAGAGGCGAGCTGGTGTGCACTAGAACGCCGGCCATGGCCTCTCCGCTCTGGTTGCGACTCTTTTCCCTGCGAGTTGCCCATGATGGGGACCGAGGGACTGCAGAATAGGGATGTCGATGTCCAGACGGATCGCACCCGTCTTGTTGCGAGGCGGGCCGTCGATGATGCCCAAGTCTGGTGGCCCCGTCTGGTCAGACAGGGTCAAGGTCGTTATCGCGACGACTAGCGAGCGAAGGGTGGTGAGGTGTCTGGTGGGAGATAGCGAGTGTCACAAGGACATGGATGCTGGGGAACCTGGCCGTCCGTCGATGGCCCTCGCCAGTATTCGCGTCTCAGGAAACGCGACCAAAATGTACCGGCAGTCGCGATCGACCGAAGATGCACATGGGCAACGATGTAGGGCAGGTGCAATCGTCGGGCGCAGCGTTGGCGACGAGTGCTGGTGGTGATGAGGGAATCCGGGATGATGTCGTTGCTTGGCGGCAACAAGGCAGGTGTGGATCGCGAATCAAGGCTGGTAGGGCCGAATGGGGGGCTCAGATCAGGCTTCAGGCGCAGCTGTCAGTCATCTCAGCCCAGCACTTCATTCACTACATGTACTTCACACTGTACGGCCACTTTGCGCGATAGCTGGAGGGTGAGGCACAAGACAACAAACAGGCTGGCGGCCAGTATGTAGGTATGCAGCCATGCAACTAGCCACCGGAGCTTGTGCCGCCTAGCCACTCGATACCAGGAACAGTCTTTCCTCCCCACATGCGCAATCGCCGCCTTTCAAACATGGCCGCTTCACTTGCGCATCTATGCGTCAGGACGAAATTTCTTTTTTGGCTGTGCCCGACGGCGCTTCTTGGTCCCTATGTTGGCGACTACAGCACACAGTTGGGCGACTTGCGAACACAATCACCCCGCCCGAATGCGGGGCTCCAGATACAATAACTTGGTCAACATGGGGCTGCGTAACATTATGCTTACTACTTTCGGCCTTGCGCTGCCTACTGCTAGCCCCATCAATTTCCTCCCTCCCAAATGCCCACCTCCACTGGATTTTACATTGTCCCAAATTCCCACGATGACTCCCAGTGGTACTTGTCTCCAGGGCCGGAAAGCTGCTTGCTGAGGCGACCCCACTCTGGACTGTTCAACAGTATTAGCTTGGCCCATCCACGACGTCACCATGTACTCACTGGTTAATACCGTTCACGTAGTCTTGAGCCTCAATGGCAATGCAGCCATCGCGAGGGATGAACTTGTCCTGACCCGCAACACCTTGAGTCTTCTTGAATTCGCTCTTTCCGTCGTTCCAGTTGCAAGTGTATAGCACGACAGCATCTTGGTTGGTCCTCAGCTTGGCCTGGATACCGCTAAACTTGCTCGCCAGCGTCAGCACCGTTGCGCTCTTGTTCCTGTTCTCGTTGAAGGCCCAAGCGCCGTTATAGCCGTGGCATCCATTGCCGCAGTGATTCTCAAAGTCGGCATTTCCAGATGCAAACCCAAGCTCGTGTGGCGCAGACCAGAAGTCATCAATGGCTCCAGCGGGGATCTGGGCAATCTCGCCTGTGGGGAGCGCGTTTGCATCGGCCACTATCACCCGCTTCGCCTCAGGCATGTACACAGTGTGGTTCCAGATTGTGCGGTTGTCAGGTCGCTTGAAAGCATCAAGCTGGAAATAGGTATGCTGTGTCAGCATAAGAGGCGTCTTATTGTCCACAGACCGAGCATCCATGGAGATGTGCCACTTCTTCTTCGAGACAGAGTACGTGACGCTCGCATCAACCTGGCCTATCATGCCGAGTGACGAGTTGGAGGCATCTTTGATGGAGAACGTGATCGAGTCCTTGGTCACGGCACTGACGTTCCAAAACCTGTAAGACCAGTTGTTTGTACCACTGTGCAGAGTGTTTGGTCCGTCGTTCTTCTCGGTGTGGTAGGTGACGTTGTCAATTGTGTATTCTCCATTACCAATACGGTTGACGTATCTCCCAGGAATTGCATTGTACACGGGATGTCCAGGATCAACAGCTGGGTCATGTTAGACGGTGTTGGATGAATTGCGTGGCTTGTCAGCTTACGGTAGTACGACGTGTTGTCGTACCCTAGGACAATGTCCAACTCCTTGCCCGCCGCGTCTGCAATGTAATTAGAACCTGTAGTTCCACCTGTCATCTTGATCTTACCTTTGACAAAGAGGTTGGTAAGCGTAGCACCATAGGGAATGAACTGCGCCTTGATCCCTTCGGCTTCAATCGTGTATCTTCCTTGCGCATCTGGGTGTGGAGCGCCTGGGTGTGCAAGTGCACCTCTTACAGCTGACGCGGCGAAAAGAACGGGGAGATACCTCATGGTTGGGGAGACTGGGCTGGAAGGAAGAAAGAACGACCGTACAGGCAAACAAGGTCACCTGCGGCACCTACGCATCTTATACATTACAAGTCCGAGATGGTACACATCTACTCGGGAATAAATGCACGCTCATTTCTGGAACGTTGCCCTCATATATAATTCCGGATGAATCCGGGGTTATACGGCGCCTTGGCCATCTAAAGCAATCTGTATGAAAATTACCCCAGAGCTCCTGCAGGTACTAGATTCCAGAACTGGGTAATTCTATGCTCTAATAGGACACGTGAGTACATTTTGTGCTCATACCTAGCTCCAATGAGTATTTGGTATATAACAAGTGTGGACGACAAGGCGCGAGGGAACATGTTTCCTGGCCATGTGGGGCAACCCAGCCGGATGTTCGTTCCTCAACCCTTGCGCTGTCTCTTACCTGCATCCGCAAGTTCTCGTAAGTTTGACCAGCACCTTTTCGATTCGCGTCTAATCTCCCATAAGCACACTGCATCTTCAGTCTCACCTCTCACTCCGACTTGTTCGTCACATGTCTTGCTCTCTGCTTTCATGCATGTCAGCAACATTCGTACACCTGACTAAAGCTCTTCTCGAACCCTGATCTCCTTGTTTAACTGACTCGAAGCGTTGATTTAGTCATGTGCAAGAATATCAGTAGATTTGTAGGTGCGATAACGTCAAGTCGCAGGACATTACGTCGAAGCCGATAGTGCTCGTCCTGCCATAAGCCGTGGTGGCCTTGTATGCTTGGCATAGGCACGCTCAAAGCTGAGGAACCGAGAGAATGCTGGTGGAACCGTCCTACACGTCACAACCCACTTCTGCCACATTTCTGTTATCTTCCATGATGGGAGTGTTGGAATTTATTTGTGACCGAAGGTTCCACAGGAGCTTTGTTCTTCCTCCAAATATCGACACCAACAGAAGCAAGCCGTACCGTGTATCTTACTCCGATTTTGGACATGTCAACAGCAATGCCGTCGTATTGTTCTGTGGAGCTCTGTTTGGCACTCGCTTGTCCTATTCTCCCCTGGACCAGCTGGCCAAGACTCATCATGTCAGAATTATCCATCCAGATCGGCCTGGCGTAGGTGGTAGTGAATCAGTCGAGCCCGATAAGAGAATACAGACATGGCTTGGTCAGTACAACCACATTCTTTGTATAGACACGTTGCTCACTCTTACAGAAATGATTCCCCAGCTTCTGGCTCACCTGAACATCTCCCATGTTTCAATCGCCAGCCATAGTGGAGGCGACATCTACCTCATGAACTTCCTCCTCACGTACCCCCATCTATTACATCCCGTGCAGCCCTATGTCTGCTTGTTTGCTCCATGGGTCCATCCTACGCACTCAAGAATGTCGGGTTTGCTAGCCACCCAGCTACTTCCGGCTTCATTAATCGGAAAATTCGGGTCGCTTGTCAAATTCGTCAATCAGGAAGTCATTCCATTGGTCGGTCTTAGTGGCACAATGGTAAACGGAATCAGCTCTTCATTGAAGCATGGAGATCGCGCTACAGCTCCCGTTACACTCACCATGCCCTCTGGTAGTGGCTCACGAGATACCACGAATAGCTCCCATGAGAGCTCACAGGACCTTGCTTTAGACGATCCTCAGGTCGTAGACGAGTTGCGAAAGCATATATCTAAGTTCATGTTTGCTGAAAGTGTGGAGGGCTTCTCCATGGATACGCAGCTATTTCTGAAGCGTTCTGTCCCATGGTGTTCATCCGGGATTGCTTGGAATGACTTTGACGACGCTGTACAGCTTCTTTCGAAGACAATTATGGACGACAATCTATTGACTGGGAGCAACCAGGTGTGGATGATTGACTGCTTCCCTGCCGAGAGTGACCAACTTGTGGGTGAAAAGGGCAAGGAATGGTTTAAAGGCATATGGACGCCAAGTCAAAGCTACAAGTATCGCACTGAGGATGTGAAAGGCACGGAGCATGATTTCTTACTGGATCCAAAATTCGGTGGGAGCAATACATGGCTCCAGCGAGTCAGCGAGGCTTGGAAGACTCCAGATCCTATCGCCGCCACTCCGTAATTGTTGGCTGGTTTCCAATGAAGCTTCCACTAGTTACAGTACAAGATAATGAGACATACGATCACCTAAGTGACATGAAATACTTGACAGCGACAATATGGGTAGACCCTAATATTTTATTCCCAATAGCCATGTTTGGCGCCTATGGTAACGTCTGTGTACTGGGATGTCAAGTATTCCATGTCACCCAGGTGGGCGCCTTCTGCTTGTGCCAAGCGGAGATAATCCCTTAATTAACGCCGAACTGACGTATTGATTCAAGCGAGCCGCAGGGTCAGACGCGCGAACAACTCCATAAGTCTACGTCAACGATGGTCGAAGACATGCGAATAAACCCCCAACGCGCGAAGCAGCTCGCAGAGAATATATCGACGATCTCTTCGCGTATCAAGGCGGCCAGCAAAGACAACAAGCAGGTTAGTACTGCACATCTTCTTCCTACCACTTACCCAAACTACCAACAAAATACTAAAGTACATTAGGTGCGCCTTATAGCCGTATCCAAACTCAAGCCCGCAAACGACATCCTCGCTCTACACCAACAGCCAGACCCCACACATACACACTTTGGAGAGAACTACGTCCAAGAACTCATCGAGAAGTCCAAACTCCTACCCCGCACAATACGATGGCACATGATCGGCGGCCTCCAATCGAACAAATGCAAGCAACTGGCCGAGCAAATACCAAATCTATGGTGCGTAAGCAGTGTGGATAGCGAAAAGAAGGCAAATGAGCTAGAAAAGGGACGCAAGGCCCTCTTAGAAAAGGACAACAGCGCCGAAAAGCTCAGGGTGAAGGTTCAAGTCAACACATCGGGCGAGAAGGAAAAATCTGGCGTGGAGCCTTCAGACGCCATCATACTGTGCAGACAGATCATTGAGAAATGCCCACATCTCCAACTCTCGGGTCTGATGACTATTGGCGCGATTGCGAGGAGCAGAGCAACAACGCCGGAGAACGAGAATGAGGACTTTGTGGCGCTACGGGAGACGAGGGATAAGGTTGCCAAGGAGCTGGGTTGGGAGGAAGGGCAACTGGAATTAAGTATGGGTATGAGTGCGGATTTTGAGGGCGCGATTCGAATGGGTAGTGATGAGGTCAGGGTAGGGAGCGAGATTTTTGGGGAGAGGCCGCAGAAGAAGGATGCTGTTGTTAAAGAGAATGTGGCTGAGGAGAAGAGCTGAGGAGAAGAGCTGAGGAGAAGAGCTGAGGAGAAGAGCTGAGGAGAAGAGCTGAGGAGAAGAGCTGAGGAGAAGAGCTGAGGAGAAGAGCTGAGGAGAAGAGCTGAGGAGAAGAGCTGAGGAGAAGAGCTGAGGAGGGTGTTGTGAGTATGTTGGTGGTGTGCAGTTGTATTTGTCTGGTAAGTGTAGGTGGTCTCTTTTCGTATACTAGTTACTAGTATGCCAATTGCTTTATCCGATTTACCTCTACATACAGCTTCTCTGTTTGCCGATGCGATTTCCACGTGGTCGAGCGCACCTTCCCATTGCACTAGGGCGGGTGCTCTTTCTTCATCCCTCACCTCACCTCACCTCATCTCACCTCAACATTCGTGCGCCACATCGCCTCTCGCTCTCTTCAGGATTGCGATATGCGCACTATGAGTGACGATATCGAATTTGTTTGCGCTCGCCCCGTTCGAGGAAGACTGGAGCGTGTTCTGTCGACGCCGCTTCTAGTTTCAGTAGAAACGAAAGCGACATCAGTCATCACACCCACGTTTAGAGGAGCCCGCAAAAGCAGCATCATGGCTGAGAATACCGAAGTACATTGGGCATTCCCTGCTATCTGGAGTCATATGGAACTGTAAGTCATATGTTTATCTGACCCGGCATCACTAAAACAGAGTAGGTTGCAAGGCCCAGCAGTTGAGATAACTGTTGGTAAGAAAGATGCATCAGGCTCCAATAAAGAGGGATGCCAAAAATGGTGCCTGTCTGTGGCTTTGCTGTCGCATCACTCGCCTTTCCTAGAGAAGGAATGCAAGCAAATGGCTGTAGATACTCCAACTATGAGTGTTGCTTTACCAGATACAAGCCCGATCACGTTCAGCGGCTTCGTTGACTGGATGTGTACGTTTGCATTAACAGTTTGCCGGGATTCATACTAATGATATATAGTCAAAGGTTCCTCGGAAGAGAGTGTGACTGACCAGCTTGACCCCACGGCTATACATCCTTACGCCGCTGACTGGATTCTGGGAGCCAAACTTGAGTGCATTGACTTCCAGAACTACGCTATGGAGAAACTCTACAATCACACCCTCGAGGGATCAGATAACCCCCTCGTGGTCACACCTGCAGCCATGGACAAAATGCTCACCAACGAAGGGAACATCTACCTCCAATGGTTCATGCGATGTTTTGTTTGTACTCATTTCAAAAATGAATCCCTGGTAAAGGGCGAATTGTACGAATGGATTGGGGTCGCGCAGAAACATTATCTCTTTCTCAGAGATCTACTGATATCGCTCAAATATAATACTGGAGTTAAAGAAATGCCGCCTAGGGAACGCTACATTTTGAAGAAGAAGGAAACGTCGCCAATACCTTCTACGGACAAAACAAATGGAATGGTAACGCCTGCAAAGAGGGGTGCTGATGGTACGCCTAAATCCAAGGACACCTTAGCTCTACGAGGAGAGGTGGTGGGATCATCGAGGGCAGACACCAGGGAAGCCTCGATTGCAAATGACAAGACCGGCAACACAGTCAAAGGTGATGGCAAGGTAGTAAAAGAAGAGAAGACCGAAGTCGTCACGCCAGGGAACTTGACGCAAGCCGGGACTATCAAATGTGAGCTCACTGATACTTGAGTCGTCCCATATACTTGTATGTACAGTGGGTCATCCACATGGGGTGATTACACAGAAAGCTCAACATATCTACAAGCTCGAAGATATATGAATACCATTTTTAGTTCATGAACCGCTTGCACAAACTAACATACCTTTCATCGTCTATTGCGCAAACAATAGCGCCACCATGACCCTCGTTGCCCCAAACACCCCTTTTGTACGCAGCAGCGACGCAAACGTCTCCGGCACCTTCTTAAGACTAGCACCCATATCCGTTTCCGACCAAACCTTAGGAAAAGCAGCCTCAACAGTGACATCCGACTCGGCCTCGCCCGTCCAATCGAAGCCAATTCGCCAATTCAACTTCAGCAAAACATGCTTATCTTGCAGGACCAATGTATCACGACCTAAATTACGATTCAGATCCTTACGCGATATGCCCGTCTTTGCTTTCGCCTTTGATACGTCATTCTCCGCATCCTCGTCACCGCGTCCAGCGAGCAGATGCGCAAACGCCGTCTCGCATTTATGCCAATACTGCGCCCGTTTCTTCGCAAGTTCCCAATACGAATCCACAGCCCACGCCGCATTACCGATATCCTTCTCCAGCGCCCTCGCGCGGACGAAAGAACCCAATTCGCACTCTGCCCACGGTGAGAGACGTAAGACTTGCATATCGACAACCTGGTGTGCGAGACCGTCGATGGTGATGGCGACTTGGGCTGTGAGAAGTTTCTGGGGGCCAGTGATGCCGATTGTGTGTTTTTGGTGGACGCGTTTTGATGCTGGAAGGATCTTGCTGCGGGGGAGGCTGAGTTGCGTGGAGAAGTTTAGGGAGGTGAACATTTCGAGGTAGGGTAAGGGGTCCGCGAGATCTAGGGGTCGGTGGGAGGGAATGGGCTTGGCTGATTGTTTGGGGCGTGGCTGAGGTACTGAGAGTGCGCCGAAGGGGAGGAATGAACATAGTAGCGTTGATACAGGTGCTGGTTTCTCTGATTCTGTATCTGAGCCGGCGAGTTTTGAAATAAAGGCACTGATAACAAGTTAGTAAATGCTGCGGTGTCATGGATTGTGTACCGACATTAAATCATTGCGCTCCTTTGACGATAAAGTCTCGTCTGGCGCACGCCGCTGCTCTTTGACAACCTCCTCGGCGCATCTTGATATCTCAGCCTCCAAATCTTCTACTTGGCGCTGTAATCGTGCCTTTTCCTGCTTTCTCCGTTCGATATCCGGGTCTGGGGCTTGTATTTGCTGAGTCGCCAGCTGTGTATCTCCTGGTATATTTTCCTGTGTAGGCCCGTCTTCAAAGGTTCTTGTGATGTCGTCTGATTGTACCGCTGGCGCTTTCTGTCGCAATGGAGGTTGTTTCACGGGTCCCTTGGCGCGTGGAGGCCGCTTGCTTGGGGAGGAAAAGAGAACGCCTCTCTCCTGGGTTGGTGGTGTTCCTGGTAGTTCTGACTCGTCGTCTTCTCCTGCCTCTAGTGGCGTTCCGAACGCCCCATTTTCCTTCTCTTTGGCAGACTCTTGAGCGCCAAGGGTTGCGTCGCTCAATTTCTCTCTTTGAAGTCCATTCTGTCCAGCAGCGGGGCGCGGGCGCCTGGGAGATGCGCTGAGAGTGGATCTCCTGGAGGGCAAAAGGTTCGGATAGTTGCGCGCAAGTTGGGATTTCGTAGGCGATGCATATGAAGGTCTTCGCGGAGGCTTTCTGAGAGGGCTCGATGCTCGGTCGTCGGGTGAGTTTGTCCTCCTCCGCTTCGATGGTGGCTCGTTCATAGTGTTATATGTCGGAGTAAGATGAGATGAATGGGCTCTTAGTATATGTGCGCAGGATCGTATTGTGTCATGCTATGAATATGTTATGGTATGGTATCGCAGGTTGAGTGTGGCTATGCGACACGACAGTCAATACCGACGCGTCGGCCGGCGCGTGTTTTGGTGTTGATACCCTGTCGGCGTTCGCTGTAGCTTTTGCCGACGCTCGGAGAGGCAGCGCAAAATGACGTCGAATCGTCGAGTTGCTACTCTCACTAAGCTCGCAAAGAGAGTGGTGGCCAGTTCAACCAGTCGCAACAAGCAATTAGAGTTCCTACGCCCCAAATTCTCGAATGTCTCGATGGGCACATGGAACACCTTGTATTCTCGGGAGTAATGGCACTGCACCAGAGATTATGCGCTTCCTGCTTGAAGTCATGGCGCAGGTCGCATGCTTCAATTGGAACGGGAAGAATTGGGCTACAGAATAGCAATCGGATGCAGCAGCGGTTCAAAGGCTATATTGCACCCGAAGGTGAACAGGCCAGGCCACTTACTGGTTACTATGAAGGTTGGACCCCCATTCACATTGTCTAATGCTTGATTTGACCAGGCGTAGACATGCTAAAGAAACCTCTCGCCGAAGTCCAGCCATTATCCCACACAACCCCAGAACCACCTCAAGAAGCGCCTAAGACGCAGAAGGAAGAGACATTTGCCAAAGCACGTATAATCTTCGGTTCAACAACCGCTCTCGAGGAACGCAAACAAGAGATTATGAAGTCGTCCCAAAACGTTGCTGGTGTCCTCGTCCCTCCACGCCCAGAGGAACCAGACAACTGCTGCATGTCTGGCTGCGTGAACTGTGTCTGGGATATGTACCGGGACGAGATGGAAGAATGGGCAGAGAAGAGCGCGCAGGCGAGAGCAGCAATGCAAGCACAACGACAGGAGGGCAAGGGCACTGGAAGCATGGTAGCGGGGGAAGGCATGCCGAGTCATGTTGCTACCAGTATGGACGATGACGGGGGTGGCAGCGAGACGAACTGGGACGGCGGTTTAGAGGACGTGGACAGAGACAAGCTGTTCGAGGATGTACCCGTGGGCATCCGAGAGTTTATGAGAACCGAAAAGAAGTTGAAGCTGGCGCAGAAGCAAGCCGAGACCACCACTGCTGCGTGAGCAGTGACGTTGATCCGATGCGAACTTGCTGTCTCCGTAGCGTTTATAGATTGTGTTCAAATACCCCACCATTATAGCCCCTATCAAAGCCCTCCCATAGGTCCCAACAACGCCCAAATTATGTAGCTCCCAGCACCCCTAGCCCATCTAGTCCTCGCCAACATCGACCCCCTTTGCGCTGAGGTCTTTCCGTGCCTCTGCTATCTGTTGCATAATCTCCGCGTGCGCCTCTGGTACGTCGTTGAAGGTAAAAACGCCCCAACCGAGCTTGAATAGAAGGTATGAGCCGAAGGAGATGAGAGCCCAGAAAGGAAGCTGTGTGTGGTCAGTTAAGCCCAGAAGTGGTAGTGGTGCGTATGCGGGTGAAGGGAATTGAGGACAAGGCATTGGGGGATAGCGTATACTTACAACTGGAACAACTTCTGCCTGGATCTTTTCAGGCAATGGGATGACCTGCAGGAACAAAGCGAGGTAAATCTAGCATAATTTAGCACACAAACTTCAAGACTGCAGACTAAGGGGGTGACATACCGAGGTTAGGAGCATCGCAATGCTGATAGTCTGTTGGGCCCGCGTCATCTTGGCGGTATTGTAGCGGGGCCTGAATTCAATGAGTGTCTGTGGTCAGGATGTTCAGAATAGCGTCAAGTTTGGCGTCGTGTGGTGTTGAGAGTTCGGTGCCAGATCGCTGAAATGTTGCCAAGGGATCTGATGCTAGGGGTCCAGCGGATCCAAACAGGGCAAGGCGGCTACGCCAACCCGCGAGCAGGTGGTGGGTCGAGGTTGGCGCAGGAATTCATAGTCTTTGCGTCTGAAAAAAACAAGCCGCTGATCCATTGCAGCCTTTCTAGAGTTTCCAGTGCTTCTATCGGTCCATTGTTGCGCGTACGGCGGCTGCAGGTGATTGGAACTGTTTGCCATCATTGTCCCGCTTGTACCGCCACTATGAACACCTGAGCATCATCAACAACTTTTTCGGCAATTGCGTTTCTTCATCATCACTTCCCTACGACATGCCATTATCCAATGAGGAGCTTGGCGAATATATAGCGTCATTAGAGCGCCTACTCCAAGGGAACCCTGCAGGCCAGACCGCTGCTCTCACAGGCTACGTGCATAAGCTCGAGGCTTTGACACGTAGTGGAGACCATGAGCCAGCAGAGAAGACGCTACAACTTCTTGGGACGGCTGTTGGTGGCCGAAGTATGTTCCACGCCCTCGCTAAACTAACGCTGCTGACAGCGGATAGAACGATGGCAGACTCCATTCAGAGACAGTGGCATCCTAGCATACGCTCTTCGCGGCCTGTCTACTGTTCGCCATGAGGATCCCATAGCGAAGCAATACCTGAGAGTCATCGGCAACTCAGTAGCTGACAATGGTACCGTATGCCGACCTTGTAACGGTGCAAATAGTCTGACTGTGGCCAAGATACAAACAGAGAGATCGCCGTAAGGGACATGCAAAGCATTGCTGGCTGTCTCACATCACCAGAGCTTCGTCTAACTGCATTGGCTGTGCTTTTCAATCTTTGCAACGACTTTGGTAAGCAGCAACACCAAGACCTCGAGGAAGACTGCTCACGCAGATAGAACCTGCCAAAGCCGCCGCTGCCGCCCTTAGGCTAGATGCCACAATAACAACATACCTTGTCCTTGACAGGATACCTGAATCTGGACTTGACTACGCCACAGATTTACTCAGTTGGGCTACGAGCAACCTAAATGATGCGCAGTTCAAAGACGAAGTTTCGCTCGAAACGTTCAAGAGTTTACTAAATGTGGCGCTCCAATACGATGAAGATCACCATCTCGAATATATGGCCATCTTGGTCCATTATCTTCAGGATATGGAATTCCAGCAGAGAATTGCAACACCAAAACTGTTAGACGACCTTGTCACACTGATGCTGGAGTTTGAGGCACGTCTTCAGCCCGACGAGATCGAGGCTGTATTCCAGGAGCTTGCAACAAGCAAGAACGCTGACACCGTCACGTCAGATGAGGCTCAGGTCCTGTTGCTAGCTCAGCTGATCGGTCTGCTGTCTGCAGCTTCATCGACGGATGTTTTTGCACGAAACTTCAACGTCAGAAGTCCAGTCATCGAAAGATTGGAAGCAAAGCTTCGAGCACCATGGGAAAGCGCACACCCGTCGACGATATGTGCATGTGTTATGGTTGGAAACTTGGCCATGTCTGATGAGGTTTGCATCGACATGGTCAAAATTATGGAGCTTCATCTCCGGTTGATAACTATTCTCAAGAAGAGTGATAAGCTGGCGCTTCTATACGCTGCGGCTGGTTTCATGCGACATCTTACCTTTCCAGAGGCTAACAGGGCTGTACTTGCAGATGCCGGTCTCATGGAAGCATGCTGTCGTATGCTCGTACTCGAAGACCCGTCGGTTCGTGGCGAAGCAGCAGCTATGCTTTGCAAGCTCGTTACCGGCAATTTCCACAACATCGAAAAAGTCATGTACGAGACGGTCGGCCCCGATACCGAAGCAACAGACTCAGAGATCTCGGCCGAAACCGTCATTTTTTCACACATCGTCGAGCAAGCCCTTGCCCCATCTGCGCCACTACCCAGCACCACGATGAAAAATCCCATGGTCGAGCTCGGCCGTACCATTGTTGCCATGCTTCGCTATCTTGGGCGACCGAATGCCGAGAAGGATGTTGAGGCAGTGCAAATACAGATTTTGCAGGTACCCCAGATTGCCAAACCGATCGCCCAGCTCGTACGCCAGCGTTTCTATCCTGAAGCCAGATCCGAAGGGCTACTCGGCCTAGGCTTGCTGGCCCAGACTATGGAAGGCGCCGCATCCATTGCTGAAGAAATCAAAGAAGATGCTGGCCTCCTTGAAACTATTAAAGAGCATGCAAATGCAACAGAAGCAGGTCTTGCACAGCAAACACCCACAACAGCTAGTAGAGACCATCAAAACGCGATTGTGCTGCTCCAAGCGCTGCAGAACAATGCGGTAAGAGAACTCCAAGAAGCCGTCGGGGAAGTACTAAGGACTTCCAGGCTGACCAAATGGACACAATACTCTCGCATTAGACAGTCGCTGTCCAAACACCAGCGGGACAATAGCACGTGGCGTAGATCCTCGGGCGACATCAGTGTAGTGAGTAGTCCTGGACGAGACTCGCCAGGGAGAGTCCGAGACTTGACGAGGAGGGTTACAGAAGCTGCAATAACGACGCCTGGTCGGCCCAGGACTTCTACATATGCGGGAGATCCTAATTATGACCGACCAAGAACACCGGTGAGGGTGAGAGAGGTCATGGACAACTTTGAGCAAGTCTCTCCTCGGACGGTGAAGGAATCCCCGGCGAGGGAACGGTTGAAGGGGAAAGGCATGAAGCGGACTAGCACAGCTCCCGCATGAAGACTCTAACGTTCTGAATGTCTTTTACATATACATCTTCTTAATAAAGCACTCTCCACTTGTTTAACTTTATGGACTTTGATGCATAATGACCCGTTGATTGTTCTGATCCGTCTACATGCTCGAACCTTCCACCGATTGACCGACACGCATAGTTCGGCCGTACACGGCCGCATACCAACCGAGGATTTATCAATCAGATAGAAGCATTGCGAGATCTATAGCAAATAGCAGGCATGCGAAAGGCATTGGATAATCACCTTGGCGTTCGCCGCGTCGAGTGATGGCAGCGGCGTAATCAAGTGGGCGCTGATTGGCCCAGGGCCGGCGGTCACGCGATTCCACCGCTAGCCACGGATGGTTCCATGACAACTACGTACGCGGCAGTCTGGTACTGAGAGGAATATATAAGGGTAGTGCTCTCACTATTTACTGCAATACAATCAACTCACCAAGTTTACTTTACCCGATTACTACATTCAACTTTGCAAACCAACAACCACACGTCTATTCGCCTCCTACCTCATCCACCAAACATTCAAGATGGTCTGCTGCGGACGTAACAACGGCACCTGCGTGTGCGCCCAGGAGGCTACTTGCTCTTGCGGAAAGCAGCCCGCGCTCCAGTGCAGTACGTTATTCCCTCGACGGTCCTTGTGACTGTGTAGTTCATTGTGCTAACCCAGCATTCTAGCCTGCGACAAGGCCGCCACTGAGAACAAGCTCCCCTCTTCAGCATGTGCCTGCGGAAAGCGCGCCGAAGGTGAGTCTCGGCCACATATGTAGCAGTGTACTATTTTTCAGTTGGGCTAATTCATGTAGACGCTTGCAACTGCAGCCGCTCCGAGACGGGCGCTTCTTCAAACCTCGAGACCGACTTCACCACCAAGAAATAGATTGGTCGTTGAGATGAGAGCTGTGTGTCTCTGCACTTGAAGCAAGAGAGTGTGGCATGGGCAGGGTGTTTTGGCGTTATGGCGGGTTCAAGCCGCAGAGTGATAATGATACCTAGTCTAAGTGGCTTATGAATGAAACAAACAACATCTTGTCTATATCGTGTACTCCGGATGTGTAGTGAAGCATTTTGTTGCGTAAAGTGTTGCCGGGTGTGGCTTTCGGGCTATGTCTTTGCTTAGTTGGACGTCGAAGGAGGTGCTATGCTGAGTGTAACTGCGTGTTCCCTGCATAGTGTTGAATGGATACTGTCGCATTGTAGCACGGCGCCAATATGCCCCTAACAATCACTTGCATATGGTAGCAATGCCTGCTAAACGTGTATCCGCACCTCAGCTGCTAGTATGGACCAAGACCAGGTTCTAGGACGACGGCAGGTCTTATGTGAATGAGGACCTAAGTTTGCATAGTCTGTCTGCGCATGTGTTTGTGCAGATAGTACTCGAGAGAGTGTCTGACATTGGGCGGGGAGGAGTGACATTGATTGCAAGTCGTTGGGGTGTCGCACGGTGCGGAAAGAGCTACCCACGCTAGACCCTGTCAGTCTTGGCAATCCCGTGTAGAAGATGCATATACTCCAGTGTCACCTTTTTCTGAACAGACGGACATTGCAGTGTTTGGGTGTGTAAAAGATGATGAGCAATGCTTGTGTGATTCAATCTACAGACTTGCCTCTGACTGCGCCCTAATTCTGCAAACCGCGCCTAGAATCCGCTGACAGCCGCCCCTTTCGCGAACTATCCACCTCCGCTCCGCAGGCGCGCACGCCGGCATAACCCTGCCTCGAGGACCGTACCGCTACTCTTGATAGCGCACCACCAAACACCGCCGCATTGTCGGGCTATCTACCAGGTGGGAACCGCCCACCCACCTCAACTACCACCAGCATGGCGGCCTCGGTCACTTCCAAGATGGCAGCGAGGGCTGGTGGAGGGCTGTTCAGTCGCGAGCAGTCAGGCAACGTGCCGACGATGCGAGGTACGGGAATCCACACACACACACACATATCATATGGCGGCAGTGCATTATGGCTTATAAACGTGTGCAGGTCTGGTTTCCTTCATTGCTGATTTGCGGAATGCTCGCGCCCGCGAGCTGGAAGAGAAGCGCATCAACAAGGAGCTGGCCAACATTCGGTGCGTACACGATGCCGAGACGCAGGGAAGACCGGAAGGCTAACTAGACTGCAGACAAAAGTTCAGAGGTACTTAGAAGACTCGCTTCCCCATGACCTGCTCTGACTTGGTGACTCCCAGATGCCGGCCTGAACGGTTACCAGAAGAAGAAATACGTCTGCAAGGTACACGCTCCAATGCCTTTTCACATGCACCCGTACTGATGTGAACAGCTCCTGTACATATACATTCTCGGATGGAACGTCGATTTCGGACATCTCGAAGCCGTCAACCTCATCTCGGCGACCAAATACTCGGAAAAACAGATTGGATATCTCGCCGTCACCCTCTTCCTCCACGAGGAGCACGAACTGCTGCACCTGGTTGTTAACAGCATCAGGAAGGACCTGCTGGACCACAATGAGCTCAACAACTGCCTCGCGCTGCATGCGATTGCAAACGTCGGTGGCAAGGAGTTGGGAGAGGCATTGAGTGCAGAGGTCCACCGCCTCCTCATCTCACCGTATGTCACCCGAGAACACATCCGCGGCCAAGCTGACATTGGACAGGGCCTCCAAAGCATTCGTCAAGAAGAAGGCTGCTCTCACTCTACTGCGTCTATACCGGAAACACCCTGCCATCGTACAGCACGAATGGGCTGAACGAATTATATCGCTCATGGATGATCCCGATATGGGTGTGGCCCTCTCCGTCACCTCATTGGTCACAGCACTGGTCCAGGACAACACCGAACAATACAAGGGAAGCTACGTAAAGGCAGCGAACAGATTGAAGCGCATAGTCGTCGACAACGAGTGCGCCGAAGGCTACTTCTACTACAAGGTCCCCTGTCCATGGATATTAGTCAAGCTGCTAAAACTCCTGCAATACTACCCACCACCAGGTCAGTAAATATCAAAACACAATAATCTCGCGACTAACACAAAACAGAGGACTCGCATATTCGGCAACTCATTCGCGAAGCCCTTCAGAAGATTATGGACTCGGCCCTAGAGATGCCCAAGAACGTACAACAAAACAATGCGCAGAACGCTGTCCTCTTCGAAGCAATCAACCTAGTCATCCACCTTGATACGGAACAGGACCTCATGGTACAAATCTCACAGCGACTGGGCAAGTTCATTGCATCACGGGAAACCAACGTGCGATATCTGGGACTGGAGGCGATGACACATCTGGCTGCTCGATCCGAAAACCTCGACCCCATCAAGAAGCATCAGGCAATCATCATCGGATCGCTAAGAGACAGGGATATCAGTGTGCGACGACAGGGTCTGGATCTGCTCTACAGCATGTGCGATCCGACAAATGCGCAAGCAATCGTGGGCGAACTCCTCCGGTACCTACAATCGGCCGACTATGCGATACGAGAAGAGATGGTACTGAAGATTGCCATCCTAACTGAGAAGTACGCCACAGATGTTCAATGGTATGTCGACATATCGTTGCGCCTGATTGCCATGGCCGGAGACCATGTTAGCGACGAAGTATGGCAGCGAGTTATCCAAATCACGACCAACAACGAGGAGCTACAGGTATACGCCGCACAGACTATCCTACAGTACATCAAATCAGATTGCCACGAGACGCTGGTAAAGATTGGAGGTTACCTACTTGGAGAGTTTGGCCACTTGATCGCCGACAGCAAAGGGTGCAGTCCGATCGAGCAGTTCCTGGCGTTGAGCGCAAAGATGCGAGGATGTTCGTCAAGTACGCGAGCGATACTACTCTCATGCTATGTCAAGTACGTGAACCTCTTCCCGGAGATCAAGCCACAGCTCCTGCAAGCGTTCCGCGCGTACAGCCATTCTCTCGATTCGGAACTCCAGCAGAGAGCATGTGAATACCTCACACTCGCCACGATGCCGACCGACGACCTGTTACGAACTGTATGCGACGAGATGCCTCCCTACCCCGAACGAACATCAGCATTACTCTCACGATTACACCAGAAGCACGCCACGACTAGCGACAAGCGGACATGGGTGGTCGGTGGTAAAGATGCAAATGCGGATCTCAAGGAGTTTGGTCTTTCACGGCAAAAGTCATCTGCTGGTGTGAAGCGAAGTTTTACGGAGCCGGTTCCGAAGGATGCAAAGACCGGCGCTGCGAATGGCACAAACGGCGCTGCCGCGATATCGAGCGACCTGGAGGGTCTGGATCTGAACATGGACGTCAATGCTCTCAAGGCACCGAACCTCGCAAGCGCCGCGCATCTTAGTCCAGACTGGGAAATCGGCTACACTCGTCTGCTGCTCCGCCCCGAAGGTGTGCTGTACGAAGACCAGCAAATACAAGTTGGTCTTCGTACAGAGTACCGAGGGCAATTGGGCGCTCTCATCTTTTACTTCACCAACAAGTCAAAGTTTGCAATGGGCTCGTTCACCACAACGCTCGACAACAGGTCTTCAGAAACGCTAAAGACGGATATCAAGGGCCTTCCCGACACCACAATTCCGCCAGAAGGTCAAACACAGCAAACGATCATGTTTGAGTGCAAAAATGTCTTCATCGACCCACCTACCATCCGCATATCCTACCTTGCAGGTGCTCTACAAGGCCTGACCCTACAACTCCCAGTGCTCCTCCACAAATACATGGAGGGCGCTGAACTGAGTGCAGAAGACTTCTTCAAGCGCTGGAAGCAGATTGGCGGTGCACCTCGTGAGGCACAAAGCATCTTCGGTCTCGTCAGTAAAAACCGAACTATGAACACGGACTTTGTACAAAAAGTAGTCAAGGGCTTCAAGTGGGGTATCGTCTCCGGTGTGGATCCCAATGTGAAGAATGTCGTGGGTGCAACAGTACTCCATTCAAGTGAGGGCAAGTTTGGCTGTCTGCTGAGACTGGAACCCAACTTTGAGACTCAGGTATGTAACTCTGAAAGCCATAAGGGTCATGAGCTAACAGTACACAGATGTACCGCATCACTATCCGTGCTACTGACGAATCCGTACCGCCTGTCTTGGTCAAGGCCATGGAAGACCGACTCTCACAGGGCATTGAGGGAATGGCCTAGATGCCAAACCCATACCTTCGCAGTAACAATATTTCTCGGCCGCGACCGCCCGGTCTAAAGCCCATTTCAGGCGAGGATCTGAATGTTCATAACCTAATTGTATCGCCGGAGAAAAACGAGCGTGCTTCTTACTTTCCAAGGTAATTGATTGTAACATGTCACGAGAGGAGGATCATTGAGATGGCGCATACCCTTTATTCATTCATATAGCGTGGGCAAGCACAAGTTGGAGCGTTGTTCTTTTTTGTTTTGCAATCGAGACTGGGACAGGATTTTTGCGTTGGTACTATGCGCCCTTTCAAAGTGATGACTACGTATATGCTGTGAATCTTGGGTTGAGTGCTTGGTTGAACGGTAGTGCCATGAGAAAAGGGCGCAACTTCTTACCTAATGGTGGACATGGCTACGCAGTGGCGGTCACAGTTTCTACTCGTCTTCAGTGGAAGCCACGGTTGAGAAGCTGCTACTTCCATGCTTTGAACCACTATCCGTACATGCTGTTGTCCCGACTATCTAGAGCTGAGTGAGGTAATGGAGGAAAGGGCGCAACTGCGACAGTACCATGGTACATGATGACAACTAGCGCTTCAATACGACAAGGACAACAGTCATGGAATGACCCACTCTTGTGATAAAAGCAAGACACCTTCCGTCTAAGCAAGCTTACTACACGCCTTCATACGAATCTCGAGATTCATTGCTACAAACTTTACACACCCCTTAAACACCACAAGTACACGTCCACAATGCCCGTCAACACCATAAGTTTCGCCGAGCACAACGCTGCCTCCAAGTTCACCTCTTCTACCTCCACCACTAAACCAGTCTTCTTCTGGAAACCCAACAGCTACCTAAGCCAATGGTACTGGAGCAAATTCACCGTCGACGGCGACACCTACGCCACCGCCGAGATGTGGATGATGGTACAAAAAGCACGTTTATTCAACGACGAAAAAACAGCAAAGCAGATGCTCGCTACCACGAAACCTCATGAGCACAAAGCGCTGGGGAGACAAGTTAAGGGGTTCGAGGCGAGGGTCTGGGATCAACGTATGTTTCTCCATTTCCCATTTAGGTGTCCTATATTATGCATTGCTGATAAGTTGAACAGATAAAGTACAGATTGTGACGCAGGGTAATTACCACAAGTTTACCATAAGCACGGATGCGGAGAATCTGAGGAAGATGTTACTGGCGATGGGAGAGAGGGAGTTGGTGGAGGCGTCACCGGTGGATCGTATTTGGGGTATCGGGTTTGCGGAGAGGGAGGCGGAGAGGATGAGGCATAAGTGGGGGCAAAATCTTCTGGGGAAGGCGTTGGTGAAGGTTAGGGGGAGTTTGAGGGCGGAGGCGAAGGAAAAGGAGGGGGAGAAGAAGTGAGGGGGTGAGATGCTGGAGTTTGATATCTGGTACAGGCTTTTGGTATCGTTTCTTTCTTCATGGGGATTTGCCAAGTACAGCCACACAAAAGTTATACAAATTGACCAAGCTTGTGCCTAAGTCTCAGACTGTGACTTGCGCAGAACATACTTGTACAGCGCAATTTGAGATGCACTACCGCAATTCATCCGTATACCGGTACACCGTGTGCTGTGTTGTTGGTAGGCAGTAGAACCGGTGATGCTTCTGTTTAAGGTCCCTATATCATGCTATTATATAGCTCGAAAAGGAAGGTACGGGTAGAGCCATGCTGAGTATTTGTCGGCGTAGATGCGGTCGGAATTCCGGTGTTGCGTATTCGAGGTCAGCGACGACGGACTTGGTCTCATTATGGGTCACCACGATTCTATAGTTAGAGCGGACGAGAAGAAGCCGCGGCCTAGTCAACCGTGTTATGCGCCCTCATTAAATGCAGGTTTGGCGTTCACATGTAAAGTAGAGTGTAAAGTGACCAAATGAGAATGGGCGCGGTCGAGCCAGGCCGTCAACCAATCGTGTCGGCCCCAAGTGCCGACCGCAAATGCGGAGGCGGAAAGCATCACGTGTAAGCAACACAGGTTCCCAGGAAGCTCGCGCCCGCAACTCGTGTTCATGAGGACAACAAACGTCTCTAGGCTTACTACACACAAGCTGATATTGCACTTCCATTACTGAGCGCGTACCAGCTGCCGACCGCCCGCAATGTCGACGATGATCACTTTTGCGGCCAACAACGAGTTTTTCAGGAAACGCAAGCGTATGTACAGACTGCGTCAGTGCGCCAAACACACGCAACTAACAACGAGCAGGCGTCCACCGCGCATGCGAATCATGCAAGAGACGCAGAGTAAGTACCTGAAGATTGTCATCCTATCATAAGCAAAAAAGACCCAGCTCCACCCTTGCACTAGGTGTGTGTGTACTACTACAATTGCAAGCGTGAACTGTGGAAACAACTACAGATACACAGAGCTTGTACCTTGCTACGATAGGAGATTCAAGCTTTTGAGGATCTGCTAACGGTCCACAGAAGCGTTGTAGCCATACTTTCGACGACGAGGCAGAACAGGGAAATAGCGGGAGGAATACCCAAAGTGGACATTCACCCTCGGAACCTGCGAGCGCGCACTACCATCCTCATGATCCAAGAGGGCCCCGTGGGGACTCGCATCCTCACGGCCATGCACACTCCACAATGCCGCCGTCGCAAAGTCCCGCCTCGGATCACACCGCCCAAACACCACCAAACTTCCTAGGCTACCTGAATCCGGAAGCCGTCTTACGAGAGCAAGTTCATTCCGAGCGTGGAAAGGCCGTTCAGTCACCCGGTCATCCTCCCATCGGACAGTGGATCCCAGAGCGGGACCAGCGACCAACGTCGACACAGTCTGGGCCGAGTACGTCCCGTATTGTTGAGACCGGTCCGCATTCTAACCAGGAGAATCAAATCTCACGGGCGCTTCAAACCTACCTGAATGCGGTCGGCGTTAATATCTTGCCGTCACGAGAAAACCAAGCTATACTGCTCGAAATCTACTTCAACTATGTGCATCCACTGTTGCCACTCGTCGACAAGGAACTCTTCTATGAACAGTACCATCACGGTAGAGAATCGCGGGTCCTTATGCAAGCGATATGTATCGTAGCATCGAAACACGCTTCGGCTGCGAAGCATCTGTATCTAGACAACGACACTGCTTCTCTGCCAATGAGCCCACGGGAGTTTTCTCAGAGACTGTATAATGCCGTCATTGTCGGTATCGAGGCAAAGCTGGAGAAGAATCGTGTCGTGCTGATTCAAGTACTTGCTCTGATTTCCCTACATTGCGAGGGTCCAGATGGCGCCGAACAAGCTTCAATGCACCTAGCCCAAGCTATCCATCACGCACATACATTCGGCCTGCAATTTGGACATCAATGGAAGAACCAGAGTTCGGAATCCCAAGGTAACTTGGAAGACGTCTTCTGGTGTCTATGGAGTCTTGACAAGATCAATGCTTGTATGAATGGGCGACCATTGCTTATGCACGATCGAGATAACAGCCTGAGGCAGTTACCATCAGATCCAGAGAAGCGGTCAAGCCCGTTCGGTATCTGGCTGCAGATATCTGAGATGCTGGACAAGGTCATAGATTACTATCGGCCCGGAAGGGCTGTGGAAGAGACTGGTTGGGAAGGCGATGACTTCTTGGGTTTCGAAGAGATGGTTGGTGATGGTGAAGATAAGTTGGACGGTCCCATTATGAGTAGGTTATCGTCGTGTGATGGTTAGCATGTCACTAATGTCTTACAGGCCTCCTCTCACTCTTCCACCACACCATGTGCATGGCCTCACATAAGTCACTCTCCATCAACGCCCCTGTCAAATCAACACCATCATACGTCCGCCAAAGTCTGTCAGCAACACGAGTCATCCACCTCCTTAACGCAGAACCGCCAGAAATGCTCCCACCGCTCCCCATCGTACCCTATGCGCTGGGTGTAGCTTTGAGTGTGGTATATCGCCACTTCCGGTCTCGCCGCTTAAAGGTTCACGTCAACCGCGCCACAGAGGAACTGAAGCAGTGTGTTCGTCTTCTTGACCGGCTACGCAACGCATGGTGGTCCGCCGGTACAACAGCAGATCTCGGTCGCGCAGTTCTCAGCAACGCCGCGGGACGCAACACCAACGCGGTCAACACACCCATACCCGTGCCAGCAGAACCCCGTCACACTGAACCGAAAACCGAACCTCCAACCCCACAGAGCACGCACAGCGGGCAACTACCACCGCCAAACCACCCCCAGCATTGGCCGCAAGACATTGAAACACGAATCGACCCGCGTCTTCAACAACACCAACCTCACCCCCACGCCAACTCTCCCATGACCAGCCTCCTCAATCCCATCTCCACACCAAACCCCGGCCAACATCCTACAAGCAGCGAGCGTGCAGACCGAGCTCCCATGGCCGCCGGCCCTCCTGCTGGCTTCAGTTTCGCCGAGCAAAGCCCAGATTGGCTCAACTTTGACGCGGCGTTTGAAAACTTCGAGGGCTTGTTGGGAAGCAGTGGTGCGGATTTGAGTAATGAGCTTTTCAGGCCATTGAATTATGAGACTCTCGAGGGGTTTCTAGATCCTGCTGCTTAGTTCGATTTTGGGATGTAGTGCGTGTATACTAGGGTTTTTTACTTGATGCTGGAACATGATGGATATAGTTGGGCTTTAGATAGCTAGGAGAAGAGTTTCCGTTCTCAGCAGGGTTCTGCATGAGTGTGATTGTGGGTTTCTGTGCGTAGATCTAGTGTACAATAAAAGATCTTTGGAGGTATATAAAGGACATGAAGAAAGACCTCTTTACTTTTTCAAGCTGTGCATACATGTGCTTTCTGATTTATCTCCAACCTCATAACAGGATGTTACCTTGATGTTGCCGTCTAGAGGCAACGCGTTTACTGCTGCTGAAGGCCGCTCTCCATCACGTCGCGCTGTCACCGCTTTGACATGCTTCAGTACAGATCTCCAACGCATCTCTGCCTATGTTCCTATGTCTGTTTGACCCTCTGTAAGAAAGCAGGCGGTATTGATTCAAGCGAATAGAAGGGCCGAGCGAATATTATAGTTGCAAATGGGAGGACGGTCAAGGGAAAACGATAGAAAGGTTAGTATCATCTTGTCTTAGGGAGGTTTCATGGTTATCCATGGTAAAGGTGATATCTTAGTACCTTAAAGTAACGTAAAGATGCGGAATAAATGCTTTTATAAGCTCTTTAGTAATGTAAATGTAAGGACTGTTTTCTATTAGTACTCGAGAATGTGCAAGTATGCTTTGACAGGCGCCATGGTCTATTGCGGAACTTGGTTTACAGTACAGTCTTAATGTCTGATTCTCTGCGAGCGTTGCATAGTTATTAGATGAGAGTATATAGTCTCGATAGGGCAGTGTTAGAAGGAAGTATTGATCGCTGACATGCTTGCATCATGATGAACAAATCACATAATCGTGCCAGGACAGTACATAAGCTGCACAGACAACGAGATGACGGCTATGGTTTCAGGATACGAATATACCACAAGACCCTTAGCAAAGACGTTACTCCACACATCATAATTAGATCTCTAGAGTATCGGAAACAAACCCCGCAACTACATACGTATTTCCAATTCTCCCTTGCCACCAAAAAAATAACACCCCCTCAATCCTCCAAAGATAAAACTATATTACACTCACATCTTCACTCCTATACTCGTACCTATATCTAAACGTAACATCTATCCCCACCCGTCCACCGGACGCTATAATACCGACCAAAAGTAGCAGTCACTAAAAGTAGTAATCGTAACCCCGGGCAATACCCTGCATGCATGCATCCGCACTATGCAGATGTCGTAATCAAAGAGGCATCGGTTTCTTCAGAAGGGTCCTTTTGCTGCCACCAGCGGCAACGCGTCCCCTTTCCCCACACCCAAAGCCCGTAAGCACGTACGCGCACACATGTTTTATCCACGATCTACGTACGTTAACAGTGCGTGTGCGTAGTTGTCCAGATTTAGTTTTCAACGTTCGTGGAGGGGGTCAGGGGTCAGAGTTCGTAAACGGGAGGTGGTAATGTTGATGGATGGAAGGAAGGAAATAGACGCCAGAATTACAGAGCAGCTGTCTGCCTGTCGTCTTCCCACCAGGCGTCTAACTTGATCTGCTCGACGGAGACATCTCCGATCGCAGCCGCCCCGATGAACCGTTGACGCCATCCACACCTCAGTAAGACGTACACGTAGCTGACTGCCGTCTTCTGTCTCAGAAAACATGCACCTGGTGGCTGCGTGATAAGATGGTGGTCGCCTGGCCTGCCTTTCCTTGCCACATACACACATCTGCCACCAGCGCCTACTTAGAGACCAGACCAAGTCCTGCAGCCATCAGCACCAGCATCAGCAGCCGAGAAACCGCCCACACCACACCCACATCCTCATCTCGCATGCATGCATCTGCGGCGGCGGCGCTCTATTCATGGCTGGCTCGCCGGATGGCCATGGGAGGGAGGGAGGGAAGGAATCAATCGGCTGGTCGAGAGGCCATCAAACCACCTGCAGAAAAGGCTGATCTCAGGTCGCGCAACCGCCGACCCCAAAGGAACCGCTCGCTTTTCCAAGAAGATAATCATGACCTTTTCTTAGGCCGCAGCGCCCCGCCCAACGCCACGCAGCCGCATTCCAAGACCTGCAGGGTTCCTCAACTATGCCGCGGCGTCCTGAAAGTTTGAGAGAAACGAGAAATGGCAAATGAAAAAATAGGTCACACTTTGAGATTTGCAAGACATGATGTGATGATGGTGATGGATGGTAGATGACTCGGTGCAAGGACACAGACTTTTGCACGTTGGGCTCAAGCATGGCTCTGCGCCGCTTCCTCCTTTGTCAGCACTTGATGCTGGTACTGGGATCAAGGGCCTTCGATTACCGCCGTGGTATGCGGTCAGTCAGTCGGTCATGCACCAAAACCACAACATGCCTCCGACTCATACTCTATGTCGTCAGCTGACGATGAAATGGATGACTGTATAGCCGGAAGATCGCCTTTTTTGACAGATGAGGCTGTTTCATGTTTGGTTTTGGGCTGAGCCAACTCGTGTGCAGTTGGGAAATCTTGACGTTGGGCGGAGCGGAGGAGCGCCGTTGTGCGGTGAGGCGGACCGGGTTATCGTCTGTTGACGAGGCGGTTGGTGGGGATTCCGTGGCTATGTATATATCACACCCGCCCCAAGTTTTACGCGCGAAGAGGGGTCCTCCCCGTGCGTGAGGTTAGCGGGGGTGGTGAGTTGTGAGGCTGCAGGTTGCATGGTAGCCGCTGTAAAGTTGCGAAACATTGTTGGCAGCAGCGCTGCTTTCTGGCGCAGGTTTCGGGCTACAAACCACGCGGTGGTGTTGTTGGGCCAAAGGGAGAGTGCGCGGTAGGGCGTTTACCGCGCGGCATTTGGGCATGCATAGTGCCCGACCAGGCTTGCGTCGCAGAGAGACGAAGGCGACAATTGCTGATGCTGTAAAGAAAAAGAAGATATTGGAATGACGCAAGCATGTCACGTGGCAAAGGCATGTGATCAGAATCTCAGGGTACACACCATTCCATTGTTTCGTATCTATTCGTGTCACTCTCAATCATGAACAATGCACGCATTGCTCAACAGAGGGTGTTTTCGTCATATGGACGTGCATTGCGATGGTTTGGACAGGAGCACCGGCCTTTGAGACGTGACTTCGGAAACGTGCGAAGCGACGCCGGGAGATTTTCCTACGACGGGAAAAATCAGAGTGCAAATTTCAACATGGCATTCTTCATCACTGATACCATGTATGTCACTGGAGACGTGGCAGAGCTCCACTGTAAACCTTAGTTTTCTCGTGTCGTGAGACACGAGCTCGGTCCTTGGTCATCACTTTACCTGACTCCAAGCAAGGAGCAGATTCGCGAGGCTCAATAGTTTGATCTTATCCACCTATAGTCATGCTGTCTCCCTGCCGGTGACCGCTTTCAGAAGCGAGCGGCCGTATTTCTGGAAGAGCAGCCATGGAACATTACTACGGAGCCGTAGAAGGTCCGAAGTTCCTGCCGATCCAATTTTTCACCTGAAGCTTACGGCTGAGAAAGTTTGGTACGGTGCTTAGCTGCCGCCAGCAAGCGGGTACTCTACACGTGTGTCTCGTGGAAGCGGTAAAGGAGTCGATCTCGATGTCAACACCGGACTGGAGAGGACATCTCGCAACTGACGCGTTAAAGTTTGTACTGCGCCATCAAGCTGGGTCCCAGGCGGAGATTGCAGTGTGCCGATCGAGTGAACCATTGTGGAGAGCACGGGTGGCGCAGAGCCAACCAGTGTGGTGAGGCCGCTTGGTAAAGGTTCCGCTCTGTCGTGACTCTTAGTCGGTCAGACTAAATAAATTGTTGGGTATAGTGAATGTATTGGGTAAATACTAATGAAGACTCTTTAGCAGATGCGAACAGGCCATTGCTGATGATATCTCCGACCCGTGTCCTATATGACATCGGCTAGCATAAATAATGACGTTTCGACCAGCACAGGGTCCTCGAGGGGCTACGTAGATGGCACAGCGTCTGTCTGGAAGAGTGGTATTATTTTTTAATCTCGCGCGGGGGTACCTTTTTGCGGTTTGTTTGGAAGCGGGATTTTTAAAGGTCTGATCTCAGCACTTTTGGGACATGATGTACAGGGTCTTGCATGATGACATGTTTGTGGCTGCTCGGCCTTAGCAATCACAAGCTAGGCCGAGAGACGTTCCGCTAGAGAGTCAGTCTTCGCAAAAGCTTGCCAGTGGTTGTAGAGGCTGTCAGATGGAATGATCAACGGGCGGGCGAGCCGGCCGCCAAACTCGATGTGTATGAGGAATACGATGACGGTATCTCCATTCCGACGCATGATGGTATGGAAGAGATGGACAAGGAATGCTACCGTGGTCGAGCAAAAGCGAAACATTTCTGCCTGTGTCCTGTGATGACGGAGAGGGTGGTGGTGGACTGAGGATGAGGTTTAGATACTCGGACCGACGCTGAGCGGTGTGGACAGTGTTTTGCTAGACGTCACACCTGACCAATGGCCGTCAGCTAGGCTCCAAGGCATAAAGTGTGGCGGGAGAGACGTCGCCGGCACTTTGCTAGTGCTAGTCACCAGAGCCAGCCGTTTCGAGGTGTAGGGGCATCGACGGGCTACACGACGGTCGACAACGTGATACGGACAAGGCAGCAGTGCAGGTGTTGGCTCATGAGTGGTATACTAGATTGATGGAAAAGGCAGGAAAAGGTTGGGTGCGGGCTGTGGGTAAGATCTACGACCACCTCTACGGCATCATCTGCTCCTGCAACCCGGCGCACGCCACGTAGCAAGTTCTTCCAGCCATCTCGAGCGTCTCGACTCTTGCGGTGGGGACGGGAGGCTCGATTGGGTGTTCCCTTGCTCACACAACCGCCGTTAGAGTTTGTCGGCACAAGGAGGTTGCGATGGCGGGGCAGTTTTAGTTTTGGAGGGGCAGCTATCGATAACGTCAAACGAGCTAGGCTCGTTGTGCGCAATCCTCCATCTGGCGGTGAAAGTGCGACTGTCGACAAGGCCACTGAAACGCTCGAGCTTTGTGGAGAAGGCCTGTCTGGCAGTGACAGCATGCACAGAGGGAGAGGTGAATCAGAGCGTGATTGCTCGAGCATTTTACGGCGGCTCAGACGGGTAGACAGCAGACGCGGTCAAGGGAGAGAATGGTGGTGCGCTATTTGCATTGCACTTTGTTGTGCACTTGGCTTGATAACTACTGATAGTCGTGCAGAAGATGAGTAGTGGTCAGTGGACAGAGGACAGAGAGAGCTGGTTTGCTGGAAGAAAGACCAATTGATCATCAATAGTCAGCCGTTGGTGCCCTTACGAGCGGTTCCATGTTGTGGGAAGCCAACAGAGTTCTCGCCATCGTGTTGGCCTGGGATGGGGTGCGAGGGAGCAATTTGTCCCAACATGATCTTCGGTCCCTTCACTCACACAGACTCCCGCTCGTAGGTTTAGGCTACGGGAGGCGGACTTGGCTGGCATCTGTGCGTGGGCACGGATGAGGGCGGAGAGTAGAAAAGAATTGAAAGCTGCAGGTGCTGGCACGGCTACCTCGCTTGCGCTGGGGAGGCATCGCAATCTGGCCCTCTAGCCAGGACCTGGCGGTTCATATGCGGTCGAGTTGTGTCGGCTATTCTGCGACAGACATGGGTGTGGACACGAGATGAGATTCGAGCCGGGAGAAGGCTCTGAGCTCGATCTGGAAGGCTTGGGAACTCCTTTTCCTTTTACCGATGCGTCGTTGATGGATGGCGCGCGACAACTGGCAGGCCACCGAGTCCGGAGAGTTTGCCCCAAGCGACGCCACGACATCAAAGACACAGCGAATGGGCCTCTCCAGGAGGGCAGACAGAGGGCCATGGTGCCATGGTTAGGCGGTGACGGCCATGTCACAAGACCCATGGATGGATTGAAACACGTAGGTCTATCTGCGACTCTTGTGATGATTGGCAGGAAAGGGCGAAATGACGAGAGACGTTATTGGCCGTGGGGTTGGGAGAGGAAAATTCTGGTAGGCCTGGGGCGCCACTGGTGGGCTGGCTAGGCGTAATTGCGTGGGACTCAGCTGGACAGACAGTCATGGATGGCGAACGGCTGGGTTAGTCATCGTGGCAGGCCAATATATTGAGTGGGCCAATGAGCAGCATGGATGACGACCAGGGCCACGTCCGGCGCGACATGGTTGGCCTTCAGTGGGCCCACAACAACCAATCGGGCAGCAGCTGCCATGTGTCATCGCCAACGCTCTTTTTGGCGCTCGATACGTTGACGGTTCGAGTTCGGTCGCCCACTGGCGGTTTGCAGCATCGACAACACGCTGGCGGCACAGATTAGAGGATGTGAGAACAAAGGATGTTTGGGAAGCGCGGGCACCGGGCAGAAAGCAGGCTTGGTCGGGTCCACCCAGGCGAAACCGAAGCGTGACGGCGGGCGTGCTGACAGACACGCAACCGGGTTCAGACAGACGGGATGGATGGGATGGGATCAAAGTGAAAGGGCTACAGTCATCGATGCAGCGTTGCAAGATGATGGTTTGGCTGGGCTGCATTCGTCATGGCCCGTCTTTACCCTCGGAGCCAGCGAAAGACTATCGAACGCCGGCCGTGCGTGGTCGACGTCGTAAGCCTGGGCAGCCTCTAAATCTGGCGCTAGGCAAGGAACGGCATGACGCCAATCCCTCAGCCCTCTGTTTGGGGCGCGGCGCCGTGTCCCTTGCCCTTGGCCTTTCAACGCTTCTGAGTCTATCGTGACAAAGCTTGGTCAGATGCATTGGAAGAAAAGGCAGCAAATGACGACCACCGTCGACGGCTACGAGCTGCGAGCTGCGAGCTGACTAGGACCACCAAGGGGCGTGTGTGGAGTGAAGCGGCGCCGAGTGGAGCCAGGGCCTATTCGCGCCACAACACCAGCACCAGCACCAGCACCAGCACCAGCACCTGCTGGCGTCGAGGCTGCTGCACTTGGCGCATCGAGCCCTGGGCGCGTGTGTCACCCCCTTCACTGCCTCTTGAGCGGCAACCCGCACGCTGATTCGCTCTTCACCCACAGCCGCCCGGTGAGCTGCTGACGGTGGGCGGCATGATTCAAGTGAATCCAAGTGCCAGGACAGGCCCCGGCCGCTCGGTAGCTGCATAAGGTCAAAGAGGCGGGCTTCGACTAGCGACGGCGTACAGCGGCTTCTTCCCCCTGCCTGCGCCCACTTTTGCCTCCCTGCTGCGCGTTTGGGCCACCTTGCAGCTGCACCAGGGTGTGGGCTGCATCGCTGTTAGCTACGAGTGGAGCCAGACGGTAGCGTCGCCCTCTGCGTGCCGGAGGTCATGGCACACATCGCTGATGGCCTGCACTCGCTCTGTAGCCCCATCCTTCTTCGTCATAGCGCCGCTCCTTCCCTATATTTACGAAAAAAACGGGGCTCCCCCAAACAGCCAATAGCACTGCCCGCCCCAAGCCTGGAGCCTGTCTTTATCACTGCTGCCCAGCCGTCTTCATACAACATACATCATATCCCGCCTCACCCAACAACCACACTACTACCTACCCTCTCAACCTCCTCCAGCAGACGCAGACTACTACTACTACTACCACTACTACCACTACTACCACTACTACCACTACCTAGCCCTTCCTCTACCACATTCCTTGGTCATAAACCTCTACCTCACAGCTCCCCTGCCCGCTGTCACTAGACTCGCCGTCTACCTAGCCTTCCATCCCAACTACTAAAAGTCACGTGACTTTCCCGATCCGGTTGCTCTAACCACTTCATCCTTATAATACCTTGATCTCTTTTTTCCGCCTATTCCATCCGGATCTATTTGCTGCCCCCGTTCGGACAAGGACCACTTCCACTCCCGGACTACTCTGATCATCCCGTCCTTGAGGCCTTCACTGGACCTGCGAGGACTTCTTTACCCCCCTCACTCTTACAGCATGTACCCAACACCCCCAGCTTCTCCCACCCAAAATGGATTTTGCGCGCCCGAGGACCGCCTAGGTCAGATCCTCGCCGGACGACTGCAGTTGACTGGCATTCTCGGTGTAGGAGCCTACGGCGTTGTCTACACTGCCGTGGACATCCAAACCAACATTCCCTATGCCGTAAAGGCACTAAACAAGGTCGGCCTTGAGCCTCGCCAGAGGAAGTTCCAGCAACGTGAGATCCAGCTGCATCACCAGGCCAGCGCTCACCCCAATGTTGTCTCTCTGGTTAAGATCATGGATGCCCCCGACTGCACATACGTTGTCATTGAATACTGCCCAGAAGGTGACCTGTTCTCAAACATCACCGAGCAGGGCAAGTACGTTGGAAACGATGCCATGGCCAAGCGCGCTTTTCTTCAGATTTTGGATGCTGTCGAGTACTGCCACTCTATTGGAATCTACCACCGGGACCTCAAGCCTGAGAACGTTCTTGTCACTGACCAAGGAATGACCTGCAAATTGGCCGACTTTGGACTTGCCACTACCGACCACGTCACCTCTGACTTTGGATGCGGCTCCACTTTCTATATGTCTCCAGGTATGTCAGACCCAATTAGGCTTAGCAAGTCACGTGCTAACATTGGGCAGAATGTCAGACATCAGCTCCCAAGGCCTACTCATGCTACGCGTCGGCGCCCAATGACGTCTGGAGCCTCGGCGTTATGCTAGTCAACCTCACATGTGGACGCAACCCATGGAAGCGTGCTTCTTTCGAGGACAGCACCTTCCGCGCCTTCATGAAGGACCCCAAGTTCCTCAGGACCATTCTTCCCGTTTCCACTGAACTCGACGCCATCCTTAGGCGCATGTTTGAGTTCAACCCTGCTAAGAGGGCGACGATTCCTGAGATTCGCGAGATGATCCTCCGATGCTCAGCTTTCACTGCCACAAAGTCAGCCGTCTCAACACCCCTGCCTTCTCCTCCTTTCAGCCCGGTCGACTACAACCAGGATCCCGCTTTCAACACCTACTACCAAGCGCCTGCTGTACCCCAGTTCGCTCCTCTTCCTGGTTCGGCTTACGCACCATCACCCTTCCAGCACTCTACCTCTTCTGGAAGCTCAAACTCGGACAACGACTCGGTCTCTTCCGCATGCTCATCGGCTTCGTCGGCTTCTTCGACTTCTTCGTACCAACACGTTTCTTCTTCGCAGCTTCCCAAGTTTTCGTCTCGCGTACCCCAGCCGCAGCAATACGTTACCCCTCAACAACCTTCCAACACTTGGTTCCAGCCTTTTATTCAGGCAGCCAACCTTGTCAAGCATGTGTCCTTTCAGCCTTCCATGATGGCCGCCCCGGTCCATGTTTACTAGATCATTCCCCCGGCCAACATTCCGCGGACCCTTCTCACGATACCGTTCTTCACGATGTGTTTATACTATTTTTGAAAAAAAAGTCATGATGACACGAACAGCGATTGATTTCTCGCTTGGTGTTGGTGAGGTTTGTTTTTTACCATTGGCGTTTAAAAAACTAGACCAGTCCGGATGATATTCCGGCCTTGGACTTTAGAACTATTTGGCCTCCACGACGGCCTACTTCGTTTAACTTGGGCAATAGCCTTGATGGCATGGAGTTTTATTCTTGTGTGGATACTTTCACGGTTTCTTCGCGACGTATATTAGGAGTAGGTCATTTGGCATTTCCCGGAGTTGTTCTTGCTGGACATGGGCTTACAGGCCCATTGTCACCACGTTCATTTTTCTTTCATATCTAAAGATACCAGAGCATTGGCTCAACACTGTACGGTAGAAGGTCCCACAAGAAGGACAAGAATATTTGCCTCGAAAGCAAACAACAAATCAAAAACATACACTACGGTGCTGCAACAATAGTTGCACGCAACCTCAACAAAGCCACATGTCCGATCCATCATTTGACGTGCACTGCCTTTCTAATGTTGCCCTTCTGGCCTCTTCCATGTCTTCTCCGCCGACCCACAACTGCAAAGTCTCGCTCCAACATAGCCCACGTATCTGACCCACTCGGCACCCACTCAGCATGTGGTGCCACAACACATCAATCTGCCCTCTCTCCACCACCGGCCTGCAGCCAGCCCAAAGAACACCTAGACTTGCGCAAGAAATCAACCTCTCACCCAACCAGCACCCAACCAGCACCCCACCCACCCCACCCAAGCTCCACTGTCTGGCCAGCATCCATCTGCATCCGCAAAGTACCCATTGCCATGGACGCAGAGTCACCAGCAAATCAGAGGTTTCACAAAGGCCGATGTGTGCATGACCATCTGCGTGTCGAGCGTGTAAGTGTGCAGTAGCCTGCCTTGACATGCTGCCACTATTGAGCCGTGAATGCGCCCTGCCTCGTGAGACTAGCCCTTCCAGGCTTAAACACATGTAAGGTGGCTAGGACGGAGCGCAAAAGGGAATCGTACATGGAGTTTCACGGATGCCGGATGCAGGTCTTGGACGGTTGATGACCAGCATGCAGGATCGAGACTGCCCGAGTGTCATTCGGCCTTTTCCATCAAGCCCTAGAGCGCATCTTGTTGGGAGTAGCCGCCTTACCGGCCGTTCAGGGCCAACGCCATTGTTGTTGTCTTCCATGGAGGAAGGCGAGGCTACGAGGCTATGCTACTGTAGGCTATGGAGATGGCGGTCCTGCGTTATTGGCATGTCGTTGGACCTGCACGTCAGTCCTTGGAGGCATACCGTGAAATGACACGCAGCAGGCTGTGAACATGTCTCAGCCATACGAACAGCGTTGCAAACCATCTTCCCTCGCTTGGTGGCTGGTCAGCTGTCGCCGAGAGAGAGGGCTGATTCCCTAGTCGACCATCCAACGACCTCCAACTTCCGTTGCCCTCGTGTTGCCCCGGCTCCAAATGCCTCCAAGCCGCTTAGCACGTCGCGTACAGAACACGTCCGCTTACACCTGCAGACGAAGCTCGAAAGCGTCACCGGAATTGTGATAGTCACCGTTGTAGAGAGTTTGTTTTTGCGGCAGCCAATCCACGGTCATCTGATTGAGTATGATGATGGCGGAAAAAACAATGTCCGCCATGGTGTGCCAGGTTCGCGAATCAACCATTACGTGCTTATGCCGTATGGCCGCGTACAGTCAATGGCGCGGTGCTTAGACTCGTTTGACACAGCAAACTTGTGTAAGGATGACTGCGCCAAGATGCGCGGCTGGAATGTGGCGATCCTCACCAGCCCGTCTCTTTCCTACCGCCGCTAGCCTCTAGCAAGAAATCCCTCAAAACCATCCTTTTGCATCATCGCATCCCGCCGCGGCGATTATCAGAAACTCGCCTGCAAGCCTTTTTGCATAGTACATCCGTGATTGACTCAGCTGCGCAAGCGTGGCTATGACATGTCCGGATTACCATCGCTAAGCAAACTGGATTATTGCTGCGACAAAAGAGCCGCAGCCCATTCGCCGGCTGAAGTCATGATTCTATAGGCACCCACTCTTACTCTCAGCTAATGACCAACGACCAGGATGCCGCTCTTGCTCTGGAAATTTGGATGCGCGACGGATCGAGTGGCCTGGTCGCTCAACGGCCTCGGGATCTGCTCTATGCTCGTATTCAAGTCATATCGACGAAACCTACCCTGGAAGACGTTGACACTCGCTTCCCGGCTGTCTCTAGCATCGTTTCTCCGCCCCGTAGAGTGCCTGATGTGTCAACACACCCATGTGCCCATGTACCGGGCTTGCATCAGTTTGTGTCTTCCGAAGCCGACGTGCGTTCATCACATCCCTCTCCCGTATCTCAGAGATTTGCTTTTGTAAGCCACAAAGCGCTGTTTTGCTTCTGACCGGCGCGAGAATCAGGAAGGTTTGTCGCGTCCTTCGCTAGGATCCTCACGGAATCCAATGAGTCGGTAAGCCACCGACCCAATACTGCCTCCTGAGTAGGGATTACTTACTTTGGCCGATATGAAGGCCTCCGAGTACAAGTGAGCCCTGGCACAGTAAGCTTCGTGGCTGATTCTTTAGCGTCATCCCACGGCCAGCCATCATCTAGACATGTGCCCATCTCATCGGGTGTCTAGGCCGCCGTCCAGCTCTGCGGATAGCAGTCTGTGCGGTACTTTGAACCTGATGTCCGGGAACTTGTCCTTCCTTTATCCGCTTGAGGCACGTCCTCGTGCCATAACGACGTCTTGGTCAAGTCAGACGCGTCGTGGATGACACTGCAAGCTGATGCTGCTGTGGAAACCCGTCACGGTAGTCATCAAAAGCATCACCTCACGCCACGAACACTTGACCCGACAATCATCAATCAAAGGACCACATTGGGCTCCGTCAGGGTGAGACTTGTTTTGCCAACACATTGTGCACCGTCTCATGGGTCGCCCAGACCAGAAGTACGGAAAAGACATGTACCGCGAGACTCGGACATAACCTCAGCTGTACCCAGATATCCATGAACGCGAGCTTCTCCGCACGCCTTGATCATCTCGGGTGACCGAAGCTGATTTGTTACTCCAAGCACCTGTACTGGTGCCTCCGTGTTACACAGACCGGCAAAGAACTTCGCTTCTGCCTCGTCAGCCACTTTTGAGCAACCTTTCACGACATGATCAAATCGTTGCTTGATCCTAGCACGATATCCCCGCTCATGGTACAACATAGCGCCAACGGCCAACGTGTGTTGGCCTTCCTCAGCTACGGGTCGCTCTTTACTAGAACGGGCGCTTGTGAGGACCAAAGTAACACGACGATAAACCTCATCTAGCCTACTGCATACAACCACCTACCTCCGTACTCCACGAGCGTACCACTCAGTAGAGTTTGCTCCCTCCGCCACACTTACCATCTGACGGATCGCCACTTTCGCTTCTCCGCGTTCGAGACACAGGGGGCTTGCCGTACATGTACTACCGGTCCGACAAAGTAGTCGTCGGCAAAGAGCGGTTTATTTCTCACGGAAGGCTACAGGAAATGATTCACGCCTGGTTTAGTGCACAAGGGGACAAAAGTGAGACTGACAGCGGGTCGGCGTTCCGAAGTGCATGCAGTCTCCCAAAGTTGCTCAAACTCTCTGCTGCTCAGCCTCTTTGTGCTTTGTATGGTCGACAACGGCCTGACAGCCGGGTCCCACTCGGGCGCAAGTTCACGGCCGACATCAACGTGATCATGGATACCTTTGCTTGCTTCATGCGAGAGTTTACAACTAGGGCCCAAAGTGCTGGTTGAGCACGAGAAGGTGCATGAACAACTACGAGCACGGGGCATACGAAGAAGCGTCGGATCGATGTTCGCTCGTGGCAAGTGCATATCCTTCTGGCGACGATCTGTCCATACCCCCACGAACCCAACGCGCCGTGTGTAGTACGAGTCCAAGGCTCAAGACACCATTATCGTCTATTTCCGCCACCTGAACGACCTGGCAGATTCCTGTTCGGAGTACCGCAGCTTACTGCACATGAGCGTTGCCGAAGCTGCAAGATGTGATGTCCGATGTGATAAAAAGAACCGACCAGGATCTACTGCAGATTGGTGGAAAGTGTTCCTGATCGCGAGAGCTCGCAGCCTCCCAAACACAAATGAGAGTTTCGCGGCAAGACGTACGCATCCGTGGCTGAAGAAGAAAGTTACCGGAGGAACCCGACCGCTCGCAGCAGCCCGACAGCCGGTCGGCAGACTCTGGAATCCTGCTTTCCATTCTGGCCACACAATTTCTTTGCATGCGCACCCTCTTAATCAAAGGACCAGTCCTAGACGCAGTGTCGGCCGTTGAAACTCGCCACCGTTACCCCATTGCTCACCCAGAGCGCGAACAGCTAATCTTTACACAAGATCCCAGTCCAACACGCTCGATGCCCGGCAAATGCTTTTCTCGTACGATGATCAACGCTCGCGCGATGCCGCAGCTACCCATTCCCCAATCCCAAAAGCAAGCCATAGGCCCAGAGCGCAACCTTTTGCAAAGTTTGGTTCGGAAAGCATGCAAGAAACCCATGCTTCTGCAGGCATGGTGCCCCCCCTCCTCCCCGAACGGAACCAGTCATGTTAGCATCGGCGGGCGCATGTAGCAATCCCCGGACGCTCCGTTGGTGCGAGGGCTCTGCATGAGCTGCGTTCCATGGTTCTCGAGTCTGGGTCGCACAACACGAGGGTTGGCGTTTTCGGAGAATTCTTCATCTAGGCGCTAATTTGAGATGCAGAGAATGCGCAGTAGGCTTGCTTGGTAGCGATGTAGTATCACGTTGTTTGTACGTAAGGGGTGTTCGTTGCTGGGCGCTTCTTGACTTGTAGGTTTATGGGAAGATTTCGGGAGTCAGAAGACGGATTTAGAGACCACCAGACGACGATATGTGGGTTACATGAAAGGATTTCCTCTGCTGATGTGCATTTCCCAACTCTGGATATCTCGCTCCAGATTTTCAATCTCATCATCTTCATCTGTGACTGCCTCAACATCCGTGTCATCAGCTGGGGAAATGACTGGTGAATCTATAATCCTCTTCCATCTTCCACTGCCCAAAAAAGCTCCAGGTTTAATCGGAATAATCGGTGCTCGAGTTGCTGTCCTTATCACTGCTAGTTCATTCATTAGCTCTTCCTCATCTCCATCTACCTCCCCCATTGCACTCCCATCCCATGCCTCATCATGACCATACCTATTCTCAGATACCGAATAATCCCTAGACTCACCAAATCCCTCCCTGCCTCTCCCCAAATAATAATCCACATCCTTCAAAATCCGCCACCTCATCACATCCCCAACTATAACCGTTTCCTTTAACGTCTTCCGAAAATCTAGTACTGTACAATACAAATCTAGCCAATCAGTCTCCTCATCCCCCTCGTCCTCATATTCTTCCTCATCCATACCCCCATCCTCCCCCTCCAGCCCCTCCTCCAGGCTCAAAACCATCCCTTGCCCACACTGCGCAGCCACGGCATCCAACAAAAGCCGCCTCAGTCCCCTAACATACTCGTCCGTATTCCGCACACTGTCCGGCAGCCGTCGCACATCCGCCTGATCACACACATATTCCATATCCTGTGGTGTAATGCGCGAGACACGCGCATTTCTACCCGCCCCCGGGCGTACAGATTTCGCAAGCGTGTCATGGAGAGCGCGGATGGCGGCTTCGCAGTACGCCGGTACTCCTAAATGGGCGCCTAGGAGACAAGCTTCTACGTGTGTGCCTAGAGCGCGGTATCTGGGTGTGTGGGCGGCGGGGCTGTAGATGTTTGAGCGCATGTAGTGGACGTAGTTTGAGAAGTTGCGGGGGGTGAATTGGGGGAGGGCGATTGCGCTCGTTTTGGGTGAGGTGGAGATGAAGGTTGCGAAGTAGGAAGAGTGGTGGCAGAGGAGCGCTTTGGGAAGGGAGTAGATTTGTTGGAGAGTGTGAGCGGCGCCGATGGTGAGAGCGAGGTTGCCGGGGATGGGTGGGAGGTCTGGTTTAGAGGGGGATGAGGCGGAGCGGTAACCCAATGGGGGGTGCGATGATATGCTAGGTAGGGGGTCTACGAGAGTAGTTTCGCTGTTGGCCTCGGAGGGGGTGGAGTCGTTGACGCCCAGTTCGGTGATGCCGGTTATGTTGTCCTGAACAGCTGCTCCTTCAGTGCTTCTCCCATCAATACCCACAATGAGTTCTTCGGTGTAATCTTCAGTCAGTCCTTCGAGGAACTCTTCAAGGATCGCTTGAGTCTCAGAGTCGTAGTCTTCACCATCGCTTACGTCGTCAACACTCGTTATGATAGACAACGGCGACCTTTCACTGACAGTTCGTCGGCGAGGCATATCGCCTTTCCGAGAGACACAAGGCCGAACAAAAGACTGCTTCGTATTCGAGTCCCGGCGTTGTGAATAAAGGCGACGAAGACGACACGCGTGCAAGCTGTAACGGTAATGGTGACCTTCAGTGGGTGGGATGGAGTGTGAGTTTCCCAGACAAGAGTCCCTTCTTTGGTAAATGTGGACTTCGCTACCACATAACCCACGACCGTACTGCAATGACCCTTTGACTTGCCAAGTTCCTGGAAATATTTACACGCCTGATGTACAGTGATTGTATGTTTATTTGGTATATGTATCTCACAGAGCTAGTGTGAGGGTTGATTTGCAAAAAAAGAGATGAGACGTGAGAACAGACGTTGTGAAGATGTGAGCTTCATGTTCAATAAAGCAAACAGGGTCCGCGTCAAATCGAGCAATGGCAGGCACACATTCTGAGGAAGTGAAGATGCAGCGGATTAGAAGTTGCCATTGTATAAAAACGTAGCATCTACATGACATATGGCTTCACTCTGCGATCGTGGCCTGCTAATTTGCTGTCTGCCACATACACAGTAACTCGTGTTATTTTTTCTCACCCACACTCTCACTAAACCTTCACATATGTGAATCCAGCTCTGTCTACAGGATCAAGCAGTTGCCTTACTTACAACTCGTCCACCGTAGCGCTCTTGTCCCCGCCACTTCTCACCGAACTTATAGAACACTACCGGCACAGGTGCGAATGCAAGGGCGATGAGAGCGAGTAGCGAGAACGCCCAGCCAACCCCCAGATCCTGATACATCTTATGCGAGAATAGAGGCGCCAGACCACCGATAAGTGAGCGCATGACTGAGCAAGCAGCCATGCCGGAAGCAGAGTGAAGAGGATAAGCGTCGAGAATGTAAGTGCCAGTGAAGAACTGTGTCGCGTTAGCTGATGATGTCCCGAAATGTGGAGTCATTCAAAAGAGCTTACAATAGCGCTCATGGCTCCCATACCAAAGATCGTAGTTCCAATCAACGGGGCGATCCAATGCACAGCATGTTGAGCTGTCCATGCGTACATAAACAACCCGACGCTCACGAGCGGCCACCAGAAAATCATGGGGAGCAGTCGAATTTCAGGCCGCGTATCGTCTTTGAGTGCTCTACGCTTGACGAGGCTGTCGCTCATTACACTAGCTCCGACCATGCCGATGAGGTTTCCAACAGCAGTGCCCAGGTATGCCAGGCCAAGCTTCTTTGGAGCCCAATGGTACGTCTCTAGAAACGTGCTGGGAATGGTGGTGTACAAAATGTAAACATACCCGTACCCGACAGCTGTGAGTAGCGAGGTGAAGAAGATTGGACGCGAAAAGAATAGCATAGCGAAGGGCATGACCATCGCTTCGCGGAAAGCTTTGATCTTGTTCGCTCCGGGTCCAGTGTCCGACTTGGCTCGCAACGTCTTGTCACCCGTCTGTTTACGGAGATGTGCCGCTTTGCGCCGAAGAATGACTGGTTCGTACGTCTCTGACATGCAGATCATGCTGAGCAGTGTACCTGCTCCGCCGAGAATTCCGGTAAGGTAGAATACCCATCGCCAGCCTTGGGCTGCGTTGAGGTAGCTGCCTGCTGTAGGACTAATTGCAGGACCGAGATTGTATGCCATGCCTACCAATGCCATTGCTCGGCCACGCTCTTCCTTTGCTACGAGATCGGCAAGGCTGGATGGTGCCAGGGCAAATACGTTACTTGCACCTGCGCCTGCAAGGAAACGCAGGACCGCTAGCATACCGAGCGAGTTTGCGCGTCCACAGGCCAGAGTGCATACTGTGAAGAGCACATTGCCTGCATGGTATAGTGGCAGTCGACCATATTGTTCCGAAAGAGGACTGATGAGTAGCGGACCAAAAGCGTAGCCCAAGACGTAGACGCTGAGTACGAAGGCGGAAAGGTAGGCATCTGTGGAGGCAAAATCGGCCATGATATCCGGGATAGCTGGTGCAACTACAGAGGAGGTGAAAGGTCTGTCATATATTAGTAAACAACAACGATTGGAGCAAGGCGTGATACGTACGATACAAGACACAAGTAGAAGATGCATGCGATGTTGATCGTCTTCTTCCATGAAGGGAAGTTCCTTGGATTGGCCGCATCGTTCTCGCCTTGCCAGTTGACTATGTTCGAGTCGTTCTCGCTCAAGAAGTTTTTGACGACCTGGGTTGCACTGGAAGCGACGCTCGAATCGGGGTGGCTATAGACACTCGGTAGCTCTTCCTTCCGGTACATTGTACGTCTGCCCGTGTGGTAGGTAATGTACTGCTCGAACCTGTGGTTGAATCCACGGCAGACGGGTGTAGGCGAAGAAAAGTGTTTGGGTGCTAGTGGAGACGAAGGCGTAGCACTATTTGTAATCTCTGTACCCCCGTGTGAGTGAAAGGCCCCAACAGCAAGTGATCAACGTGAGGTGACTCTTTCGTTTCACACAAATGCTCCAGAGTTGGACGATGCAACGCCAAGGTGGCGCGACGTGTTGTATCACGTGTTACCCATTGGCCACGTGCCGTCTAATTGCGCACCCATGTGGAGGAGCAGTGAATGTGGAGATAGTGACGACTTGGAGTGCGCCAAAACACTGCTAAAATTGGGAAGGCACGAACGAATCTAAATGAGCAACAACAACTGAAGACCACCACTACGATTGCTCCTTCCTCGTATGCACATCTACGACATCACTACCACCATTCAAGCATCTGTCAGATTCCACGGGGAACTTCTCAAGGCTTTCGTACCACTGCAGGGCACTGCCAATTAAGAATGCCCAACTGCCCCAGAAGGTACTGAGAGATGCCTGGTATTGCGTCCAGCTGCTACTGTCATATCCAAATCCTGGACACATGGTGAAACCTATGCCACCTACCAAGTTAAAAGCCCCTATCCACCAGCCTAGTGTCCGTGGTGCAGGCTTCCACCACTTGGACTGTGTCTCGAGCATGAAGAGGCAACCGGAGATGATGAATCCTAAGCCGCCAACAACTTGTGGTGTCCAGTAGAAGATGACTGTAATGGGCTTTGAAATCCTGTTGTAAATCCCAGGCAATGCAGTGAGACCGGCTACCCAGAAGATTGATGCGCCAAGCAGCTGCGATAAAGAAGCTAGGAAACCGAAATTGTGAATGTAGTGAGTCCGTAGTTCCTCGGTCGTCGGCCACCAAACCCACAAATGCTGCTGTGCCCGCTGTTCGCGATTCGAAGCGTATGTATGTCGACTTCCGTCGCCATATTGTCTGGTATGAGGGTGTGTGCAGTGCGACTTGGATGGCCATATCATGCCGCCGCCCACCTCTTCTTGATGCGATATGGCCTGCTCAACCACCCACCCAAAGCAACCAGATCTACCCTCATTCACAGCCTCTACTATCAACAGGACCGACCCAATCTCAAATACAGTCGCTCCAATGAACGCAGTTATACCCCCACCATACAGCTCCTCGGTCTTGAACTCGGTACCTGGCTGTACCAATGGCAGGTAGACGAAGAAGGCGTTGATCACCCATATTACGCTGCCTAGTGTAAAGACAAAGGCGACATCGTAGGAAACGTCCCATACGGGGCAGTATGTGAGCATACGCCAGATGTTGCGAGCGACGGTGCGAATCGATGAAGTTGGGCGTGGCGTGGTATGCTTTGATATGGCCGAGGTATTTTTTGTATCGATGACTACTGCGTGCCGTCCTTTGCGGTCGTTGCGCGAGGTCCACTTGAACCGAGCATCAGGCCGTGCCCCGTGGCGGTAGTGCGCTCGGGTTGGGTTCAGGAACGGAAGAGGGCCGGTGGCACCATCATGTTCGAGCTGCAGACGTGCCTCATGTCTCCCCGGTTCGCGGGCGGGGTGGAACGTTTTATTGCGTCTAGCTCTGCGCGCGGCGCCTGGTCTATGGGGCGGCTCCATTGACAGTTGAGCTATTGTGTTCAACGGCGTTGCTGCGCTACCTCGTAATGAGCGTCTTGTCAGCTGAGGTGGCTACGGCGTCAGTATGGATCAAATGATGTTGGAGTGGGTGAACCGTACGCATAGGGAAGAAGTTGAGGATTGACTGAGGTTGTATTGTACAAGCTATGGAAAGTTTATGTAGGTGAGTGACCATAAACAGCGCTAGTCTCAGATAGGCATCGTCCCATCACCAAACCGTGACACACCCCCCAGTTGTCACCAAGTCAGTGAGTTGGTGATAACTGACCTGTATCCAGCAGATGAACCACGAATGATGTACCACCACTAGGTGGTTGGCCGTCATCTACCTGAATCTTGTCTCTATACTGTTGACGTGAAGCCCATTCATTTAGGGCGTCCTTTATTTGCTTCGAAATCTTAGGATCCTTTTGAGCTTGTTCAACCTTGCGGACTCCAATAGGTGCTGGTGTCCAGTCTTTTGGTCGACCTGGGTGAAGTGGATTGAGTATCCAGCAGTCGGGTAAAGCGTTTGACAGCCCACAAACACAAGGTAGGTTTGCAATCCCAAGCTTAGCAGCTGAGGTAGATAGCACACTTGACTCAGTGGCAGTGGTCTGGGCAGCTCGGCGGATGTACTTCGTCATCTTTTCGACGTAGGCGGGCAAGCTGAGTAGATTTGTACCGTTTATCTCGTGTTCGTATATCTGATCGAGGCAGGTAGCAGCGTAGTTTGGATAGTGAGCTTGGCAGGCAATCAGGAAATCCTCCTGAGGCCTGTAGCTAGTTGTCTCTGGTAGGTTGATCGATTGGCATTGAGAAGTGATGTGTATCCAGTCAGCCATCCATTCATCGAGTTTCTTTAGGTTGCGTGGAGCGGTCTTCAGATTGGTGTATCTTGCTATCAAGTCGCGACTCCGATCGGCTGTAGAAGGACAGAATTGCTTCTTGAGAGCGACAAGTCGATCGTACACAGTAGGGAGATCCTGTATTAGGTAGAGATGACGCGTGGCGATAGACCTAGTGATCTCTGTATTTAGCTGCACCAGAGCTCTCTCTTGTTTCTGCAGCGTGATCTCGTCGAGTCTCCATTGTTCAACCTCCCATCGGTAGGAATCACGATCCTCAGTGGATAGATCAGAGAGCTTAGAAGCTCTAGCCTTATAGTCGGTGAGCTGAGGCTTAGGATTGGCAGCCTCTAGGTCAGGCAGACTCTCCTTTGGTGTATCTGGATTGACGTATTGCCAGATCTTGTGATCCTTCGCGAAGTCTCTGCAGAGAAAGATCCAGTTGAACCAGTCATCTGGTGTATTAAGGATAACAGTAACTCGAGTTACTGCTGATCCTGTAGCCATTGTGTGCATAGAACAGACGTAGCAATCGTGCGTTATAGTGGACGCGGGGTAATCGAGCGCTGTGGTGGACGCGGGGTAATCGTGCGGCTATGAGGGGCCTAGTAATCGTGCGCTATGAGGGACGCGGTAATCGTGCGGCTATGAGGGGCCTAGTAATCGTGCGCTATGAGGGACGCGGTAATCGTGCGGCTATGAGGGGCCTAGTAATCGTGCGCTATGAGGGACGCGGTAATCGGGAAATGAGTACAATCAGGATGCAGCCGGGCTCATAACTGTTGGAGTGGGTGAACCGTACGCATAGGGAAGAAGTTGAGGATTGACTGAGGTTGTATTGTACAAGCTATGGAAAGTTTATGTAGGTGAGTGACCATAAACAGCGCTAGTCTCAGATAGGCATCGTCCCATCACCAAACCGTGACAAATGATACTGCATTATTGCGACAACAGGGTCAACGCGGCAATACATTGTATTGCTACTCATAGGTAGACGCGCGTGAAGATGCCGCTTACGTCATTAAAGTGGCATGTCTTGTTCCAAGGCATCTCCCGAGGTCGCTAATGCTGAGTAAGCCCTTCTAGTCCTACCCGTCTGTCTCCTTGACAGCACGCGCAAAGTTGCAGGAGACTGATCGCGTGATAACACAAGCATTTCTAGCGAGCAAACTATTAGTAGTGGTGGTATATAGTAGCTTAGTCGTCCTTTTAGGTTCGACGGCCGATACTACTAAAAGTATTTCCACCATGACCCAGCCTTGTGATTGTACTAGCACGCTGCCTTCTATGATGAATACTATCACTAAATACGCTTGTATCTACTGCTATCTATCTCGCGACGAGTTCATATGGACTGCTGCTGATAGATGTCAAGATGTTCACTTGCAGTTACCCCGCGGCAACCTTACTCCGACCAGAGAATATGCATTCAGCCTTGCTTTCCCCCGTTCAGTGTGTACTCCCATGTTGAAAACGATATATAATTATGCTGATCATTCCATAGGAAGAATACAAAGACGACGTGAAACCTGCAAAGCTGATCTCTGATGTTAGTTTCCTCAAGTTACCACTTAAGCTCAGAAACATGGTCTACGGCTTCATATGCGATGAATTCAAACGTACTGGACTCCATTGGAAAGATTCAAATGACAACAATTTGCCCTTGTCCGAAGATTACGATCATCTCCACGATGAATTTACTTGGACGAAGAGATTTCTCCACCGGAATAAACCCCTACTCGTTACAACTCAATGGGATACTCAAACACCACATATGGACCCAACCCATGCGGCGTGACTGAGCATCAGAATTGCAGCATCATGCGAAAGTCCTCTATGCTCTTCCCCTCCAATTCCTCAACTCCATGAGAGGACCTGGGCCTTTCATCATACCACTGTCTCCTCGATATGCAAGCTTCGTGCGCAAGCTTCGTGCGCAAAGTCGCAGTTGCCATCTCACCCAGCATGAACAAATCTGAACCCTTGTACTAAAATCTACATATCTGGAAGCGCACGTTACAGGTTGCAGACCAGTTAACCAAAATCTTCCCAGATGTGCGTGTCATAACCCCCCTCCTCCACCAAAGCAGTCCCTTTCAAGACGATCCGCTGAACTACCCATATGTCGAAGCGGAAGTTCAAAGCTAAAAAGATGTTATTCGGATATTTAGCATCGATAATGGGGATATGACGCCCATACCGCGTCAATTAGAGTTGGTTCTGATATGGAGGCCAAGCCCATTCGTATTCGTTGATACGCCGCTAGTTATGGCCCTGCGGTACCTGCAAGAGGAATCATGACTGAGAAAAGAAAAAAATGACTGAGATGGTAGACAACAAGAATAAAGCATGTCCAAGGAATATGATTTGTGGGTATTTTGTGACCTCCAAAACTGTGATATACAACAGAAAGACATCAAATCTCTCACAGCCGCTTCCAGGAACCATAACCAAACGCCATCGCTACGCTAATCACACACATATACAGTATAGTACAGGGCCAGCCCAATCACTTTGTTCTTTGCTTCTTCACCTTCTCCCTTTCCTCGGCCTTCAGCCCCCTTACAAGCTGCCGTGTCATCATCCTCGAAACCTCCTTTGCATAGTCCTTCATCCTCATGTTGTTCTGTTCGTCTGGCGACTTGCCCTTGTACTGTTCTGCGCTATAAGGGGGCGGAGCATCCGTATACCGCACATACTGTGCTTCGATGCGCTGAGTGTTGGGGTCGGTAGACGAACTCGAGTTGGAGCGAGACGAGGCGTGGTCCGAAACGTGTGTCGAAGGAGAGGGGAAAGAATGGTATGATAGCGATCTCTGAGGTGCGTTTTGCTTTGTCTGGTTCTGTGACGGGTTTTGATGTGCAGCGGCTGCTTTGGCCACAGAGGACACAGAGTCGTGACGAGAAGAAATCCTTGAGTCTGGACATTCGCGCTCGTCAACACTGACTTCGGGGTAATGATCCATGATTTTGTTTTGGTAATGGAACAAATTATGATTTTAGGGTGTTGATGGTATGCATGAAATAGAACGCGGAAAGAAGTGTCCTTTTGAACACTTTACAAGCGCCTCGGTGACGATCAGTGCTATTGGCGCATTATGATGCAGGTCAAGGACATTAAGCGGTAGCCTACTCAACCAAGCACATGATGTGCCTGAAACAGACACACATCTGCAAGTCATCCCGCGACCGGCGACGTCATTCTGTGACCTGCGACGTCATTGGGGCGGCATCATGACCCAGCCACCGCATTCCAAAACGGGCAAGGAATCGAGTGGCTACAGACCTTACCTGATAATGTCTTCTATGGAATTCTTACAAGGCAGCAAAAATGCCACCAGAGTTGAGGTACGATATCGCTTAGGTAATTATTGATTTACTTTCAGAGCGTCTGATTTTTGTATTCGGCACAATATTCCAAGGTTGTGTGATACCCCAACCCAACCCAACCCAAACTAATCTCAAGTTGAGCATGCAGGTTGACCTTTCCCTGAAAAGAACTATAAAATAACGCCGTGCCGTCCCCAGGCTTCCTGCCCCCAGGCTTCCTGCACCAGTATGAAGTGACTTCTACTTGGGCAAAATACATGTTCTGTTCGCTTAGGAACCAACCCTCCTCAGTTTAGCACACTCATCACCAATGCCGTGTATACTTACAGTCCTTCCTCCTCAGACGGGATACCTGGGGAAGTATGGAACGGGGGCTGACCCGAGAGAAGGGCTAGAACAGGTCTGCTAGTTTACTCGCCTTATTCACTCTTGTTGGGTAAATTTACAATATGGAGTAACACCGTAGAAGTCCCACAGGAGAGCATATAGTTGGGTGATGTTTTGAATTCGCTTCTTTTCATCGGCTTTCTCTTTACACGCCATTCGTTCTGGAATATCACATACCTATTACCTAATACTACCAACGCAATGCAACTCAAGATATTCGTCGTTGTGCTCTTTGTGGGGCTCAGCAAAGCCTTGAAAAACCCATGCCCCAAGACTGGAATATTGCATACTATCCAGGGCACATGCCAGCAGCCGGCTAATAGATGCATTTACCCCGACACAAGATGGGCCTGCGACCCCGGCTACGACCTAAGCAACAACAGGTTTTAAAGGATTGCAGAGACCGACCATTGTAATTTTGATACTTATTGTTCCAACTCGGTATGAACCCTATTACCAGTAAGAAATTCAAAGGCTATTGTACTAAGAATCTAATAAAGTGGTACTGCTGTCATAAAGGCTACTAGGTTGCACGTTGGCGTGGAGGAAGCCAAGGACGGATGGTGGCGCGGAGCCGCGATGATGTCACCCGCGTGCCGTGTTGCTCAAAACAGCCCTGGAAATCGGCCTAGATCATGTACTTTGAAACAAGCAAACCTGGCAAGAATGTTGGGTATCTGGGTCTACGGGGCGGACAATGCGTGGAATATGGCAGGTTACGACACGGGTATTGCGCGTAAGCAGGAGAGAAAAGCAGGTACTCATTGAATTACCAACCTCACGCCTTGGCCAAACCCTTGATTGTGTTCTTCAGCTTTCGTATAGCACGCGCTCCTTTCTTGTGGTCTTTGTGACGTTCTAGCTCAATATCTGTTGGAGCGTTGAAATTCCCACTTATTCGCCTGATCGCGCCTTGTTGGGAGTGGTGGGCTGACGAAGGCGTGTATTGGTGTTCAGCTGATGATAACCTGTTCGGACTTCGCGCATCATCGTCATTGTATGAGGATCTTAGATAGGCAGAAATGACTGCCTGTTGGCGTGAATCGGATGACTGTAGTGCTCGTGGTGGTGTCGATATGTGGGTCTGGTGTGAATCTGCGCGCTTGCGAGATGATGGCATATCTTGAGGTGAAGATATGTTGCCCGTCGAGTGTCTCGCTATCGAGATAAGTGGTGGGTTACCTAGGAATGGTAGATGTGACGTACTCCGATGCTGAGAGACATCCCCTTGCTCCTGCCTACTGGTTTTCTCCATTTCGGTGCACCTTGGTATAACCGGTGTCAAGTAGACAATGCTCAACACTCAACAAAATAGCAAACTGCCATGATTTAAAGATGAAACACACTCTTTACTTATCAAACCAACTTACCCAGGAATTACCACTTGAACAGAGAAACATGATAAGTCCCAAAAATCTAACGTCATCGGCTTTTCTCCAACCAAGTCGTGAACGAGCTACCGCCGCGGAGACAAGACGGGTAACCGGGCAATCTAAGCCCTGCCCACCATGCAGCTTGTAACCTTGGCTACATTTGATGTTCACTTAAGGTTACCGTGCATGGCATCGCACTCATAGTGTTGGCGTCATTCTGGAGGCCGCATCTGCAGGTCAAACGGCGCTTGGTGATGTGAATGGCGGGGTTGGATGCAGGGCGGCATTAGCGATGCATTACTAACAGTAGAACGGTGTATACGAAGAGATCTGCGCAGGCAAGCCATGCAGAGAATGTGGACATGGAAACGCAGGTCAGGCATACAGTACGCCAGATCGTGACGAAATATCGATGGTGTTGTGAACTCGGGGTTTCCACAAGCCTTGGAACCATGCATGTTTGGGAAGGACGTCGGAGATTACGACGCGGTGCCTCGCAGTACAATGAACCGATACGCGATATCGGTGAATGATCATAAAATAATGCGATAGGTATTCGCCTACCGTAAAAGTCGCGATTTGCAGTTTGTCAGGTCTAGAAGGCATCGAAAAGTGGGAGATCGAGACTACCCGGCTCGCCATCCGACCAGCACCCACCAATTCCCGAAGGGGTACCCACCAAACCACTGTAAAACACACAAGGCGATCCCCTCCTTCATCTCAAGAAACAAAACAATGCGCCCAAGTTGCCCTCCGCACGGCGCAAGAAATTGTCTCACCACCTGACAACCAGGGGTTTCCTCATCTCCCCCGCTTCGGACCCGTGGGTGCTGCACTGCCCCAACGTGGCGGAAAAGGTTGATCCGCACTTTTCGTATTGAGCCCTTAACACAAGCAATCACCTGTCGTTTACAAGACCTTTTTCGGTCCTAACACTGTCCATCGCCACGTATTTTGATGGCTTCTAAACAGTAGCGCAGCAGTACGTACTTTGTCCGGTGTCTATACATAGTAACGCACCAGCCACATGACCGCCTAACGAGCCTCTTGAACCACGGTTGGACCACGGCGCAGCGGAAGGTCTCGGCTGGCCTAACCACCAGTTCCACAGTGGGCCTCCGAGATGACGATGCGAGCGCTGACGCGGTTTTCCTATAGAGCGCAGCCCACATTTGGATTTGCATATAGGAGGTAGTAATAACAACTGATGATAAAAAAGGTTTTCCCGAACAGAAGCAAACTTCAGGGTTATACAAAGAAATATATTTGAGCAACGTCGATCAGAGCCCGGCATAGTTACTTATTTGCATCACATTTGTATTGATTACGAGAAAACTCCGACCGGGTACGAGGCCCAGAGTACGGACTGGAAAAGAGGAGAGACCGTGGGTATGTTGTTGGCAGCAACTCCGCCGGGGCGGGCCCAGACACATGTACCAAGCATGATCCCCAATGAAACAAACTGACAGGGCCTACGCAGCTTTCCCATCGTCCCGCACCGGCCCTAAAGTCTAAGAGCCCCGAGCATTCAATTCTGCCTTACCTTGTCTTACGTCGCCTCTCTCCCCTTGCGACCTTGACAACCAGACCAAATTAAAGCCACTACTCCACTCAACAAACCCAAACAAAATCACTTGGCCTTATCATTATCATCGTCAACAAGGAACGTTTGTACCACAATACCATACTCGAACCAAACTCTCAAGCCCCACCGCGACATCAATCTACGGCCCGACCCTTTCTCAACAACAAACAACAACGCGTGAGATCGGCATACAAAAAATACCCGAAATGGACGCACAACCCCATGCTCAGCGCTGCGAATCGCCACTCAACACGCCCACCTCACCGACGTCGTCATCAGGAGGATCGTACTTTGATTCATCCTCCTCCTCCTCCAGCTCCTCCACCATATCCTCGCCACAAGTCCCCTTCCAGATCATCGTCACCTTCGACGGTAAGGTGCGCGAGATGCTGAGGATAGAGCGCGAGGTAGATGGAATGAGCCAACAACGCCGACCAAGGATGAAGCCGAGACCGAGATACTACTCCATGAGTGCGGAGCAGAGAGCGGTAGGCTACTAAAAAGGGCAATCGAAGATAAAGAAAAAAACATGGGGGCACCCGGGTGACATAAAATACTTGACATACTAGTGTACAAAGGCCACTGTATTCGCCAGACATGCCTGTTAGTTGCTCACCAACACTGTTAAGTATTTCATGTCACCCAGGTGGAGGCACTGTGATTCAGGGTTGGTTCGAGGCGAGGCGAAAAGAGCATTTACGATCGGTAATGAAGTACACATATTGGAATGGAGAGATGGAAAAGCGGCTATTGCTCAGGGCGTTATAGTGGGATCTTTTGCGCGAAAGTGCCTGCACCAGGACCATCAGTCAGGAGCACGGCCAGTAATTGTAGATGGGACGAGGACATGAACTTACTGGAAGTGTGCTGGACATGTTGCAAGACATCCATGCTACCGGTTTGTCCGCCTTTAGCCCCGTTTCGGCTTCTTGAGACCAAGCCAGCGTAGTACTAGCGAACGCGATTTCCTCTTCCTGTTTTCGGGGTTGGGAGATGGCAGGAAATCAAGACTAGTATTATCACCCCTATTGTCGGAATCAGAATCCTGAGGATCAGATGCAGTTTCGTCCGGAGGGTAGGGGCCTTTCGTCTGGTGTTGAATGCTGACCATCCACGTCGTCTGTGCCTGCCCTACAATGTGCTTCGAGACCATGACGGTATTGGTGACCTTCTGGACGCAGGAAATGATCATCTTATCGTTTTTGTCGCAAGCTCCTCGATTTGACGGATGTCTCGAAAGAAAGTCATAAGCACTCATACAACTGATACGGAACTTGCGTAATTCGGTGGCAAGTGGACTCCCACCCTCTTTTTCAAGCAAATCGGCCGCGGCATCGACCATTGTACTCAGAGTTCTATAATTAATACCAGCCTGCAAGTCGTCTGGGCACATAACGACGATGAGATCCTGGGGAGTCTCATGGTGGCCCGTTGGAGGAAGAAGATGCCCAGCTGATCGATAGGTAACGAGGCGGATGGAGAAGGAATGAGGTGATTGAATGGTTTCGCAATTGAGTCTACTTGGCCGACGCGGAAGCGATCTACTTGGCCTAAGCAGTGGAAATTGGTCAAGCGACCGGTGATTAATCTGCCCTGGAAGGTCCTCCTGTCGCTTGGCCTCTCTTTCTTAAGATATCGAAGCTTATACCGGTCTTTCGGGACATTTTTGCTGCAAATCTGAGGCTGCTGTTGGACCATCTGATGATATGTCGTAGATAGACTTCCTTGATATTTGGTAAGACAATTATATTCATAGGTATACTCGCTATCAAGCGTCGCTCTAAACAAGCTGTACATGTCTTTGAGCTCACGAACTTCGAACTCGAGTCGGTCTTGTTGTCCAAGCAGCGTTACTGTCAAGCAAGGACTTGAGGTTTCATCGGTCTTGCTAATCAAGATCAAGGCGCGCTTGCTGATATTGGTTTTGCTCCTTTCGTGGCCCTATGAAGTAGTCAGGGTTTGAGGGGATGATATCTTTCCTGTTCTGGGCATACCTGCAGATACATATTGCGAAAACACCCGCTAGAAGTGGTCGATATAAACCATGAATTTTGAGGCCAAAGGAACTCCGAAACAACTTCGATGGCTTTGAGAGAGTCCAGTATCAACAGTTCGGCGCCCGCGTTGATCTCCGGGATGTGGCGATTACTGACTTGTAGCTCTTTAAAGCGCTGAAGATATTGAAGCTGTCGCAACTGATGCAGCTTCTTCTTGAGAGACAGGGGGTTAACACTGTAGGTAATAGGCCGTTCTGATCTGGTTGAGGAGTTTTGTTGCCCCATGATTGCGTATGCAGGCAGTATCGGTAGTGTGAGGGTGATTCACCAGGAGACCTCAATAATGAACCTAAGAAGAAAATGCTTCATCAGCTCCTAGAATACGCACTTACTAGTTAGAACAAGCTATTAATACGCTTAAAATGCTTCTTACCTGTGATTGTAATCGTAATGTGCGATGTATCTACTTTCACTGACTCCTGCTGTCTCTACAGTCGTAGCGGTGAAAGGGAAACTCCAAGCTCCAGAGCAAGCCGTATTCGATGAAAAGAGTATAATCAAAAACGGAGTAACATAAATATTCAGACGTTAAACGAGTGAATCCTGTCACAGTACCTGTGTGCAGGAAGGAAGAGATGAGGGAGAGAATATGGAATGAAATAAAAGGACTTTTCCGCACTCTTTTAGTGTTGAGTACCTAGGTACGCTTGTCTCAAATTAAATAGACATTGTAATGGCGTATGTTGCATAAACCGGTAACATGAAGTTATCGGGGTCGTAATCAAGTGTTGAGGCTTCTAGAGGGTTGTCTTTGTCGTATTTTGACCTTATATGTTGCTTTTAGCGTATCCGAATCGGGTTACACACACGATTTTGGCCAGGTCAGGGTACGACGATAAATCATTTGTCGAATAACCGTAATCGTTATCATGTGAGCGTTATGTGAGGCTGTTGATCGTTTCTCTAATACCTCATCGGCAGCTCCCAGAGAGACCACCATGCCTTTTCCCTGCATCACCATCCCTGATCGTCCGGAGTAGACTTGTGGTTCGCACTGAAACTATTATTTATGGTGTTGTGACGTTGCCTAAGAAAAGATTTTGGATGATTGCAATGGTTAATACGGCCGCAGTGATGTAAGCGGGTGTAAGTTCTTGCGACCGCGAAGTTGGTGCGTCACTATATCAAGGGCTTTGACGCAGTCCACAGTGGGCCGCCACACTTGGAAGGAGACCCTAAGTTTATAGCCTTTCCGTACGCAGAGTAATAAATGATTAAAAAGACGAAGAAAAACTATAGAAACAAGGTTGTTGTACCTACAGATATTGGAGTTGTGTACCCGCTGCAGCCGAAGACAGCCCCTAGATTCTGTCAGTCGGCCGTTCGACCTGCCATAGACGTCTATTGCTCTTCGTGCAAGGCTATTATGCATTAGTATCGCACCATTTCTGGTTGTTTGCTTGTAGCTGGGTCAACTCAAAATAGCGCAGCCAGCACCACGTCACTGGAATGACATCGGTGTAATGATCATGACAAGAGTCTTACTGGACCTCTATTACGGCTAAGCACCAGTAGAAATTCTCAGGGTCAAATATTGAGATAAAAGCTTTTCAAAGTGGGCAAGTGTCGTAAGCTGATGCAGGGGAATGCATACACAGTGGTAGGTAAAGCAAATAACAATGTAGTTAGTTCCAACGTGACAGCAGACAATCAGATAAAAACAAAACAGCAAATTTTATTTTCGAGCGACAGACTATGCTGAAACCTGACCTGAAGCAGACTTTTTAGATTCTGTACAGGACGCAATGCAGAGATACAAAAGTGGAAGTCGTCACCTCCCCCTTAGATGCGCCTCGCACTTGCACTTGCCTGCGCCTGACCCCTTTGTTCCGATCAATGAAGGACTCCCATAAGAACCAGAAAACTCATGTACCCTTTCTCCACCGCTACCCTTGAAAAAAAAGTCGACATTACATTGCCCGACAACAGACTGGTCGTGATGCTTAGGAGCTCTTCTCCGGGGTAGACTTGGAAGACAAGCCCTCGAACATATCGACAAGGTTTCTAATAGCTCCACCAGCCTTGCGGAACTTGACGGTGGATGCGCTTGGAGCTTGCGGTAGTGTCATAGTGGGACGGACAGGTGAAGTCGCCAGTTCCTTGCGCCAGGGGATAGTAGGTGCCCACGACTTCTCTTTGGGGGTTGAGATGTCCTCTTGATCATTCTTGCTAATGTTGGCTTCATTAGACATCCCCGCAGATAGGATGCTCTCCGCTGGCGCGATGTCAGTGCCTAGGTCGATATCCTTAGCGTCATCGGCTTCCTCGACAGCCCCGGTATTTGCTAACACGTTGGTATGCGAGTTGATTTGCTGGGCGCAGAAGGCTTTGTAGACATCCTCGGTATCCCCAGACATGTTGTCGGGTGCTTGGGTTTCGACCTCGTCTTCGGCAGAGGACTCGACAACCGCGGTATCTGATGCGCCGCTGACCTTGAAGAACCCCAGGCTCACTTCGTTCTTATGGACAAACGAAGCAGAAAGCGAACGTAGATGTGTTGAGTTCTCAACAGCTATCAAGGTTGCGTCAGAGTCTCCTTCGTAGCCGGCTTGGTTGTGGCCGACTTCCTTCCTCCCTCTCGCAACTTTAGCCTCTTCCTCCCAGTCTTCTTCTCCGGAGATATCACCCGCCTGACTTAGCTCTTCTACTGCCATTGATCCCCCAAAAGATCTCTGCGGGATAGACGCACGCCTCGTGTAAATCCTGTTCTCGCCCTCGCCTTCCTCCATAAACACCCGCCCCACAATCGTCTTCGTCTTGTCCGTATTACCTGATAAGCTGCTGCACGACACCCTGATTTCTGTAGCCCTTAGGTCCCCGGTGTGTCCAGTGTACCGTATCAATTTCTCCTCGTCCACAGACGATGACGCAAAAAAGACAACGCCAGAAAGCATGTCCTCTGCCCGTAACTCACCAAAGTTTGAGCCGTCATAGACAACGACGTTTGCGCCGCTGTCGCCCATCCCCCGCCGGAAGCCTGTGATCTGCGCCGTTCGCAGCCTAGGCACCTTGTCTAGGCCTAAGAGGGCCTTGAGAATCTTGCCTGTAAGCGTTACGTCACATAAAAAATATGCGACAGGGTATCGTGAGGTAATGTTTGAACTGGAAGACATGATATCGATGAAGATGGTGGTGTAGGTGCAGTAAGGTAATGTGTAGTAGTAAGGTAAAGTTGTGACAGGATAATGTGCGTCGTAAAGCTGGAGAGTTGAGAGAGGTCAAGGTAGTCGAGGTGAGCAGCAGCAAGGTGGACAGGTGAGAGAGAAGCCTGCAGTCTAGCCCGGTTTCTGAACGTGGAGTGATGAAAGTGAAAGTGAAGGTATCTTACGCGCGCATGTACAGTCAACCGCATTAGGACAGCGACTCCCAAAACTACCGCTCCTAAACAATACCAAACAATGATAGGGAATGACTTTGATATCGTCACCTAACAGAACTTTAAAGTGCTCCTCGTCGAACTTCCCTCCCCACTTTTACAGGGCTTCCTCACCATGCAAACAAGTCGAGAGAAACATCCATAGACAAAAACGAAAAAACACCATTCATGATAATATCCTACACAGTATGCACGTGACGCCGGTATAAGCGTTACATACCCGTCTTGGGACCCACCCACCCCAGTTGTCATCCTCTCCCACGCGCCCAAGATACAAAGTTGTTCGCCGAGCAAATGCTATTCTACAAGAATGCGCAGCAAGACATGTGACTAGTTAAACGCTGGTATCGCCGTTGTGTGACGGACGGATTAGAAATAACCCCCAAGTTCCATATTCCGCAAAGAAAACTCCGTTGCTTTTTTATATCGTAGTCCCCACTCCCGACCTAGACAGACAGACGGGAAAACGATTACAAAGAAATCCTGAATGAGCATCATCATCATTTCCCTACGACTCCATCCCTGACCATGTTTAGTTTTCCTCTCTGTTTCCACATACAGTCGTCCATGGTATCCCTTGTTGTTGTTTTTGCTGGCCAGCCCAAAGGAGTGCATGGTTCCCACAAGCAGTCATCGTGAAAAGCCAAATGATCAAGTAGAAAAGCGATTAGGTTGAGTAGGAAAAGAATGACTGTCATGTGGTAGAGACCAAAGAGTACCAGGACTTTATAGCCCAGGTAGTGCAGTGGTGGAGAGTTGTTCGTCGCTAGCGTCTTAGGCTAGCGGTCGTGGGCTCTGCTGAGCATGAGTAAAGAGGGCGTTGAGAAGCCGTTCAACCTAGAAGACAGTGAATTAGCATTGCTGGTCAGTGTGTTCTTTAGGCGCATACGTACTTCAGGTGCCGCTTTGACAAACGGCAGGTCCCAGAACCCGTATGTACGGTTCTTAAGAATCTCCAGCAAGGTGATGATGAGGCCCCATGGGTGCGGGCGGTGGACCAACAGGCGCTCCAACAGCACTCGGATGATTGTCTCTTGAATCTCCAGAGCCAACGAGTCGTCGTTCGGCGGCCCGAAGAGGTGCAGCAGCGTGTAGCTGTAGAAATGAGTGTGTGTGTTGGGGAATCGCAGCTGGTTCGCAATTGCACTTATGAAGTGGAACCTCGCTTCAGGGTGCAAGTCCTTTACAAGCCTCTCAATAGCCTTCGTAGCTGGGCTCTCGGCGTCAAAGATAGGCGCACTGGCTGAACCAGCGCCTAAAGTTGAAATGCCAATGTACAGAGTGATTGCGTGTATCAGCTTCGGGTTCGCAGTCGTTGGGACGAGCTCGAAACCGGCAGACTTGGCCTCCGGATAGTACACTGCTTGACGGACCTTGTCAACATCCTGGTTCTTCAGCTCTGAACCCTTGAGCAGGTTGTCGATGGCGCCTTTGATGCCCGCCTCCGAAAGGATGTGTGCGATATCGGCACGTATGACCGGGGCTTGGAGATCATGCTCCAGACGGTCTGCCTTCAGTCCTGCGGTAAACGGGTCTGGCATTTCAAGGATCGTTGAAGGATATGCACTAACAATTAGGTTTCGAAGCTGTGTGCAGTGCATAGGAATGCTGTTGCAAAAGCGAAAGTGGTTCTCGACCAGAAACTCAGGAAAGTCGTGGTGTACAACTAACAAAACTCGCAGGACACCACGGTAGAATTGTTGAGCCATAATTGTTTCTCCCGTTGGCTTGATGAGCTTTCCAGTAAAAGTCAGAAGCGTCTCCACAAGCTGAGCGTACGCATCCCACCGCTTGTCGTCTTGACCCTCTTCTAACATGGCAGGAATGAAGATGCGGTGTGCCACCAGTGAAAGCCACGCAAAGGTGAATCTCTGAACGCGCAAAGGCTGGAGAGCTAGGAGAGCTCTAGCCACTGCAAGGAAAACGTCTGCCTTTTGGTCTTCTAAAGCCTCTTCCTTGACCGCATCGTTAAGGTGGAACAGGATAGCAGAGAAGAGCCTGAAGAAGACCTTTTGGCAGAAGGCGTCTCCTCGGGTGTTGTGATGATTGCAGAGAACGAGGACGACCACGACGAGTATCTGATCCAGGTATTTCGCTTTGTTCTCCTTGACCGGTCCGCCTTGCTCACCCTGCTCGCCTTGATAGACAACGAGATCGACGATCAGTCGTCCAAGCGCATCAATCTTGACAGTTGCAATGTCTTCGTTGCCACTGCCAAACGGAAGCGAATGTTCCTGCTCGTACGCGACTACGGAGGCATCAATGCAGGTCCGAATGAATATTATGGAAGATTCTTGAGTCTCCATGACCTTCTGCTGGTGGAGCTGGTAGATGAAAGCGCCCACCGCCTTCTTTGGCATGCTTTCCATTTGGAGATGTACCCACTCATCGAATACATACTCGAGCTGGTCCTTATGCCCGGTCGCTGGAGGGGTCAGTAACTGCTCGTTGGACGGTGCCTGCAGGTTGGCGAGAATGCGTTTGCCAAGTTCGAAGGTAGGCTCTTCTGCTAACCAGACGGTAAGAGCATCAATAGACATGGCAAAGTCCGCACGGAAAGCACTCGGGTGCTCATTCAATATGAGCTCGTCCATCAAGCTAGAGAGCATTTCTACCGCAGCGACGCGGCGATCCTGAATGGCCTTTGCAATGGTCGTGTTCAGGCGATGCATATCCATAAGGTTGACTTCCATAAGAGCCACCATAACGGTAGACTTGAAGATGCGGTCGTCTTCATGGAGGGTGGCCAACCACATCAGCACTTGACGGGAAGTCTGCACGGACAACTGGCACAGGTGGCTCAAAAGATGTGCCATAACCTCGACTTCCAAACGGCTTAAGGAGTCGGAAAAAAGATGATTAGTCACTTGACCGGCAATGCGGAATGCAAGGTTTTCCTTATTAGGTCCAGCATACTCAACGCTAGAAACGAGTTGATCGAAAACTTGGTGGACGTTGCTGCTTCCCGGCTGAAGGTCGCTTATGCGTTCTTCTGGTGCTTCCTTGACGACGCGGGTAAGTTCAATAAGAAGATCGTCCGTGCCACGCTGCCCACGTTCCAGACCAGGAGCCTCCATGTAGCCATTTGGTTGTTGCTGTTGCGTTAAGGCTGTATGGGGTGCTTGGAGGTTCTGAAGCCGAGGCTGTTGTGCTGGTTGTCGAGGCTCTGCCGGTGCAGCACCTGGAGTGGGAAGGTTTGGCACTGCCGCCGCAAATTGGTCTTGAAGTACGTCTGGAAGCTGCCGACCCCCATCCTGGGAAGGATTGTTAACGTGCGGAGCACCCCGCGACTGTCTACCAAACTCTTCGTAAATGGACAGCTGTTCCCTGTTCAAGCCACCCGGCATCTGCCTGTACGGCTCAGGGATGTAAAAGGCCCAGGGGCTGATGTTGGCGTCCTTGAAAGCCTCATTGGGACGGGAACTGCGGAACATTCGCCGCATGCGAACTGCGTCCTCGATTTGCATATCTATCTCAGCGAGAGATGACATCTCAGCAGCCTGCTCTACAGTGTTGCAGACAAGGTCGAGGTTGTCGTTGACAAACATAAGGATATGGCCCTCGGGAAGTCCTTGGTCGGGCAGATCTCTTGCTGTTACGCGAATGTTGTTCTGAATACTCATGCGTAGAGGCTCTTTGCAGGTGACGAGAGCTAGGGCGCCAGATAGAGCCTTGACCACAGTGTGCGCCGCATTGCGAAGCTTCTCCTCGTCTGGTTCCATAGCGAAATCCTTGTTGATCAATTGCGACGTTGAGATAGCGGCAATAGTAACAGAGCGTTCCACTACTGGCGCAATAATCTCCTGTATAGCTTGATTGACCGCAGTAAGGAAAATCTTCTTTAGTGCTGCTGGAGGAACTGCGCCATTTCCGGGTGGTGGGTATTGGAGCTGGTTGGTAAAGTCTGGCAGAGCTGCTGTGATTGCAGCAGACGAGAAGCGTTCGTTGGGACCTCTTGCGCCACGGTTCAGGCTCATGATGGAAAGATCTCCAAACGCTTCCATGCCGTCGGTGACCATCGCACCCAAGAACTCCTCATCCGCTGGGGGTCGTCCTCGGATAGTGTTTGTCGGATCGATATCCTTGTGGTCGAGCTCCAAGCCTTTGCAGAGTACTTCAATCTCAAATTTCTGGTTGAGTTTCAGGTCGGCAAAGTGATAGAGTTCCATAAGCACCCCCAGCATCTCTGTCAACCATGGATTAGGAGGCTTGAATATTGTGGACTTGGCAGCCTGCACCAGGACCTTGCAAGTAAAAGGTATCACGAGCAGCAGACGGTCTGTATCGTAGCCTTCGTGCAACAGATCTTTGAACGAGATGTTTCGGAACTTGATCGGCTGGTCCCGGGCGATGGTCAGAGATCCGAGCCAGGAGCCCAAATTCTTCAGATGACCACGTTCGGTAGAACCCAGCGTAGAGTCAGTGTTGAGCATGCGAATGACGCTTGCGTATGTCTCGCGAAGCACTTCTGCCCAGAGCATCTTGTCGTTGAATAGCTCGAGCATATCGAGATACAACTGCTGGAAGTTGGGCTGCATCTTGGCACGCTCCTCAACCAGGTAATTCGCAAACCACTGGTGATGCCTCTCCTCGACAGCTTCAGTGAGGTCGTTGATCTTGTCGCGCAAGTTACGTTCGGACACATTGTTCAGTACAAACAATACTTTGTCTTGAACCTCCTCGTCAGGGTCCTCGTACAGCTCCGGACGGAGTGGTGGATCAACATAGAGGCATGTGAACTTGGGTATGGCAGGTTCTTGGTGGATGGTATCCTCGATGCCATTACCGTTCGTCAGGCCTATGCCGTTATGTCCGTCACCGTTCACCTCTCCGACTTGTTGACCCACAACTTCCTCAGCCTTGACGAATATTTCAGTTCCTTGGAGCCCAGGAACAATGAGAAGCTGGTCGCAGTAGTTGGGCCATTCAGATAGTCGGTTTGAGAAGTGAATGAGTGCCTGGAGCCCGAACTTGTACATACTATCTTCAGGTCGGAACTCCTGCACGGCTTCTAAAACCATTGCCAGTCCAACTTGAAGTGCAATTCGCGATAGAAGGTTGAAGTTGATGATACCCCCGAAAAGTACAGCAGTGGTTGCTAATGCTTCTAGCGGGTATTCCCCAAAACAGTTGTACTCGTCGAAGAGGCCATGAATCATGCACGCAAAGAGGTCCTGATCAGCGGGATCGCGGGATTCTTTGTACTTTTTTAGTGCAGAGATGATGTCCCTGACATCGCTCTCGCCGCTGTACATGTTCTTGAAGTGCTCTTGCATCTTCTTGTCGGCATCTTCTGGAAGCGCATTACCGTTTTGGCCATTCGCATCGATTACGTCATCCACGCCTTCGCCGTAGTTTATCAACCGAGGATAGGCTTGGATACAGTTTCGCTGCAAGGGCAGCAGCTCATGCTCGGGTAGGCCACATTCTGCAAGAAACCAAAGCAGCGGATAGACTGTCTTCACAGCCAAAGGAAGACTGAGGGGCTGATGGTCGTCTCGTACACGCTGCATTTCTTCTTGGGCGCGCGCACTTAGGAAGTTGGTCAAGATGCGACGGAATAGTGGCCCAGCCTGGTCGAATGTTTGCTGTAACCAGGGCTCAACTTCGAACTTGCCACGGGCATGCGCCTGCGCAGCTAGGTCTAAGCTGATATCAGTATTGCTGCGAATCAGTGGCTCTAACCAGTGGTTAGCTTCCGCATGCTCAAGGACCAGGGTAAGAGTCATGGAGTCCGCGTTGTAGGCATCGACGAATCTGTCAACGAGCCACTGCATATCTTGTTGCCAGAGCCCATAGAGCACAAAGTTGTAGATGGGAAGTTTTTTGTGGAAATAGGGGTCGAAAAGCTGCTTCAACGCCTGCTCCTGCAAAGCACCCCATGGTTTTGGAACCGCTGCGGCCGCGACGAGGAACTCCGCCGTGTGAGGATTAATCACTTGTTCGGGTATGCTCATCAATTGTGCTGCATGATATGTCTCTGATGTCTGGAAGATCATGTTGAACAGCGCGGCTGTTGCGTCCAAGGAAACAAACGGATGCTTAACCGCTTGTTCCGCAAAGGCCTTGGCGTCCTCTGAAGCATTCTCGAATGTCTTCATTGAGTACGAGGTGCGTAATCGGGGAATCTGCGTCACGTCCAGCTCTTGCGGTGTACTAGACAGAAAAGCTACGACAAAGTACAGCTGCGTCAGGTTGTGCTGCCATTGTCCTCCCCAAAGCGCCTGTATATCGAACTTCTCGGTGTCCTGGGCGACGGGGAGCAGTGCATTGTATATGGCGAGGAACTGATGCCGTTCGATGTGTAGATGGTCTCGGTCGAAAGCAAGCACGACGTCTTGCCAGTCTATTCGCTGTCCGGCCCGGTGTTCGCGTAGCGCGGCTACAAAGTTTTTCGCGTTGTAGCCAGTGGAGAGGGCCAGGTAGAGTAAAACAGCGGAAATCTGCTGATAACTGATGTCGCGCGTTTCGGCCGACGCAAGCACCTCTTTGCATGCTTCGACGGTCGCCGTGCCTTGTGGTCCTGCCTGCTTGACTAGTTTGACAAGGGGGTTTCGCGAGCCGTCTGTGAGCTCGACGAGTATCAGCTTTGATTCGACCACGGGTGGAATTGGCTGCTGGAATTGCTGATAGTGCATCTGAACAGCGTATGCCAAGCTCATTTTCTTATCCTCATCCCATCCCGGGGGTGGATCTTGAAGTAGACGTTCGACAAGGGTGGCGACGTATTCAGGGCTCATATCGTCTTCGGCCGGTTGTGCAATGGTCACGAGCAGGTCGTCGCCTACTGTGGATAGGACAGCATCGGCTAATGAGCGTTAGTGCAGAGCTCTGTGAGGTGTTTAGATTCAAATGCCTACCTTTGGATCGCAGATCTGTCTTTCTGCATGCAAGTGCGAGCATCGTTTTCGAAATCAAGTCGAGCTTGAAGTGCGAGAGGAAGGTTGCTAGGTCGAAGTCGCGGAACAAGTCGCCCTCGCTGGAGCTAATTGATTCTGCGATCTTGTCTGCCTGCTCAGGATCCTGCCGTATCTTATGTACTTCTGAGAGGAGGATCTGATAGCTGCCATTGGGAGGATCGGGGCTGCGTGTGGCGGTACCGAAAATGGTGGCGGCATTGTTTTGCAACACGCGCCGAAAGTACTTTGAGAAGACCTCCATACCGTTTGAATCGACCAGCTAGGAGCGCGTCAGTAAATTCGATGGCAAAGGGAAGCACAGACAATGGGGGCAAACTCACCTTTCTGATCTGCTCGGTTTGCGTGTCCCACTTGGCGCGATCTTTGTCGTCCTTCACCGGGCCAAATTGACTCAGCAAGAGGAAGATTTGGGCAATGACAATGCGTGAAAGGTTCTGAGATGAAGCGCCAGAGGAATTGGCCGACGTGCTGGGCGAGCCCGTGGTGCTCGATATGGAAAGCGAGGGCGAGGCGCGGACAAGCTTGGAGGCTCCTCCGCCGCTGTTTGACTGTGCACCGGCGCCCTGAGTAGCGGCGGCGGCGGAGGAAGCCAGTTGCGAGGCAGCCTGGGGCGCTATGGTCCTGGTCCCTCTGGAGGACAGCAGCTGGCTGGCGGGGAGCTGCTGTCCTGCTGCGGGCGTGTAGGGCGACGACGTGGATGAGGCAACCGAAGACTTGCGGCTACCAACAAGGCGCGAAGATGCGGGTGGCAGAGCGGGGAATGACGACGTTATAGGCGATTGGTTGGCGCGGGGGTGGTTGGGTGAGGGCGTGTTCGTGTTGCGCGGGTCGTGGGCAGAGGCAGCGGCAGTGGTTATGGGCGTGAGGCGTGTGCTTTGATTTTGTCTCGGGGCGCCCCAGGGGTGTTGCAGGCTCATCGAAAGAGCCTTTCCATGAGTAGCGCGTCGTGAGCGAGAGAGAGGGGGGGATGATGGCCGTGTGAGATTTTGGGTACGGGTGTGATAGCCATACGTTCAAGGTGATGCACGAAGAGAGAAGCGGGCTTGGCACCATGAGTGAGGGACGGAGACCTGCCACGTTCCAAGCTTTTGGGCGTGCTTGCAGTTGCGATTTATTTGCTTTGCGCTGCAACTACCATGACCCGCATTGCAGCGCAGTCGATGCCATTCTACCTAATCATCTAACACTAGGTAGCAATCGACTGCCATTGTCCATCGCAGCTGCCAGGTGTGGTGAGGCTGCTCTTGCTCTTGCCGTCCACGGGTAGTAAGTACCCCACACTGCACCTTCCGCCATCCATGGGTGACTCTTCCGCCCAAACAGGCATGACCATGATAACGTCCCATGGTAATTGCCATCCGCTCTTCCAGCATGCATAGGCTTGTATCGGATTCCAAGGGAAATTGTGCATAATTCAACACTTGCTCGACGCGGCATCTTGTCCAAAGTGATGTCACGGGCACCCGGGTGTCATGAAATGCTGGACATGGCAGTGTAAAAAAGCCACTGTAGTCGCAAGACACGTCTAGTTGTTAGGTGCTTACCCACTATCATGAAATACTGGACATAGCAGTGTAAAAAAGCCACTGTAGTCGCCAGACACGTCTATTAGGTGCTTACCCTGTTCACCATTGTCTCTCCAATGTTCTCCGTTCTCCGCTGCCGTGAACAACAACAACAACAACAACAACAACACGCAACCTTGAGAAGCAAGGGCACCGGACTCACGACCGTAGAAAAGACAGGCCCAAAATATCATTTGCAGCCAAAATAGGGGTGTTATAGCCAAAGACACCAGGTATCTAGGGTCCCGAGTTCGTCATAGGGCTGACCACTTAGCGCTGCCCCTCTCGTCGCTATGGTGATTTTCGCGACCGTCAACAAAGCGGTACACCGTTGGCATCCGGGCCCGCTACCCCAAAACCTGGCTTGGTCCCCTTGAGCTGCATATCGAACAGCCCAACATCTTCACTATTATTATTATTTTGCTAGCATTCGCTTTCTCGCATAGCCTGCTAGCTGTCGTGATTAACCTTCGCTGAAGCTGTAAAATCGTCCATAATGGGCGGCGCAGCGGCCATGGAGCCGCCGTCTGTCTCCATGTCGTGTAAGTTGACATGTGAATTCATGTATGGCATACACACAAAAGCTAACATTCGCAGTCGCCAACAACTTCTGGGGCAAAGATGACGCTGGTGTCGGGCCAATGCTCGACCGCATGCACGCAGCCAAAGTCACCAATGACGAACTCAAAAACTTCTACGCTGCTCGTGCTGCCATTGAAGAAGAGTACTCGCGAAAGCTGCTGAACCTGTCGCGGAAGCAGCTTGGATCCTGCGAAACTGGTACTCTACGTCTGTCATGCGATGTCATCCGGGCCGAGGTCGAATCCATGGGCAAGTCCCACCAGAGCATAGCACACCAAATGAAGACGGAGCTGGAAGAGCCACTTGCTGCGTTTGCCGGTGGAATGAAGGAGCGGAGAAAGATTGTACAGAATGGCATTGAGAAGCTGCTGAAGCTGAAGATGCAGCAGACGGCCACGGTCAACAAGGCCCGCGACCGATACGAGCAAGACTGCCTCAAGATCAAGGGCTTCCTCGCTCAGGCACATATGGTCATGGGTCACGAGGAGCGCAAGAACAAGGCAAAGCTAGAGAAGACACAGATCAACCTGACGACGACCAGCGCCGAATACGAAGCGGCCGTAAAGGTGCTCGAGGAGACGACAGGCAGGTGGAACAGAGACTGGAAAGCCGCGTGTGACAAGTTCCAGGATCTCGAAGAGGAGCGCATCGACTACACCAAGAGCAGCTTGTGGAACTTTGCCAACATCGCCTCGACGGTATGCGTTAGCGACGATGCCTCTTGTGAGAAGATGCGGCTATCACTCGAAGACTGTGACGTAGAAAAGGACATCTTTGGCTTTATCAAGGAGTCTGGAACCGGCCAGGAGATTCCCGACCCGCCAAAGTTCATCAACTTTTGTAGAGGAGATGCCGAGACATCTTCCCAAGTCTCCGAGGATGAGAACTACTCCGTCGCACAGTTCGCGAGGACATTGAATCCGGCCTACCGCGCTTCATCACCAGCGCCATCAACATTTTCATCACATCACGACCCCAAAAATCCGCTGGCACGAGAACTGGGCATCCCGCAAAACACGGCTCCGATAACACAGAACGAAGTCAACGCGCGACCACGACCATCTGCAGATAGGTCACGGAAATCCGTGGATTCATTCCGACAATCTGTAGACAAACCCCGTCAGTCTATAGATTCGTTCCGCCAATCTGTCGACAAACCTCGGCAGTCTACAGATTCGTTCCGCCAATCTGTAGACATGTCGCGACACTCTATAGACATGTCCCGGCAGCCAGTTGAGCTGCCACCACCACAAGCAGAGCCACCGAGACAATATGAGCAGCACCGACAATACGCGGAAGAGCCACAACAATACATGGAAGAGGCGAGATATTATCCAGAAGAGCCACAACAGTATATGGAGGAGCCACGGCAGTATGTGGAACCGCCGCAACAATATGTGGAACCGCCACAGCAATATATGGAACCGCCGCAGCAATATATGGAGGAACCACGGCAATACGTAGAACCACCGCAACAACAGGCTGAACCCCTTCGACAGCACGTGGAGCAACCAAGGAAATCTGTCGAACAAATGAGACAACACATCGAGCAACCAAGACAGCAGGTACAACCTTTGAGGCAACATGTGGAACCACAGCAACAACGTATTGAGCCTTTACGACAACATACTGAACCACCGAGGCAGCATGTGGAGCCACTTCGACAACAGCCAGAGCCACGAAGGCAGCGTATAGAACCCTCGCGACAACAATCAGAGCCACAAAGACAGCCGGTGGAACCAGAACCAGTGCAGCCAGTACAACCGCCTCAGGCCACACGCGCGATCCAACCCGACCCTCGACTTGTGCAAGCCCAACAGGAAGCACGCCAGCAGTATCAGCAAAGTGAGGTCCCACACAATGACTACCCAGCAGATGGAATGACGCAGTTCTGTCGCATTGGCCCCCCATCGGATCGGAGCTCGATCCCAAGTCCCGTTCGACCAGCTAGCCGGGATTCACAGAGTGAATATTCGAACCCTACGTCGTTCTCTAGTATTGAAGCGCCAAGTCCCGCGACGCCCAGCAAACCAGTGCCGCAAGAAATGCCACCATCACCTGCTGAACCTACTCCACCAGAGGAGGGCTCAGTGGCGAAGAAGCGAGGCTTCTTCAATAGCCCTTTTGCACGCAGAAAGAGCAAGCACGAAATAGAACCTCCGCCTCTCGCCTCCAGCAACCGGAACACATGGACGCCTCCTTCACGTCGGAATACACAAGAAAACGTCAGCCCGGTCAGAAACACTCCTAGTCCAACCAAGAGCGTTGCCACTCCAACCAAACTCAACGCCACTCCAGCAAAGCTCAACACCAGCCCAACCAAACTCAATGCCACTCCAGCCAAGCTCAACACCAGCCCGACTAAATTTAGTGCTACTCCAGCCAAGCTCAATACGAGTCCAACTAAATTCAATGCTACTCCGGCCAAGCTAAATACCAGCCCAACAAAAACTTATCCAAGTCCAGCAAGACATTTTATCGGCAGAACTCGTGCTATAGAAAGTGCGCCTCATTCTCCCAGTCCAGAGCCAGACGCGGCTGATCCACGAGCCAATTTCCAGCTGAATGTTGGCAATAATGTGTTCGACGTAGCTTCGCCAGACAAGAAGCAATCGGAAGAGCAGGCAGAACAACAAGAGGAACTTGATCCTATTGCGCAGGCTCTCGAAGAGCTGAGGGGGGTCACCAAACAGGCTTCTGTACGCCAAACAGTCGATGATCGCAAGCAGGCCTCTGTACGCCAAACTGCAGATCGCTACCATGGTCTTGCAACGCCCGCTCCTCCTGCTACGCCTGCAGTGGGCTCAAAGTTGGCTGGTAGTGCTCCAACACCCCTTTCAAACGTCGCTCTGAATGCTGCAAAGCGAGGGACGCCCCCGCCCTCATACGAGACACCTCCCATGTCTCGTCTAGGTGCTCCCAAGCCAGCACACACTTCCCGTGCAATGCAAAAGACCACTCAGATGTATGTCAATCAAAAGGCTAACATGTTCAATACGACCGAGCCCGCTCGCGCTTCCAGTCGAAGCCCTACGAAGCAAGAAGCTCCACGGACAGCCTCACCTGCGCCTGCTCGTGCTGCAAGTCCAAGTCCAAGACCTAGTCCTCTCACCACACAACAAGCGTCACCTCAAAACTCCTACCGTATGGCACAGCCTGCCTCGCCCTCTACCTACCAACCCGTGCAGCGACAAGCTCCATCGCCTTCCACGTACCGGCCTGCGCAGCAACAGGCTCAATCGCCATCTACATTCCAGACTGCACAACGGCAGCAGCCACCTGCAGCTCAGCCTGTGCAAAGGCAGCAGCCACCTGCAGCTCAGCCTGTGCAAAGGCAGCAGCCACCCGCAGCTCAGCCTGTACAAAGGCCGCAATCACGAGCAGCTCAGCCTGTGCAAAGGCAGCAGCCACCTGCAGCTCAGCCTGTGCAAAGGCAGCAGCCACCCGCAGCTCAGCCTGTACAAAGGCCGCAATCACGAGCAGCACAGTCGTCACCGCGTCCACAGTCTGTAGTCCAACCAGCACCAAAGCCTGTAGCCCAACCTGTAACTCAGCCCGCAGCTCAACCTGCGCCGCGTGCACAGCCGCAAGTCTCCCGACCTGCATCGAGGCAGCAGCAACAAGCCCCACAACCCTCTCGACCTGCATCGAGGCAGCAGCAACAACCTCCACAAGCATCCCCTGCAGCCTCATTCAGTCGAACAGCATCACCAAATCCCTATGCTCCCTCCAACGTCGGAGGCAGACCGCGGGCGCAAACCGCCACGTCAACAGCTCAAGCCTATGGTACACCCGTAGGACGCAATTCGTACTCATCCACCCGCGGACCATCGCCAAGCGTCAACACCACGCCACGTACTGCATCACCTCTGCCGCCACAGCAACCTCCACAGCAGCAACAGCCACCACAGCCATCACAGCCTCAACAACCACAGCAGCCCCCTCAACCAGCGTTTGCACAATCCCAATCTCGCCCACAGTCTCGTGCAGCTCCTCTCTCTCGAACCGCGAGCCCCAACCCCCAGTTCCGCCAATCTAACGATCGGCCACCCAGTTCTCGTGGAAGCGACAGGACAGTCGCCCCTTCTATTGCGGGTAGCGTGCGCGGTGATGGCAGTGTCTATGGAGGAAGTCAATTTGGGGGTAGTGTGCGTGGCAGACCGCCCAGTGCTCGACCGCAGAGCTCGTACATGAGCAGTGCAGGAAGTGAGTTTGGCTTCGACGCAGGATCTGGAAGCTCAGTAAGGGCCGAGTCCAGGACCCGTAGTAAGAGCCTGGCCGAGCCCAAGAACTACAACAGTCAGGGCAGATTGATATTGAACTATTGTAAGTGGTCACATTTGGTGCATTTTGTTTGATAGGTTTGCTAACGCCCGATACAGCTCGCGCAATGTACTCGTATGCAGCTCAGATTCCCGAAGAATTGGGATTCCAAAAGGGCGATATTCTCGCTGTTTTGAGGTTGCAGGATGATGGATGGTGGGAGGCTGAGGCAGTTGGCAAGCAAGGCCGACCAGGTCTTGTGCCGTCAAACTACCTCCAGCCATGCTAAGTGTTCGGAGTATGCAGGTATAATAGGAAGGGGTGAGAGGTTACCGGTGTTTCGACCACTCCGTTTTGTTGAGATGTTGTTTTGTTTCTGATTTAGCGACTTGATTGCACATACCCTCGTTCGTTGTACGCTAGGTGTTGGGGTATCTGACGTTTGGTTACGATGATGTTGGATGAAGACGAGGTTCACGTAGCGACTGACAAATTGTACATACCGCCTACGTTGACACATATCTCTATACTATCCCATCCATTCATCCCTCCTTATATACCACACATCTTCACCTGACCATGCGCTCTCCCGGCTCCCGACATTCCGCACCCTCATACTCCTTCACCTTTATTAACCCGCCCCTCCCCAGCCACGCCAATTCCCACTGCTCCCTCTCCTCCCCCCTTCCCACAACCCTAGTAATCTCCCGCCTTAACCAAATTTCCGCACTTTCCCTTTCCAACCCGCTAATCTCACTACACCACCCCTTCCCCTTCCGCCACAACCCTTCCAGCCTAACAAATCCCTCTCTCTCCTCTTTCTCAAACAAAACCTTGGGATCCATACTGATTAGACCAGCCTCCCAGTTCCCTGTGTCAAAGCGCATCATCTGCTGCACCATCTCTGCCTTCCACGCTGAAATAGCAAACTGTCGGCCAGGGAAATCACTCGCTTTCTCCCCTTCCCGCTCCCGTGTGCGGTCTTCTTCTTCATCTGCTATGATGCGAGCGATAGTTTCTCCTAGGGCCGTTGCTGCACCCCCCTCATCCACACCATTACTCAAGTCAAAGAGGATGTATGACTTCCCTAATTCTCCAGCCCGGTGAATACTTCCATTAGAAGAAGGGTGGAAATAAAGTTCCGCTCGATCCCCTAGTCCACAGAAAACAACATGCTTTCCTAAGCGGCTTGTGTCTGCTGCGAGAGGAGAAAAGGTGGTAGGAGGGAATGCAGTGGCGGGGTGAATTTCTATTGAAAATTCGTGCTTCTTTAGGAAGCGTTCTTGTGGTTGAAAGGTGATTTCCATGCTGTCTTCTGAGAGGTAAGGGCGAGCTTGGGGGAGGCAGATAGCATCAAGGAAGGCGATGAGGGGGAGGAGGCGGCGGGTTTGTCGGTTTGTTAGAGACATTTTATGTAGGTAGGCTAGTTTCGCTTTTTTTTCCTTGTTGTTTTTCGTCTGCTCTCTCTTGTATGATCTCGAGAGATGATGGAGCAATGCAGGGGATTTCTGAGATATATACTTACTGAAGTGTGGAAACATAGTGCTGGAGGGTATATGTTAGAATCTCAACCATGGTTCGAAAACTTCAGTTGGCGGATACAAAGTGGGTTTGCGACCACTGGCAGCGCTTGGATGTAAGAGCCTTCTGGTGGACTGAAAATGTGCTCAAGGACTCCATAGTGTATAAATTCGTACCATGAAATTTAATGAGAAAGAAATTCGTATGGGTATCTACCCAACCGGACGCCTAGTATAACACTGAATTACCATAAGTTTTTCCTGTACTACTCGTCGTACGTGTTCTGGTACGGATCTCCATCATCAATGTCATCATCCTCGCCGTTATCAAAGTACTGCTCGGCGTTGTAATCGTCATCAGACTCCTCTGAGTCGGTCGATGCGGCGGAATAATTATCATCCTCGCCAACCGCTTCGGGCTTTTCCTCGTCTGCGTCTTCCTCTTCCTCTTCCTCTTCGACCTCTTCATCTCCCTCCTCTTCAGCACGGGCTTTTGCTTCAGTGTTCTTATCCTCTGCTGACTTGATCATGCGCTCGATTTCCGACAGGGGGTTGACCTGGGTACCACCCAGTGTCCTACGCTTCTTAGTCGGGTTACCGTCGGTGTGTGTGCCGTCTAATAAGGATCGCAGTTCCGCAGGGAAAAGGTCGACAACTGTAAATTATGAGCCAATAACCGACCATCCCTACTCAGCGGAACTCACCGTATGGCCGTTCATCTAGTTTTGGCAATCTTCTCCGCACCTTCAAGTACTTGGCAGAGTATGTCTGGTTGCCGGTAAAGGGATCGAACAAAGTAGCTTCGGTGGGTGCTGGCTCGCTGGCCTTGCGCTTTAGGCCGTCCTTCATGCCATCGTTCAGGAGTGTGTAAAATGGACCCTCGTGTACGCGATCGCGGAATGAAAGATGATGTCTAACCATGTCTGCCTCGTCGTCGGTTGGCGGCGGCGCCTGGGGAGGTGGTCTGTCCTGTATATGTCTTAGTGGTTGATCCATAGGTGCGTCATGATATATGCTGCGAAGCTGCTGTAGATGCGACTACGAATGTGACTTGAGAAGAGGTGACGCATAATAACGAGACAAGATAGTCTGGATGGCGATGGTCCGTAAAAAAGACAAGCAGATGCTTACAGGAAAACGCTCGGCAGGGCCCTTCTGGATTTCGAGGCCACTCAGATCCCAGTTGAGCTCTGTGCCAGCAATGGTTACTGTCCCTCGCACGGGATTGAATGCGCCCCCACGTCCACCGCCGCGACCACCCCTCCCTCCTCTTGCTGGCGGCATGTTGAATCACTTTTCTCCTAAAATGCGCGTGGTTATAGGACTACCTTAGGTTAAAAATCGTGCCTGAGGCGTCGTCAGGCGAGAGTCTTGGGGATGTAGCGGAGTCGGAAATTATTTGGGGAGCAGCTGCAGCTTTTACCGGGATAACTACTTAAGTAGCCGACTAGGGCGAGGTGGGGCCCCAAAGGCGAGCTTGCACCCCGCCTTGTGCTCTCCCTTATCCAAACAGTCTGCATCTTAATAGATTAACCTACAGACTTCCTTTTGAAGAACAAGGCATCTGCACCGTAAGTATCCTCTGGCAGTGGCCTGGACCGATCTGCAAGCATACACGTTGAGAAACTTCAGCCTCACCGTACATCAGACTGCTAGTGACGCGTCTAGTGCTCGATACACTACGCGTTATCACATGAGCGGGGGCTAGAACTTTCCTTCACAGTCTATCCGCCACAATAGACTAGGAATACCAAGAGCGTCAAGGTCCCGACTTAATCCATCTCTGCTATCAACGCGCATTAAGCAAACGTCCAGAATGGCAGCAGCTACTTCTGTACTCGGTGAGCTCTCGGAGCATCTGCAAAAGGTCGACCAAGATCCTACCACCGAGCTGGATGCAGATCTACTTGAGCGATGCGAGCTCTTCACAAACACCTCTGAATATCGGTCTCAAATATGGAAAGAGACAAGACCGCTCTTCCTCCAGATCGCCGCCTTGCTACCAAAGCTACAGCAAGATCCATCGCGACTGACGCATTTCATCCTCAAGCTCGCCGAGCCATATCGCTTCGAGGATATCAAAGACGTCGAGTTCGAGATTGGCCTGGACCTTCAAGCGATCCCATTTCACAATCTCATCCTCACATTGCTCGAGAAAGCCACCACCAGTAGCACTGATGCCCAAGCGCTTGCAAATCGACCGGCAGTCATGTTGGCCATCGTCCGTCTGTGGTTGTGCACTCAAGATGCTGGAGTAGCAAGCCAAGCCGAGAATCTTCTCACATCGCTCCTTGGCATATCGAAGAACGAGCCGGTTTCCATGGACGGCAAGTCAACCCTGCACACTTATGGTACTGGCCCCGTTTGGCGGCGACTGTTCAGTGACCGCGATATCAGCTCGTTGTACTACCATTATACCTCACTCAAACAGCTTATATCGCCGCCTCTACCACTTCTGAACAAGCGAGACAAGACTATAGCACAAGCTAGGTTATTGTCATGGCTACCACGCGTCGCCGCAATGGACTGGAATGCTGTCGTTTCTGCATACGGACTCAACGTTGAGCGGGAAGTGGGTCTAAAGGAGGGTCAGGGCTTACTTCACTATGCTGCACTCAAGATGGTCGATACCCAGGACGATATGCTGATGCATATGACCCTTATCCAGTTCTACAGCATTCTTATTACCAGGGTAAAGGCCTCGCCTCATCTATCACACTACAACTCGAGTCTCGCTCTAGACTTCTTGAAAGAGGAAGGCATCCACAGAGGCCTTATCGACTTTCATACCTCGGAAAACCCCAGCATCGATCACTCGTTCTTGAGCAGCCGGATAGCACAGTACATTAGCGACTACGCTGTACATTACCCTGAAAACTTTGAGAATAGCGAGGAGATGCCTGTCATTCGGAACTACGTCCACCGAAACATCCGGAAATGTGAGGCAAGCGATCTGAATGTCATTGCTTCGATGCCAAGATCGACGCTAGTCCCACAGCGGGCTTCGGGGCCAGCCTGGGATGATTGTGTCATTGCAGACATGCCAATCACAAGAACGAACCAGGATGCTCTGAAGACGCTTGCAACCGTCTTCCGCGGACCGCCAAAGGAGGAAATCACATTCCCGCAGACCGAGACTATTGGCTCCGACTCTAAACGCACACAGACCGAAGCAATCTACGCGCGACTCATCACCGCTCTCTTCTACAGTAAGAAACCCACCATGTTCGCTGATATCACCACACATATGGAAACCATCGCCATGAAAGAAAACGCACTTGCTGCTCTTGCTATTGTCAGCGCCCTGATCAACTCTTCGTGGTCTACCGAAACCCCGTCAGATGTACCTTCTAACGACCTGACATACGCTCGACTTAACACCTTCCCGAAATCCGGTCTTGATGTCATCCTGGATCCTAGTATCAGCGGCGGAGTTCTCCCCTCGTTGCTCCTACCCGCTACAACCTTCTCGAGCCTCGTTGGCGGCCGCGGCGACCCAGAGAATGCGGCGTATGTTGTCGCGACGGCAAAGTTTGAAGTTCTCAAATCCCTTGGAAAGAAACTTGAAGAGGAATCTGGTAGGCCGGACGTTCTTGCTATAGTCAGGAGGAGAGTAGGCGAGGGTGTTTGGGGAGAGAGTGGGACCGTAGGGAGCAGGATCGGTACGCTGGAGATGTGATAGATTAACATATGCTAGAGTAAGAGGACCGAGTGTTAACTTCAGTGATGCAGCACAATTTAGCATGAATATTAGTTAATCTTTCCCACTGCAATGCAGCGACAGAGTAGCAGCGCTTATGTGTCAAAATAAGAATAACATGCCTCTCTTGTACCTATCTCACAACTAAGCAAAAGCTCTCATAACACTGTGATAAAAAATTCAAATGCTACCTACCTTTATACTATTGTCTCTAGTATCTTAAAAAAAGATGCAAAAAAAAGAACCTGGGATATCCAACTGCAGCCGGACGAAAACAAGTGCTGATGAGAGTGGGACTCGACTGCAATGCATATAGTTATTAGTAAACAAGCTAACTCAACACTTATCATATAAGGTCAGACTTACACCCACGCCACTTTCGTGACCAGGAAATTGTGTTAAGAAACCTTAACCTGGCGCCATAACCAACTCGGCCATCTCACCATTATGTGATTTTGATGACTAATTCTCGCGTTTAGACGTATTTAGTCATGCCGGCAATATTCCTATCAATCTGCGAATGAATTCAGGTGCAGGGTGCAGGGTGGGAGGAATTTTTGTGTGGGCAGCATGGCTGGGTTGGTACGGGTGGGTCTGCTGCGGGTAGAAGCGATGCGGACTTTGCGAAAACAGATACGCAGGGGAAGAATGACGATGGGAGTATAAGGAAGTAGAATATGTTAGGCTAATAGATTTACAAGTATATTTTTTATAGCGAAAAAAAAGATATACAGAGGCAAGTAGGTAGGTAGGCAATTTACAGCCACATTCGACGTCATCGCACTAAGTTAACACTAAGTACAGTCTACGAGGAAACCTTAACCCACTTCTATTTCTCTTTCTCTCTCACCGTATTTCTATTTCTATTTGTCAGTAGCACTGGAAAGGGGGAGAATCGTGATGTATTAGGTGCTACGGAGGAAAGATCTATATAGACATGAGGTCACGCGCTAAACCTCTATAGGACTAGCGCGGGAGTGAGGGAAAGGTGAGATGGATCGCGCCTCGGGCAGAATACCTGAGGGCCATGGCTGACATTATTCATCCTATCTTCATGCGAAATCTGGACAAAAAAAGGATTTCTAGGCCTGGCAAGAATCAAACTTGCATCTCCCGCTTCACTTCCACCTCCCGTCTTGTAGGCGGGGAACACTGAACACCTGAGATAGAGTGGGAGGTGGAGATAGTGTGCAGGTACCTTACCACTAGACTACGGGCCCTATTTCTTTTCCTTGATGGTTAAATGAACAGTTAGTAAGAATGTATGACTGTGGGCTTTGAGAGAGGTTGCGGGCACTTTGCGTAAGTAAGTGCGGATGGTGAAAGTGAGAGAGCGTGTAGCTTAGCTTAAACACAATGTTAATTTTCGTCAGCCATGCTCTGTGATCTGATGTGTTGAGTATACCTTAGTATACTTGCAAGGAAAGCTGAAACTACCTATCAACTCTTGCAATAAACGTACTAATAGACTAGGTTTTGACGTTGGTGTCTCAATTGATATACCAAAAGCTGCGCAGTATATCTACTATTATGGAGCCAGAAGATGCAACGATAATCAAGACACAAAAGTGTCCCATCCTGACATGCCTAGACGTCTACATCCCTTGATATTTGCACAACTTCTCGATAGTATTCTATCTTAAAATTTCTCTCTATCGCTTTTTTCGCGTCTTTCCCACGTGTAACGCGCGTATATATGTACAGTCCCGGCCCCCTCTCACGAACCGTGGTACACTCCCCTACGCGACCCAAACCCCCAACTCGTGCGTGCAACCACACATCTACCCTTACCCCACCTACTACCTGTATCTTCACTCAAATACCATCCTCCAATTTAAACTACTATCAAACAACACAGCACAGGACACATGGCCCGGTCAAGGCGCTCGTGCGATATTATCCCGCTTTAAGCGTCGCCCTCTCTTCCGGCCCAAGGATTCACACCACAGTCTCGTGGCTTTCTGCATCGGAATGCCCCCAGACACGTAGTGTGAAAACTTGGATAGAACTGAAGTAGCAACGCTTAGTTTCTGTGGATATACTAGTACGGGAGATGGGAGTTCGAGTCTTCCTGTGTCCAATTCTTTTTTTCGCGGGGGTTTGGCTAGTCAGGGCTTCCATGTTTGACCGTGTGATAATAGATTGTGAGGCCTCTATAAGTATTCAACCCGTCTGCGTATTTAGTACATATGTCAAGGATTTCCGGGTGTCGCGAAAGTCTAGGTGTGACAAACTGAGTGCTTTTCCTTTGTGGTTTTTAATCTTTGATATCTAGTTTTCTCTTTTGCTATTAACCGGATTACACATTACACATTACACATTACACATTACACATTACACATTACACATTACACATTACACATTACACATTGTATCTAAAAGATAATATCAACACCTTCGCGACTTCATCCAAGGACCCCATCAAGCTCTCACGCCTAAGTACAGCGCTGATTCTCATAGTTCCACTTAAAAGCAGTCATGAGACCGTAAAAGTGAGCCAGCGCGCTCAAAACGATGAAGACATGAAAGATCTGGTGCGAGGAACCCAAGATGTCGTATTTCTTGGGCTTTGAACATTCCGGGAAATGCATCTGTCAGGCTTGTTAGCAACAGTGTTTCTACATGTAGAAAGAGTAACCGCGATCTTAACAGCCATACCGCATAAAATGCCACACCAGCAAGTACAAGAACACCCTCGAGATAATAATAACGTAGACCACTCTGCTGATCCATCTGACTATAAGTGAAGATGGTAGCGCCATGAATAATCGGCGCAAAAGCTGAGAAGCCAGTGGCAATGAAGGTCGACAAGCGCAGAGTCCTCCACTTTGAACCCTGGAGGCTCGGATGGATCACGGCAGTCACGGTCAGTGCTCCAAGAGTGATGATCTAAAAGAACAATCAGCGCCCACACCACCCCTCTATTTCCCCTGAACGTACCATAGTCCAATACAGCTTCTGAAGATGCGGTTCGCAGTAAAACCCAAAATACAGGCCCGGTACGAAAGAGCCTACAATCTGCATCACGATAGCCACAAAGTCCAGGCGAACGCACAGACTCTCATAGGCTTGCGAATGACACAGTAGCGTGTGATATGCCGCTGAAGTACCAAAGCATATCACACAGACGGTGAGGTAGATTCGAAAGACTAGTTCATCTGTCCAGGACGCGTGCGGGAATTGCGAATTGAAGTACTTCCCAAAGGAGTAGCTGCAGAGCAGCGCGGTGATTGCTGGGATCAGGTGCGTGTATATGTTGACAGTCTCGTTGTGGGGGTACGCTAGGCTGCGGAGGCACAGTGGTATCGATTTTGTTACGGGTCGAAATCCGGTAATGATGTAAGGGTTTTGCGCGTACCATGCCGGTACTTGGTCGCGGGTTAGGAGCTTGTACGACATCTCAGGGGGTGTCGAGGTTTTGGTGTCGGTGCGACGATCGGTACGGTTGCTTGCGCCACGAGCCATTCCCGACAATGTCTTGAGCGAGCTTGAGCAGCCTCGCGGGTGTGTAATTTTCAAGTAAAAGTTGTGTTTAATCGTCGTTCGTTCATTGTTTATTTGCGGTGGCTGGGCGTGGGTCGCTGATCCCGTCTAGGCTGAGCGTACCATGGAATACGATGATGACCCTGTCGGGAAATGTCGGTGTCAACAAGAGGATAGATGACGGTGGATAAAGTGACAAGAAAGTATGTTGCATAAAAATGTACGACTATATGGCTATGCGCTCTGACAACTACCTGGAAATCGTTGTGTCAACACACTGAGCCTGGATGCGGGGTATCCTGTTCAACTATCGCCTTATGAACTTGATGATCATGAGACCCGATGCGCAAAGCAAACGCCTGCGTGTGTTCACCAAACTCTTCCAACTCTTTCCAAGAATTTACTCGAGTAGTGAAGATCTCATCGGAAAGGGTGTGGTGTTGATGATACATGACGCAACAAACCTGTGGGTCGGGAAACAACCTTTTCCATCTCCACCATGACATCACAAATAATGTGCGCCATCATGTCATCGCGATTATAACAATGCCATAACCCACAGGAACCCCTCTTTCATCAACACACTCTTCCTCGCTCTTCAGCATACAAACTTCATATACACCTCTCACAAATCCCAATACCCTTACTCAACCATCATGCCTCGCAACGGAGACGGATCCTCTGACAACGGCCCCATTGAGGGTCAGGACATCATCCACGGCAACTCTGGTGACGTATGTCACCTTCAAACAACCTTCTCTTTACTTTCCCCCTAACATGACCATAGGCCACCCTGCAGCACGCGAAAAACAACGTCGCTCCCATGCCCGAGATCGAGAAGGGCGAAGGTACGTCAACACCCCACCCCACCATTACCCCAGACACACCAAAAAGAAAAGACAGTTACCAGAAAACAAAAGAAATATCAAGCTGACGGAGACATCCAGGAATCGAAGGCATGAATGCTTCAGGCGGTGGTGACATGCCGAAGAAAGGCCATACCGGCCAAGGTGCGCCAGCATCCGACTCGAATAAGCCCGCGCCTGTCGACCAGGTTACCAAGTAAACTCGCCCCTACCAGCCAGAGAGAGAAATAGCGAAAGGGATGGACAGCGAATACAGCATTAGGCCGTTGGATGTGCAGGCTACAGAACAACAAGCAAGGGAGTGATAATCCATCGCGGCCACCGAGTGACATCGGCCGACCAGCGTGCATGCGAGTCCAGTCGAGCCTAGCCTAGCCCCCCACAGATAACGGAATGAATATAGCAAAAATGTAAAATCCGCATCGACAAATGCCCCTTCCAAGTGTCTTGTCCCTGCTCTAGATCTCCGTCGTGTGGGGCGGAAGAGCGAGGAGAAGAGAGAGCGGTGTAGATCTCATGTCGTGTTCGCCTTCTTTCCCACCCCCTCGCACATCAGCGTCCCCCTCGTTCGGAGCCCGGAAGTGTGGGTTTGACGTGGGCATGGGTGTGGGCGTTGGCATGTGTAGTGAGTGGGTAAGCGAGTACAACATCCATGCTTCTCTCACCGCACACACAATAGATACGTACACTACACGGGGCACACACACGTTTGCAAACCCAAAAAACAAAGTTGGCTTTCCAAAAAACCTCGTCATAGCAGCTGGTAAGGGGGGGTTGCTGATCCCACCCATTAGACCCCATCTGCGACAGACAAAAGAGACGGATCGTGAGTTTGTTAGTTGGGGCTAAATGACGGTGGAGGTGTTATGCGGCATCAGCCTGCATCTGCAAGGCGGTCTCGCCCCCAAGGTAGGTAGGGCGGAGACGTGGAAAAGTGGAGGATTAGGTTCCCTTAGCGTTAGAAGAGGGGAGAACCGTGGAGAATGAGTGACGATGGGCCGGGCGCGAACCAGCTCAACAAAAAAAAAAGACGCACATACACCCACACCGGAAGGCAAACAGGGGAGACAAATAGAGAGAAACAAAGAGAATCAAAGGTTCACGATAGCTGAAGAGAGGTCGCATGAATGAACAATAAAAATCGTGGTATTTTGGCTAGACAATGGCACCAGCCCTTGGTGTATCTTGCATGCCATTTGTCCTATCCAGGAAGTGATATCCAGGAAGTTATACCGCAATCTGAAGAAAATCTGTTACTACATAATACACGATACACGCTCAAGACTCCGTCCTACTCCGGGTTGTGAGCCCACATGCCAGTTTTCCCATCCTAGTACCCTGTCTAACCTCAAAGATCCGTTCTTACGCCCACCCAGTTGTCTAGACTTGGAAGACCTCGTCAGTCGTGATCCACAGTCGCCCTTGACTGACTCAGCTTGATCCTTCAACCCCTCACTGAGTCTCAAGACGGCCTCGATGCTAAAATTGTCCCGCTGCGAGGGCCTCGTCGCTAACCGAAGTTGCGCCAGAGGCACTCTGCAAGTCGTTGAACTTTGCATCAAAGCTGTCCAGAAGCCCGTAAGAGTTTGAATGAAAGCTTTGTTCATACAAGTTTGAGTTGAAGATATCGACTGAAGAAGGGTCCACCATAGTAAAAGCGGGCTCCACTGGAGAAGTGGTTGTTGAACAACGCTTTGAGGCTTGGTCGAAGTCGAAGAGGTCTTCCATGGCGGGCTTCTCGTCGACTGGATCGTAAGGTTGAAGAGCGAAAGGTAGGCAAAGATCGCCGGTAGTG